AATTTCCCTCGCAGAACCACCGATCAGAAGCACTACCCAGATCTGAATAGTATCACGTCATCAGTATGGAATTTCTCGTGTTCGTTCCTCAGATGTGATTTGGCGGAGAAACAAGTGGTGGCATGGCGAAATATCGGCTATTTTCTCGGGCTACCACTCTGATAAGAGATCCCTATAAGGGACTGTGCAATAATTATCAGGAGGGGGGGCTGAAAAACGAGAATTATCTAACAAAAACTTAGACAGTATCCCCCCTCCAAAACAAAAAAAATTAGTTCTAGCCCCCCTCTGTTATGTTTAAAATAACGTCGCACCCCCCTCCCACCACTACACAAAGCCTTTGCTAAGTACCGGGGTGCTTACCACATTGGCTCAAAATCTAAAATTTCTGAAGCCAGAAAGAGAAAGGAGCAGAGAAAAAAAATCAAAGAACAGGAGATTGAACGCTTGAAATAACAGACGAAAACGAGCTTGCATTATATTTAGATCCTTGGGAGGAGAGCCTGTTGATTTTTGTTATGAGCCAGATATATATGGAATTCAGCAAATCGATTCAGTCGATGAAGAAACATTACTTTTATTCACATGAAAAACCGACAAAGCTCGTATACGAGATCTGTTTGATTCCCATTGTTTTATGGGGGAAGCTGAAAAACAAGTTCATGATTTTTGCTTTACATAGGATCAGCTCAGTTAATTAGAAGACGGGTTAAAATTGATCAGTTGTGAATTTGCTTTTCATTTTGATGGAATATTTTCAATAATCGTTTAACAGCTGTTCGTATTGATATTTGTTACAGTCTATCATGATGCCTGTATTGAGAATCTTTTATTGGGTTTAATTATATTTACATTTCGAATAAAACTTAAGGCCCCCCGTTCGTCAAATGAGTGGTTTTTCTTTGAGCTCCCCCTATTTTGGCAGCAATTTTATGTAATGCCCCCCTTCTAGTTTTTCAGCCCTCCCCCCTCCTTATAATTATTGCACAGTCCCTAAAGACTCTGCTTTGGCAGCTAAGTTTCAGAAACCATCCTACGCTGCAAAAGATTCTAATTTGGTGTCTTCTTTTCCCTTTACCAAGGAGGGTTTCGTTCGTTTGAAGTCAATTCGGATCAGTCTATTGGCCCAAGTAGCTGTTGGTTCCTTTCAAAAGTGCATGAAGCGTGCGAATTAGGCATGGTGTGTCTCTCGCGCTTGTATCCCAAGAAACAACTGCCACAAAGACATGCGCACTTTTGAATTTTCTCATAAAAGACAAATCCAAAATCAGATTTCCTTTACAAAATTTTTCCCTGAAACTCAACTCTAAAAAGCCAGAAGCCACAAGCCACAGGAAAAATATTAATTTTTCAGTAGTTTCCAGAGGGGGGCGTAAGGGTTTGCGGTGATGCGGTTTTGCGTTATTTTTGGTGCGGTTTTGCGGTAATTTTTATTTTAACTCGCGGTATTGCGGTTTCAAAATACTAAGCGGCTTGCGGTTATTACAACCTTTAAGTCGCGGTTTTCGGTGAAAAAAAAGTGTCTCCGGTGATAGCACTCTTTAGAACGGTCGGCATCCGGTTGTTTTGCAAGCGCGAGCCAAGTGTTTTGTTTTACAACGCATCAGGGTTAATGTGATTAACCGTTTTAGCCAATGATGCGTCGACTTCGTGAAATTCCAAGCCGGATGTTAGCTCGTACAGCCGTACAGCCTCTAACCTGCGTAGCTGGCGGTATTGTATAGTAGTCGAGTGAAATGTGGCGGCGGAGCCGTTGTAATATTGTCGAGTGAGATTTGACGGCGGAGCCGTCAACCGCCTCGTCCCTACTCCCTTTTTTTGGAACACGGCTCCGCTGCCAAAACTTTAATCTCGCACCCACACAATACTGCCAGCTACGCAGGCTATACAGCCTCGTGTTCTCGTTGCTTTGCCAGTCAATGCGCGACAATGGCAACTGAGGTCGTCGAGGTCGCAACTGAAAGCGAAGAGGACGTAACAATTAATTGCGTGGCAATCTTCTATGAAGAAGGAAAGGAAGGGGAGAATTTCAGAGGAGCTGTACGTTTTAACAATCGTCTTCTCCACTGAACGTGAATTCTTTACTAGACAAGAAGGTCACAATTTTTAGAAACATTTTTCCGCGTTCCACAACTAGCACAGGGTCGTCCAAAGTAATCAGTCACCCAATGTAAGACGTACAGGATCAGTGACAGAGTTTTTCAAATTCAAGGGAGATATCACTGTACTCGTTCAAGTACATGACCAGCATACTTGGCATTTGGTTAGTAGTAAACTGAATATAATAGTGCTGTACAATATATCGTTAGCGTTATGATGGTATGTTTAATACTAACGCACAATGTTATCAGGATATATGACAAGTCTTGCTGACGTCAGCTTTCATATTGTGGCCTACATGAACTCGCGGTTTCGGTATACGGGAAAAAATCCGATGCGGTTTGCGGTTTTCGGACCCCCCTTAATTACGCCGTGCCACATAGGTTAAACGATTCTAAGAATTTGTCATTTCATGCTATGTGATGCTAAGGGGTGAAAAAATAAAATAAAATAAAATAAAATAAATAAAGTAAGCTAACAGTTGATGAATTGTATTTTCATAAACTGATTGGCTCTGAAGTTTGGCGGGGATAAAACAAAAGAAATGTATTAATTATTTATTACTGAGCCAGAAGATGATTTATTTTGGTTCTATTCCCCCAACTGAATAACAAATTCCGTGAAATTCAGTAATAGCAGGGGTTAAGCTTGACCTGGCTGCTGCAACTGAATTTATTTTCCAACGCAGACGTTTCTTAGGGGTTCGTCACGCGTTCCTGCCCCACCATTTGAGAACAATGGGAAGGGAAGCAGACGTTAGTGGGCAGGAAAGCGTGACGAACCCCTAAGAACGTCCGCGTGGGAGGCTACTGAATTTAAGAGTCCATTATTTAAAGTTTTCATACGAGGTCTCAATGGGCTATTGCATTTGATATCCGTATCCCTCTCGGTTGAGGACCTGCCTTTTCTGCTTACCCCTTTTAATCTTAAAAGATTGAATAAAATTGCATTCAGCTCTGAAAACTTCCTTCAAATACTGGTTCACCCTTGAAGAATATGGGTCCTACCCCTGAAGAATATGGGTCTCCCCGTGAAGAATATGGGTATACCCCTGTAGGGCCCTGTTGTTCGAAGGCCGATTAGCGCTTAACTCGGGGTTAAATTTAACCCGTGTTTCTTTTTCTTGTGTTCAAAAGCATTTTCTCGGATATTTTCTCTGTTATTTTTAGAGCTTCCAATCATCAACTTGCAGAAAAAAAGAATTAAGACTGCAATGCTTTTTAAGCTTTTAAATCTGAATTCAAATCTCGCACTAACCCTGAGTTATCTTAACCCAGCTTTGAACAACTCGGTCCTGTAGAATATGGGTCTACCCGTGCGGAATATGGGTATACCCCTGTAGAATATGGGTCTACCCGTTAAGAATATTGGCATACATGCATGTACCCCTGAAGAATATCGTAAAAATTAAAGCTCCAGCCCCAAAGAATTCCATATTTGTTTTCTGCTCTACCCCTAAAGAAATCCTCAATTTTAATAATTTACCCCTCAAGAATTCCATGGTTCCTCAACCGGGGGTGGGGGGGGGGGGAGCGGGTAGGGTATTAGATGCAATAGCCCATGTGTTTGGTGGGGGCAACACAACAAGACAGCGGCTCACAAAACAATGTTTAGTTCATGCATGGCTCGGAGGCCCACAGTCTTGGACAAAATAGATGGAAAATTTGTATCCCCCTCCCTCCCCTCCCCCCCCAATCAACAACAACAACAACAACAAGTTTATTCAGTATTACCATTTTGTACAGGTGTTACCGATTAAAATAACAATAATAAACAGCTAAGTTTAAGGAAATACAGGTATGATGGAATAGTAGAATTAACTATGTTTCTTTCGTCTTTCAAATGCTTGAAAGATGAAATTAGCAGCTAGCCTGCTGATATGTGAATCAGCATTGTTAAAAAGAAAACAGACTTTATCATGGATATTGTAGTGTGTAAATAATGTATTTCGGTCGTTGATTTTAATAAAAAGAGTCTTTCTCAAATCATTGTATTGATCACAGTGAAATAATATGTGCAGTTCATTTTCAACCGAATTTTGGCTGCAATGATCACAGATTCTAAGGTCTTCAGGAGTTTTGGGGATTGTAAATCTTCCAGTTTCTATTTTTAAATTATGATTTCCTATCCTAAATTTGGAAGCTACACGCCTATGTTCAGGATTCCGGATATGATTGATGAATTCAGAGTGATTTGTTTCATTTTTAAAGATGGAGTAGAATTTTAGTTTTTTATTTGTTCTGATCAAATTTAGCTGGTGGTTTTTCAGATGTTTTGACAAAGTATTCTCAGCTTTGGATAGGAAAGTAGAAGGGTTTTTAAAGTTAACTGACTGAATCAAGGATGGGAAATTGGCGCGTTTTGGCTTTTGTGCTGCTTCATCCTTGATTTGCGGGGGGGAGGGGGGTTTGCTGTTCCATTTTATTCTGTCCAAGATTGCAGGTGCAGTCAGCCGCATCCTCGGAGACCCAGGGGCAGATAGTGGGGACGAGGAAAGAAGAAGAAACGGCGGAAAAATATGACACCGTTCTTTAAAGGAGGAATATTTTTCCGCCCGTTTAGACTTTCCCTCGCCCCCTTTATCTGCCCCTGGGTCTCCGAGGATGAGTCAGCCGAGGAGGGAGGATGGTCATGATGTAGTTCATGTATAACCTATAAAGGCGGCCAAGGTCATAAAATGTAGTTCTAATGAGGTTTTGAGTGGGTGAAAGCAACCGTAAAGTGTGATCATGAAGATCAAACTCCTTCCGTCGAGTACAGTTCTGCGTTCATACTTCACCGTGTGGGTGTTTGTTCAAGGGTGAATGAAATGTACGTCACTCAACGTCACGCTTCCCTGACTCATTTCCTCTTTTGAGCCGACCGCTGAGATGCGCTTGAATGATCGAGGGAAAAACATCGCAGGTTGTGCTGTTGGAAACTAGGCCTAACCTACTCAGACAGACTTCAAAAGTACTGAAAACTGAGTATTTTGTCGGGAAGAGTTTGGTTGAATTTGCGGTTCGACGGATCAAATTACGTGACTTGCGCGCATGGTTCCCCGGCATGCAATTTTTACGTGCGTTGACACTAAGCCGTAAGGTCGAGGTCTCTCGAGACAGTTACCGGTATAATAATTCCAACCAGCGATTTCTGATCGTTGAACTCTCTAAATTTTAAGGTAAGTTTAACTTAGAATTGTCTTGATTTTCACTGAATGCTATTATTCGCGTTATAATTGTAAAATTCAATTGTCACACCAATCAATCTTCCATTCTTCGCTTCTGTTCAAACAATTTTTTTGGTCTTTGCATTGTTTGCTGACTGTGGATCCTAAATAAAACAAGTCTTTTTCGTTGGATATTAGAACGTTGCTATATAGCTATAAATGGAGTAGCTGATATTCAGGGATTATTTCTTTTGTTACTTGTACCTTGGTGCATTTTGCCGCTATATCATTGGTCAACTGCCCTAGGGGTCCTGGCACCGAAAGTTAGGTAAACAAATCGTTTTTGCCGTCATGAGTCGGCAAATATTCAGGTTGTTTGCTTTAAGAAGATCTGGCCGAATCTTTACATTTCATGACTGTGTGTACTTCTGAAGTAATCCCGTTTTATTAACGAGGTATTTGTGTTTTGTTCTTTCGCCCAGATGTACTGAATGTTTACCTGAGGCATTGGTTGTTTGTCATTCGCTGCTTATATTAGTTAGATACAGTCTCAATCTGCAAGTTTGGGAAACTTTACAAAGATTTTCAGTATGGACGATCAAAGTGTCGCAAGTGCGACATTTCAAAGTCAGAGATTTCAAGACGAATTTAAAGTGGAAGACGAAGAAACGACGCCTGCTTGTGGAATAGCCTCATGGAGACCAAACTTTCTACAGCGCTTTGCAAAACCGAAATGGTTTCTTCTGTTTCAGTGCTGGTTTGTTCTTGCTCAGGGCATGATAGTTTCTGGGTTTTCTGGAGTTGTCGTTTCTTCGCTTGAAAAACGCTTCTCGCTGAAAACCAACGAGGTTGGAATTATCTTTAGTTGTTATGACATATCTGCCGCGATTATGGCCATTGTAGTCAGCTACTACGGGCACCACCACAAACCAAAATGGCTGGGAATTGGCGCGTTTATTCTAGGTATCGGCTGTTTTCTTTTCGCTCTTCCTCATCTGTTAGTAGGAAGATATCAACCAGGATCAAGCGCAAGTAATCTTTGTACATCTGACGTTTTTCCGGCTAGCTTGGTATGTCGTAGTTCTGTATGGTACCATATATTTTTCTTTGTCCTTGCGGAGGTTTTGATCGGTGTTGGTGCTACTCCAGTCTACCTGTTGGGGACATCTTTTATTGATGAAAATGTTCGGCACTCTACCTCCGGTATGTTCCTTGGAATTATGTATGCAGTTGCTACATTCGGTCCTGCCATTGGATTTTTGCTGGGAGGAGAATTTCTCAATATTTATGTGGACATCACACAGGTACACAAAATTAGCGTATTCTAGAGTTTACATAAACTTAATTGGGGTGCATTCGATTGCGAAATCGGAATTTGAATTAAAATCCGTATTTTGTTTAACAAAACACAAAATTCAAAAATGGATTTCAACATTGAGAAAACTCTCGATTGGATTTCCCTTCTTTCCTTTTTTTATTTTTCAAAAGGATTTGAACAATTTATTTTTCTCAAGATTGCAGGTCTTGCATGCGAATTCATGATTAACACTAATAAAAGACCACTGTTCACGAGAACAAATCTTTAAAATGCTAAAGAAGAAAATTCCTGAAAGCCTTATTTGGATTTCTATTATTGAAATCCACCTCAAGGACAGATTCCTTGATGCTGAAGTCTATTTTGAGATTTTGCATTCTTTTGCAAGATCTAAATTTTGGATTTCAAAATTTCCCAACAATTCTTCAAGCTTTTTGAATACAACTTCTTCCAATTCCATGGAACAGCTGACAATCACAGTGTTCTCCTTATCGGGCGGTAGCCGGTAAAATTTACCGTCTGAAGTAACACTTCTTTCCACCTGCAAGTGCTTGAAGGTTTACTAAAATAAAACAAGTTGTTTTAAAAAATACGCAAGTTGGGATTCGATCTGAACAAGGTTATGAATAAATTTATGGAAGTGTATTAAAGTATACATAGCTTTCTTTTCATGGGCCACGGATTTAGGCAAGAGAGCACTGAAGACAGAGTAGAATTATTGGAATCAGATGTTTTAAATTGTTGTCTAAAGATAACAATGGCTGATTTGTGTAAAATAGGTCTTAAAATGAGGGAATAATGTTTCAGAGAAATTAGCTCCTAAATTTCACAGTGAGGTCGTAGCCATGTCCCTAACTCCACTACCCCCCTCCCCCAGGAAATTGTGCCTCTGACGCTTATTTTTTGTCTTACTTGCTACAAAATTTTAATGGTCCCTTACCTGCTGAGCTAAAATTTAGGGTGAACACTGCAATCACTGTATTAGTGTCCACTATGACAAAATTCTCAGATCTGATTGGTTATCAACTGTTCTGAGTTCATCATTAATAGGACAGTATACAGGTGTCATGCCTTAGTAATTGGACAGTACAACCCATCGTGTGCACACTTGCATAACTTTTTTAATGCTAGCAAAAAAACTCTTAAAATATCTTGTTATTTACTTTTAAGGGCTTTATAAAACATCACAATTTTTTTTGTAGTTATTATTAATAATATGGTACATGTAACAGAACTTTGTGTCGTCCAATTCGTTGTGTTAAAGTCATACTTGTGATTAAACAAATTGGACTCCCTCTACGTTAATCGTAGAGTTTGTCAATCTCTTGTATGAATAAAGAACAAATTGGGCTCCATTCAGTCCCATTATCATTATGATCAAAATGATTAGTTTGAGATATTTACTGTCAATTCAACTTTCTTTTAGCCGGAAGGTGTTGAGCTTACACCAGAGGATTCCAGCTTCATTGGAGCATGGTGGTTGGGTTTTATCCTGGGTGGATCGTTATCTATACTTGTCAGCCTTCCGATGATTGCATTTCCAAGAGAGCTTCCAGGGACGCGAGAAATACGGGCTGAAAAACAAGACTGTACTGACTATGTTGCTGATGATAACATGCAACACACATTTAAGCAACTGCTTCCCATGTTGAAGTCTCTTCTGACAAACAAAGCTTTTGTTTGTTTAGCTCTCGCTGCATCCTTTGAAGGATTTGCTGTGAGTGGATTTTCAACGTTTTTACCAAAATTTGTCGAGGCACAGTTCCGCATCCCTGCTGGGACTGCGGCAACCTACACAGGACTTGTAGTAGTACCCGGAGGCAGCGGGGGAATGCTGCTTGGAGGTTATCTGGTCAAAAGAATGAAATGGACATGTGATAAAATCATCAAAGCATGCTTCATAATTGCCTGCTTTGCAACACTGTGGACTTTTGGATTGTTTCTGGGATGTCCTAACAGAGATTTTGTTGGTGTCACTCATCCATATATTAACAGGTAATGAATCAGATTTGGTTGACAATTTAGGAGGCCCTGCCAGGGGAAGGGGGGGGGTCCCGTGTCACCGGTCTGAGTTTTAAAACATCTCGTGTCGGTGTTTATAAATGCTTGTCGCTTATTGTCGGCTTTGCCGTCACTGTCGCAATGTGGCCGAGGGAGGTTGTCTCTTGTTGCGATTTCATTTTACACTCTGTTGCTACTTTTTGGGCCATGTCGCTTGTCGGAATTTACCCTGGCAGGGCGTCATTCAGGTGTAACAGCTTAACCCTTTTAATACTTAATCCCCACTATCCACATACAAATTCTCCAAACTGATCTCCTTGAGGAATTTTATGATAAAACTTGTCAGAAGATCAAATTAGAAGAGAGCTGTGTAATTTATTTGAAGGATAATCGCAAATCCAGAGTAGTTTCCACAGAAACTCAAATTCTCTGTTTGTAGTCAACCCACCATAAGGGTTAACCAAGTTTTGAACAACTTGGCATAGGACTGTAGGTACTGCTTACTTTTCTGAAAACTGCTTGTTGGTTAAAAATTTAGAAGCAGGGACTACAAGTACGTGGTCAGAGTTTGGAAGTCTGCTAATAACTATACACTGTGCATTTAAACATAACCAGCATACATGGCTGTCATTTCCCCTGCCTACTTTCATAATATAATGAAAGAAGATAGAACCCAAAAATATAAAATAGTCCTTACCTCAGGCTGTTTGATTTCCTGTGTCCGCTTGTTGTATTTACCTCGTAACCTGAAGTCTTAACAACAGCTCTGCTACATAGTATCTATTTCTCGGAGGGACTTTCCCCAGTTTCATTTATGATTTGATTTATCTTTTTTTTTTCTGTCTTCACAAATCTAGTTCAACACTGGGGAACATCACTTCATCGTGTAATGCCAAGTGTAACTGTGATGTGAAGTATTTTTCACCTGTTTGTTCAAAAGAAGATCAGCTGACCTTCTACTCCCCCTGTTTTGCTGGCTGTTCTGCAGGCAATGTAATAGGAACCAAAGTAAGAAATTGAATTTCTCTAACTTGCTTATTTGTCCCCTTATTTTTGAAGAAAATTATCAACTTCAGGATTGAAGAATTAATCCACTCTCTTAATGTCACTACAGAAACCCTAAACTTATTCTTGCAGTGAAAACAAGTTTACTACTCTCTGAGGGATACAGGAGTATCAATAAGCACCAACAACTGACAAACCACATCTGCAGCTTCTTTGCTTAGAGAAGTTGACTGCTTTTTCCTTAAATTAGAAGGTGGAAGCTATTGAATTTAAGATTCTGTCAAAACTTAAATTAAAATTCAATTTGCTGGAGTTAAACATACTTTTTGCTTCAATATAAGAATTAAAGGCTCGGCCTAAAGTATTGCCCATAACGTGTCTATTCTGATCAGTCAAAATACATTATCATTCTTTGTACTCAATTTAGTGCTCAGAATAGTGGAAATCACATTTTAGGGCATTGACATTTCAAAATTTTCTTATAAGGAGCATGTCCCCAGATCCCCCTAGGAGAAAGAGACTATAAAGCCCCTTGTTGATATGGTAATGGTTTATTCGGAGTTTGCCCAGCCAGTTGTTCAAAATGTGAATAGTACTATCCACCAGATAAATCTCTATCCAGAGACCAATGAAAAATTTTGGTTTTCCTAATACCTGTCTGATGAGTCTTGATAGTGATTTACTTAGTGGATAATGCTATCCAATGTTTGAACAACCGGGGCATGCTGAAAACTTTAATTACTTTTATTGAAACCCGCCGGGATAAAAAATAATAAATAAATATATTTTTTCAGGGGAAGGTGCTGGCACTCTGTGCACATGCACTCCAGTATATCATCTCCATCCCTCTCTTAATCATTTCACTTTCTGTCAGTAAAAGTTGGAAACTTTTTTGAAGGAGGCAGTTAGATTAATGTTAAAACATTCAAGAGTGTAAACAGGCAAAGAAAAGTTTGATTCCATGAAAAAAAGCTAAGACATCCCATATAGTGACTGTATATATAGTGAGCGCTCAGAAAAACTGGGGTTAAAGGACCATTTTACAGTTGGGGGCTTAGTACCCTATAGCCCTTGAGTGAATGTGAGGCTGACCTTGTGCAAAAATTGTCTTGATACAAACCTCCTCTGTTTTTGTACGGAAATTATGCCCAATTAGCATAAGAACTACATAATTAACATGAGACTGCAGGGGGGGTTGTATCAAGACAAAATCAACTCCAGCCTTGTTTCCATCGATAACCGTAAAGGGGGCTATTTATAATAAGCATTCACAGATAGTTCTATTTTTTTGTTTTTATTTTTTTTAGAAATATCAAAACTGTAGCTGCTTTCCAATTCCACTTAGTGAAGGAATAGAAGAAAGTGGCTGCAAACCTGACTGCAATACACTCCTTCCCTTTCTTCTCTGTCTGTTTGGTCTCATGGTTTCTACATTTCTCAACAACATTCCTGCGACCACAGCAACATTAAGGTATGATTAAGAAAAATAGGTGTTGCATTTTGTTTCTTGCCATTTTGATTTGGTCAGCTTTTGGGGTGGATATTAAAATATTAGCAGAGCTCTTGTGCCCTCTCAAAGCACATGCAGCATTTACCATGGGTAGTGCCTGTGTGTTCATGTTAACGGATATAAATGTTGCCCTTACTGGTTCGGAGCGCAAGGCATATACAATCTGTGTTAACTTAATATTGGACATCCATGTTACTGTCAAAGACAGATTCATTGTGGTGATGTGTTTTTTTAAAGTTCTCTGCTGACCAGTTATTGGTTTTCAATAATTGATCACAGGCTCAGGTCCACTTTTTCGGGGGGAAATTCAGTTTCCTTCTTGCTTATGGCAAAGCTGAATTACTTGAAAAAGACTTTGATCCTTAAAAGATCTCTCAAGAGCCTTGCTTTTGTCCTTGAATAAACCTATATTTTACAGTCAGTATATTTGCAGTGATGTTTACCTGTTAAGTGAAAAATTAGGTAGACATTTACCATGATAATTATCTCAACTCATTCTCAGGTGTGTTCCCGAGAGCCAAGGATCTTTTGCTTTGGGTATACAACAGCTCATTGTACGTATATTGGCATTCATACCATCACCTATTGTGTTTGGATTTGCAATTGATACTGCTTGCCGTTTGCGTCAAAAAGATCCGTGTGACGATGGAGCAGAGAAAAACTGCCTAGAATATGACACTGATTTGTTCAGGTAAGTAAAATTAAGTATACTGTACACAGTCATGTAAACAGTTGATGTATTGATTTTGTAGAGGCACTGTCAGGCTGGTAGCTGAGGGTCAAGGCCTTCTGGGAACTTTCACTTGCAGATCTTGTGATGCTGGAGATCCCTACTTTAAGTGTGCAGCCTGACAGAGCCAGCACTGCAACCAACCCGCAAGAACAGTAAACTGCCTCTAAGATGGAAACCTTTGGGACTGGTCAGCAATAAGTGTCCATCTCAGAGTGTTTTCCATATACATGTATAGAGAATCTAATATTATAAAGAGAGCAATAATTGTAGGCAGGGAACCATTTTATCAAGGTGTCCATTTAGAGAGAGTCATTTAGAGAGAGTCATTTAGAGAGAGTCATTTAGAGAGTCGGACATAAGTTGGTCCTAATTTGCCATTGTTCAGCCTTTTTGTGACACTCTATAATTGCAGACATGTGTCTGAGATAGACACTTGGGGACTGCTTATCATTTACACCACCATCCAGTTGGAAATTAAGACAGTTGACATGGTGGGAGAATGATCCACTACTAGTGTCAACTCTTTCTAAGACGGACACCTTGGGGACCTGCAGTATGTGTCCGTCTTACAGAGATGTCCGTCTTATAGAGAGTCAGATAAAGGAAGTACAAAGAAAGACAGGGACCAACACTGAGTGTCCACTTTACACTGGTGTCCGTCTTATACAGGTGTCCGTTAAGAGAGAGTAGACTTAATCCAAATCAGCTGAGCAATGCAGACCAAAAAAGAATAGAAAATTGCATCATCCCAAATCACAGCCCATATTTTTTTAACCTTCCAAAACAGAATGGTGCTAACCATTTGATTTTCCATCTGAAATTTCTGGTTTTCCCATGTAAATGGTAATATAAGTATCCCTGGATGTCTGTCTGACCGAGAATTGACATGAACCCAATGACTTTTAATACAATGTATGCTCATCGGCACCAGTATAGGAGTAACTGCCCAATTTTATGGGAAAACCATTGGTAAGCTAACTCAAACATAGTTGTGTGAAATGATGTCCGGGGGGGGGACTCCCATATAAAACAGACGGGGATGCTCGTCGTCTCGCTAAGGGGTGTAAATTGTGGATCTTGGTCTCGCTTAGGGTGTTCCGGGCAAAGCGCCAATATTTTGAGCCCCCAAGGGCTCGTTTAGGGTTCTGCAAAGAAACACAGAATTACACGAAGAGAAACAGAAGTCAATTTTCTTTTTAACTTTGTTTGTTATGTCTTTATATCATTAAAACTCATTGCATGTCGTATTTGTGTGTTTTTAAGCGGTCTCTTTTAGAGGTCAAAATTTGCTCAAGCCATGCCCAGATTGGTCTCCTTTAGGAGTCACAAAAAGCTTGAGCCACGCCCAGATGGTCTCCTTTAGGGGTTAAATTCAAAATTTCCGACGAGCATCCCCCGTCTGTTTCATATGGGAGTCCCCCCCCCGGGAATGATGTACTATAAAATAACTAGGGTCTATTATTTTGGTACTTGTCATCTCCTTCATTATTTCCTATCTCAGTGTTTTTGCTCAATTCGATCTGTTTTGTTTTAGGTATATAATGTTAGGTGTGGGCGGTAGTTTCAAGGCTCTATCCGCTGTTGCCTTTTTCTTTGCATGGAAGTTTTACAAACTGCCATGTAAAGTTCAAACAGAGGGAGTTGGAAGGCAGGATTCCAGTCCAAGTGATGTTGCATCTCAGATAACACTGGTGGATGGCAATGACATTGACAAGGAAAAGAAGGAAACAGAGCTTACTCCAGTGGCACAGTTTATCACTGTTTCTAACTCTTCCAATGAAAAGCTAAAGCCTGTGATTACATCGTTCAGGAAGACAACAGATGTATAGTATAATAATATTATTTTAGACTGTTATTATAATATTATTAGTGTTAATTATTATCAGAGCTGTCAAGGGGCCTGTGCAGTGTTCTCTTTATCAGGCTGTTACCTTTAAACTTTACCTCCTGAAGCAACACTTCGTACCACCTGCAACCGCTAAAAGTAGATTTTAAAAAAAGGAAGTTGTTATCTGATCCAATTCTCACAAGGAAATGAATAAATATATATGGAAAAGTACTGATTAGAAGTATACACAGCTATACTTTTTACGCATTTTGGAAAGAGAACATTGAAGACAGAGTCAAATTATTGGAATCAAATGTTTTGAATTGTTTTGTCTTAATAAGATACCAGCGGCCAATTTATCAACACAAAATTCTCCCTTAACTTTGCAATGGCATTACACTAAGAATCAAGCAGTCAGTCAGATGTCACTAAGGGACGTTTTAGCTACCCATCATTTTGAAAAACTAAGTATTATAATCATAGTAAAAACTGAGAATGTAAATCAACACAGTCGTTATTATACGTGAAGTCAGACCCATACTTTTGCCAAGAAATTCATGCACTACCTATTTTTGTATTAATTGGTTTTCAATATAATTATTATATAACTGTATTTAAAACTGGCTCCTTTGGAATGGAAGTAGAGAGGGACACATTGTCAGTTAGAAATAATAATATTATCATTATTGAAGACTTAGAGCATAGGCACAACAAATATAATTAATATGTTAATTAAACCAATGTGATCATAGTGATCTGAAAAAGAGAAATTGATGTAAATTGCATGGTTCCTGGAGATCATGAGCCCTTCTCCCGCTGCCCCGGTTCCTGAAAGCTAATTGGCACTAATCCAGCATAAAAAATTTTGTTCTATTTTTTATTTACCTTTTTAATGTATTGCCTAGAGTAAAATTCTATGCTATCATCACTGAATCTCGGAGTTGAGACACAAAAGTATTTTGTAAGCTTGAGTAACATGTTCTTTGACAAGAAAACCTGGTTTAAAATTTGGCTTAATCCTGGGTTAAACTTAACCATCTTTCAAGGAACTGGGCCCTGGCCATGGAAAGTCATCAGAAAAACAAAGGGAGAAGGGGTTCTTGGCAGTTGATGGATTTTGGAAAGATTAAATCTAAACAGGAATTTATTGTGGGCTGAGTTTGGGAGGGGGGATGTATTATGTGAAAATCACTAACTTAGTTTACATTAGATCGTATTGTCTCTATACAAATTACTATTTGAAAGGTAAAAGTCATTATTTTAATTTTTTTTTTTTGTGTAATTTGTTGATGTTTGCACTTGATTCACCAATCCAGTCTCGATAGTTAGATTAATTAACCAGCTAAATTATTGTACACTGTATTTTGAAGGTACACAGGCAAGAAGGTGAAGATTATTATATCCAATCCCATATCATTTGTAGAATATTTTAGTACTTGTTAGTTTCAGGTCCTGGTTATGAGACAGGTATGAACTCAGACTGGGAGGACTCTCAGGCCAATGAGACTGGCCAGCCGCGGCAAACTCAAGAATGATACTATTTCAGGTGGTTCGACTCCAAACTGATAAATTTATTTCTGCTTTGACCTTCTGTTCATGCAAAGCTGGACTCAAAAATCATCTTAGACCTTACATTACGGCCCTTGTTGGTGCAGGTACTCTTTGTGGTTTTGGGACTCCTTTCTATTGGGATGTGTGTCTTGCGCTTCATGCTCTCTCCCCAAAACCAGCCTTTAAATACCCTCATAATAAAATCTGTCAAGCAGGCTATCTCAGAGCAATCTGACTTAGCCTGCGATCGGGCACACTTTATTATTATTTTAATAGTAAAGTAGTAATAATTAATAGTAGCCTGCATGATTACAGGTTACAGGATAGGAACAAGGTGCCTTTAATTAATGATCTGAATGATATTGGTCAATAATTATCATTTGTGTCGGAAAAGCTGTGAAAGCCAACCTGTCTGAGTTGAACGGGAACCCATAAGTCTCAAATAGTAATCAGGACCTCAATCAGTGATTTTATCAGTATTACCGGTATTTAAAAACAATTTATTACTACTGAAAGAATATGCTGCAAGCTAAACATTTTGTCACTGGTATGTCCTAGCTTGAGTGACAAGTGTTATAGCATTGGAGACAGTGCTTTCAACTGTCGTTATTGTTTATTTATAATACAGTCAGCTCTCTTTGTAATTATGGACACAACCTCCGTAAAAGTGACACCTTCTGTTGGTCCCTTTATTTATCTCTATGAGCTCTATGAGCTGTGTGGTCGACACCTATTAAAGATAAATGGCTGGTGCTAGTTCTGGGCATGGCTGTGTCCATTTTAAAGATTTTTTACTCATTAAGTTCTCATCATCATTGATTCTCTAGAGGGTAGCAAAATATTGCTCTGAGATTACAAACAGTCTCTATAATTTATTTCTTCACAAAAAGTGGGTGATAGCCTTTGATAGCTATAGGTTACGCTAGAAAATGCGGCTCATGCTCTTGGTTGTTACATCTCTCAGCTGCCTCAATGCTGATGCACATGATTTCTAGTCTGCTACACAGCCGTTTTGTGTTGTCACGCAACTCTCGGCCTCCCCACAGTGGGGAGGAATGTTATGTGACGACTCAAAAAACGGCTGTGTATAGCAGACTACATGATTTCTTGCCCTCTTTGAAGAGAAAAGGTAGAGACTTTTTGCAACCTGGGGATGAGGAGATGGAGTTACAATCAGATCCCCTAATGTCAATTCACGTACTTCTTTGATTCTTTTGTATACTTTTAAAATTTTAAAGTATTCTGTTTACTTTTTTCAATTATTGTTGTGGACTGAACAATACGCATAGCTAGCTATCATGCTGTAAGTAGATAATTCTCTCGAAATCAAGCTCTTGTTGCTCAAAATGCTCGCTCTTGTATTTATACTATTTTTTGGCAAATTTATCCACTCGGTTGATAAATACAGTTGAACCAGCATTAACCCTTTAAGCCCTAAGATCAAAATTTGAATTCTCATTTGTTGCTCCTATTCATTTCCTACAGAAGTAGTGGGGAGAAGTTGATAAAATATCAAGCAAATTCGTCTTGGGTGATCATGACTGTAATTCTCATGACCACTCTGTTTTACAAAGCATTGATATTACAAGGAGAAATTTGATGCTGATCACTCTTGGGGCTTAAAGGGTTAAGGAACCACCTATTAATTAAACAGCCAGGAGTGGCAGATCCAGGCAAGGGGCCCACCCCACCTCCCTTACTTTTAAACCAAATTGAGACCTGAAGGGCTGAAAAAAATTTTTTTGAGTCCACCCCCCACTTATCTAAGGGTCTGGATGAGTGCCCCCCCCCCTTATCTGAAGGTCTGGATCTGCCACTGGCCAGTAATCAGCCACAAAATAATTGTAGTAAAGAATAGGAACTTAACCCTCTATTAAGTAGCTACTTGCCGAGTACCACAACGGTGGCCACTTAAAGGAGTTTCAACTGTATACTTTTTTGTTGCGACTAGCTTTAGTTTAGCCTGCGCGCAGACGAAATTAAACTCTGGTTAACTCCGTTTGCGAAACAGCGCCAAAATCCTTTTTCTGGACTTCCAACTGTATATCCAGATTTGAGAACGCGCCACGATTGGCCAGTTAAAAAAGGCTTTGTTTTGTTTATCGTGATCGCCAATCAGGTTGAAGGGGAATTCGAAACGCACTTCCGGTAATTCGTTGAGTCCGTTGGTGGCCCAGAACAAGGATCTCTGCGCTGCTTCGCAGACGGTACTGATCAGAGTTTAGTTATCGTCTGCACGCAGGCTAGCTTTAGTTGGGTAAAGCAAAAATTGTGCAGCTGAAGGTTTTTTCACACCTAAGATTTCTATTATTTTTGTTACTCAGCAGGCTACTGCAGAAGGTGAGGTGACAATAGGGGAATGACCAGCAAGAGGGTGGACTGTGAATACTGCAAACATTCCGTGACATCACCATTGGTTTCCCTGCAAAATAAGGTCTGAGGAACAATGGCAAAAATTCCATATAGAAATCATGCTGCAAGGGAAATTAGCCTTAACCAATCACAGGAAAAAATAACGGATTCCCATTTTTGGATATTTTAGGGTAATTAAAGAATACCCATAAAAATCCCAAATTTGGCAATGTGAGACAAGTCCCAACCAGGGAATTCCCTACCAAGTTCCCTGATTGGGACTTGTCTCACTCTTCCAAATTTGGGATTTTTGTGGGTATTCTCTAAATACCCTAAAATATCCAAAAATGGGAATCGGTTATTTTTTCCTGTGAATCAGACCCAAGTTGTGACACATCAGCATGGAATTTCTGTGCTTGTTCTGTTCCTCAGACATGATCACTTCCAGAGTTGTGGTATCATGAAATGTCAACAGTTTTCACAGACTAGTGAGAAGGGAAACCAAGTCCCCCCTTGCCTGCTTTGTTTTCTGAGCAAAGACCATAGACTGAATACTATTTAAAACAATGCGTTGCATCATTTTTATATTAAAAATTTCGTCATGCAAGCATCAGTTGTCTGGTAGTCATGCCTCCTGCTAGTGGACATCCAAGTGCAGATTTAGGAGAAAGGTCCTAGAATTCCCAGAGAAATAAAAAGTATCTAGTATGATAGCCGGCAAGTAGGCAAGTGTCCCAGCCACCCCTTTCGCAATTTTCTGTATCGGCCCCTGGACCAAAAAAAATGGAAAAAGTTAATTAATTCCTAAGGAGGGCTGAAAATGCCAACAGTGTATATTCTCTTCCATTCCCCTGGGAAGAAACTCTGTACATTTTGGGATGAGTAGTCTCACTGGGATTTTGAAGCCACAATGGTAAATTCAACACTTTGCAAGACCCTGGTTTCAAAATTCGAGACCAAGACTTCAAAAAATTTGAGCCTCCATGATGCAAAATTACCGTCCCAAAAATGAGCCTTCAAGACCCATCACAAACACTTACAGAGATCTTGAGATCTGGCCAAAATTTTCCAAGACCCACATCTTTTCGGAACACCATTCTATACCCCTTGATTTAGATTCCCCATGTTCCATTGAGACACAAAACAATGAACAATTTAGTTAACACATGGAACCCTTGCAGCCCCAACACAAAATTAATTGTTGTGACATTAACGGGGCCCAATGAAATAAGAGGTTTTGAATGAGTTGTGAGGCAAATGGTTCCATGAAGTTGTGAACTGGACTTGAAAGACATCCCAGCCAATCCTTCAGTTGGTTGAGATCCAATCTTGAGACAACAACAACAACTTTAGGCGAAACAAAAGGCCAACTAAGCATTCTTGTCACTAGCTGACATGTAATTTTAATAGACATCCAAGAATAACATTAATTTTATTTAAAACTAAGAAAGCAGTACCAACAATGTTGTGTTACTCTGAAATGCCCTTAAATTATTTGAGAGTTTTCAGAAGGGTGAGCTGATACCCAGTATGTGACACGATCTTCACAAAGGAGTCAACAATGTTATTTTCTGTGACTTTCAAAAACATCAAGTACTTTCACTGCATTTCCATTCTGCACATACAACCACTCTCAAAGAATTATGGTGTATCTTGAGTATGATTGTGTATGGGAAATCAGGTTAACAACACATAAAACTGAAGTTTGAGAAAACGACAGCACAGCAACATGGTTCTTTGTGGCTTTTGTGTCTTGACAGGTGTACTAAGTATCATGTTCACAGGAAAGAGTACCACATGGCCATTTTTATTGTACAATTTCTTTGTTTGCTTATTCTCATAATAATCTATGCTTTTTTCAGTTTAAGAGTCTTTTCCTTCAAGAAAACCCTCATGAAAAACGTTTTTTATATGCTGTCTGGTATATTAAATGTATTCTATGGTCATGTCAGCTTTTTGCCTTAAAATAGAATACTTAACATCTCTAATTAATGATTTGAAGAGCTCTTATCAGCCCACCACTCCCAACAAAAGCAACACTAGCAGACTTGGATTTAATTATTATTATGTAATGTTTCATGATGCCCAGTAAAACAATGGATAATAAAAATGCCTGTATCCGACGATTCCCTGGTTTAAATGCAAAGCTTTCAAGATCACACATAAATTAGACAAAAAAACAACAAGGGAGAGTGTAAATTAATATATAAATAAATACCCCTTAAAATCGGTAACTTTTCATCACATCAGACACCTTAAAACTACTGAAGAGTATTTTCAAAGTCTAGCTTGCATCAGTACAGAGACAATGTTTTCTGACCAATTTCATAAAACTGAGCTGTCAACCAAATTAGAATGGGTGGCAAAAAATAAATATTAAGTATTCAAATTTGTGGTCAGCAAAAATTAATAGTGTAACAGATAAGAAATAGGTCAATACGAGAAAAGTTATCAAACTGTTACAGCCATTTGGCAAAGAGTATTGCGAGTCCCATGGTTGAAATTTTGGAATACAGCATAATGACTGGATAAAAATTAATGTAGAACAAGGTCACATGCCTTTCTATTCAGGTATTCTACCAGGATGTACTAGCTAGAGTACTTAATTATAAAAGATTATAATTATTATCCAATTTAACCCTGCAAAACTAGGGATAGAATCCTCAATCCTGGTGACAAAATGTACAACCTCAAGGCTACTAGACCCAATATTGTAATTTATAGTTTGATTGATGATCTAAGTTGATCAAAGTGGGGGCCAGGTCTGCATGCCCTTCTAGGAGATGTCAGTTTAGGGAGCCTAAGAAAATAGCTGCATAAACAATAGTGAGTTTATGCAACAGGAGGGTAGGAAGAAGACAACGGCAAAACGCTCGGGTGTGACAAATGTGATAGGCCTATTACTTGCGTGTTTGTTGGGACCTTCACCTAACAATATTTTTTTTGTCTTTTTCAAAACAATCTGTTTAAAGGAGAGTGAATTTTGGTGAACAGTTATTTCAAACAAAATTATTGTTATGTTTGTCTCACACAAGGTTTGCTGTCTCCTTTCCTCTCACGTTGTGTTGGGTAAATTCACTAACATCAGGGACCACCTCTGGCTGCTTGATTTAACAAGGAGTCTGTGTCTGAGAGATGATAGTTAACCTCTTCGAGTCCTAGGAGTAGCGTACACCAGTTTTTGCGCAACAATATCAATACATAATCAAGACATTAGATAATAAGAATTCAAGAAGTGAACACCAAAGGGAAAATGCTTTGTTTTTTATAATCAAATGCTCACAACTGCCGTTGGTTACACCTAAGCATATACATGTAAAGAAAAAACATGCTCTAATTGGATGCAAAGGTGACATGTTTTGCTGCCAAACATTTGAAGTTTGGAGTAGGCAGCTGTTGTCGACTTTTTGTTTTTGCTCAACAAAATATTCATTGCAAGAATTTTTAGACCTTAAGGCAAGTGTGCTGTTTCCGAGCAAGAAATAGGCCTGAAAGTTGAGAAAAAAAGAAATATGAAAGTTATGTGGTGATCAAAAACATACATTAAAAACTTACCTTTGGTGTAACAGTTTGCTTTAACAGCTATCAAACTTCAAATGTTTGGTGGCAAAACACGTTATGTCTTGCATTCTATTGGAACATGTTTTTTGTCTCCTGTCCACTTTTGGATGCAACTGACGGTAAGTTTTAAGGAAAAGTATGGAGATAAGTCTGGAGAATTTGTATGAGGATCTTGAAGCTTAAGGGTTAACGAAGAGAGAGCCGACCTTACAATGATACACCACACAAAATACAAATTAATAACTTATAATTTGTATTTTAGGTGGGGAATTGAACGTTTAAACCACCCATGTTATTGGTAACTTTAATGATAACTTTAAGCAGATGGAAAAGTTGAAAAGTTACACAATCTCTCTGACAATGCTTGCTCTTATAGCTAATGAAAACTTTGCTTGAATAAAATTAATTGAACACTAAAAACTGATTGCTATGCAACTATTACATTATGATTTTAACAAACACTGTTGAAACGATGTTTAACACTGGAAAGTGGTGAAAATTAACTTGCAGAAAAAAATCATTTCAGTGGATTCTCATTTTATCACTGGGCTGTTAGATTATTAGTTTCTGTAATAATTATTTTTTACCACTTTCTCACTACTTGTTATGTTTTACACACTTCACAGAATATTACCAATGTTGTACACAGAATCAAGGGCTTCATTTGAACCAGATACATTAGGTCGTACATTGTTACTATCCATCCCTCAACTTGTTGCGTTGAGCCAAAAATTATTCTTTCTTTGCTTGAATTTCCCTTCCTTCATCACTACCATTCACATCAGAGTTGACAGACATTTGAGGTTTCATATTTCCTACATGAAACAAGATAAAAAGTCCCCGTTAATGGTGAACTTAAGAAATGAAAGTTCACCAATCAAAACAAAAACATTTCAATCAAGGTTACACCTAACTCTTGAGTTTCCAGAGAAATGAAAAAGCTTGCCATTTTTTATATCTGCTTCTTACTTTTTAGCATCTAAGTACATGTTTATGATTATTCACACAAGATGCTTTAATAGTCACTCAATTGTCCAGTAACTACAGTGTATGCAGGGCAGGAAAAACCCAGGTTCGATTGCCTGGGGCAAGTAAAATTTGATCTTGGGCAAGCAGAAAATAGATGTTTGGTCACTGGCCCAGTGGGCAAGTGAAATAAGCCTCAGTGGTCCTGTGAGTCTGTTTGAAAGTGTTAGCTAGGTAGATGATTTCCAGACAGAAACGGTTTCAAAACTGAAGACTGCAAGATGAGTGACGCAGTTAGTTTTCTGCATTCTTTTTAATAATAATAATAATAAACAATCTTTATACAGGGAGCTCACTTCACAGTGAGTGATATTCAGTGAGGCCCTGTAAAACAATAGAAAAATAAATGATCTAAGATAAATAAATATGAAAGGTAATAAAAAAGTAAAAAGTTAAGACCTAAAAACTTAACTAATACAAGCTACAGGTTAAAAAAATGTTAAAATGTCAGATAGATTAAAATATTAAAAGCTATAAAATATCTAAAATATACAGCTTTTAATGCTGTTTAAATAGAAAAGAGTTAATTTCGTTAAAAGATGCATCTAAAAAGAGCATTCAATCATCAAAATTAATTGTAGTCAAAATAAACCAAACTGAATCTGATTTTTGAGATTTTAAATTCAAATTCCAATTTTGTTCTAAACCAACCTGGGTTATCTTAACCCAACTTTGAACAATTTGGCCCTGGTCTTTTGAAATCGGTTTACAAATAAAACAAGATTAATTTGGCCGTTGTCCATTTACAGACCATATGAGCTCTTTGAGGATGCAACGTACCTGGATTTTCTTCGAGAGATTTTACTGAACTTGACCGATCCAAACCAGATTGAAGCAGTGCCTTTAAAGCACTATTTGCCGCCTCCTCCCTGGAAGCATCTACAGTTAACCCTGAACCATAGCATGTAAGAGGTGGAATGGAGGTCACTGTGACTAGAGTCAGATATTCTCTCTCCTGAAAAGTGTGAAGAATAAGGAACAGATATACACCTGTAAACAGGACCCTGAGGACAAGGTTTTGAATTGTTTTGCTAGAGCTGTAGAAAATGGGGGTAAAAATCTCACAAGTTTTGTGAAGACAAAATAGCCAAACTACTGCCTAAAAACATAGCATGGACGGCAAAAATACAACTTGACGGATGACTGTGTTAAAGAATATCTGTGAGACTACACATCCCTTTATATCCTGAATTTGCCAAGGAACATGCAAATAAAGATGGGAACTTAACATTGAACAAGGTAAGCATATTTTAGCATAGTTTTAAAACTGTGAATAGTTCATTACTATTCATTCAAAATAATACTCTGGAAGGGTGTCATCTGTCAGATCATACTCGGCCTCATCCAAAACTATTGCTAATTAGCATTTCAGTAGTTAGTCAAACATTAAGTCACAAGAGAGAGAAAGAAAAAAAAAAACATCACCTGACTGTAAAAGATGCACAAGTACCATAGGAAATAAAAGGAGAACAAAGTGGAGAATATGCATGTAGAAGCATGCATGTTTAAACTTCATATTCGGAAATGTGATCTAAGCGCGATGGTAGAAGACGATAATTGAATTAACTGCATTTTTTGTAACTCATAACAGAATGAAATTTTCCAGACTGGATTTCTATTTTAGGCAGTTTTTTAAATCTTAAGTAACTAGGCTTTTAGTACCGAATAGGCTTTTGATCATTCACTAGTCAGTAGGTTTTCTTAATTACACATGTACTGTTAAGTGTCCCCAATTTTTTAGAAGAGGGTATTACTCTGGGCTAGCTACTAAGACATGTTAATAAAGTTTTGAAGATGATGATTGATGAGAGTTTTAAGGCTAAGGTTGTTAAACTAACCTTAGGGTAGTCAGTGAATTGTACTCTTAATCCTTCCACTTCAGCTAGATGCAGCAGCTTCTGGACAGACGTTAACATAGCAGGTGTTGTCTTGACGACAGGAGCGCCTGGAGCACGGTTTAGCCCTCCTTGTAATGCAGGCTCCTGAAAAACAAAGATCGTGTAACTCAAGGAGGTAGTTTTTCTAATCTAGGAAAATCACCTTATACTCTAAGAAATCACCTTGAAGAGGAAAAAATGGGCAACACTCTGAAACAAAATTGACACCACCCACTGGCGATGTTTAAAGGGCATTTTACATGGCAGACAACTTAGGGTGGGATTTTTTGGGGGTAATTTAATGAGCAATTCCAAACAGCCATGTAAATTAGAAGTGATTTCATGAAGAATCGCAGTTGCAAAATTGCCTACTTGAATTTCAGTGTGATTCATTTGCAAGAACCCAAAGCTCATCGTGCAGCTCTTGACAGGTAAGTTTAACTTAACAGAATTATTCTTTGGTAACCACTGCATAAAGATTAGAACATCACTTCAAAATCATCCGAAAATTATTTTTCACACCCAACTCATCGGCCATAGATTATAAACAACTTTACCCCTTGCATCTCTTTATAAACTGGTTAGTACCAGAAGAAAGTGAGCATTACAGTGTAAGCAATGGAACGTCACCTAAATTTGCATGAATAACAGTAACATCTCAACCCATCTCTAAACAAAATCTCAACATGCCATTTTTCTCCTGCCTGAAAACTATCTTTGCACCTTCCTACAAACCACATGATTATTCAGTAAAATCTTATTGGGTCACATTTATAGCTCGATGCACCATAACTACGCTGTTGACAGGTTAGCACCTGAGGGACGGCAGACGACTTGAAAAGTAAATGTATAAGGAGTACTTTTTGCTCCTCCATCAAATTTTGCGCAAAAGAATAAAAAGAATGCCTGATCACAGGTTTATTTACCTGAGGTTCATGCTTCACTTGTGCAATGGGAGCAACTACTGCATTCATCATGTCCGATCGAGTCTGTTTGGCTAGTTCAGGAACCATAGGCAGCAGACCTGGCTTCAGTTGACGGCCTAGGATGGTGACAGGATGGCTGCCAGGTTCTGTACCATTGAATGAGCCTTTCTCGTCACCATTAGTTTTCTCTGCACTCGACGATTTGTCTCCCTTCGGAGAAAAGGATGGCATAAGAGCATTGAGAAAAGAAAATCAACTTTGGTTAAAAGAACTGAATCAGTGACTACATCCATTAAAATCAGTCTATTGACATGTATGGTGCTTTTTTTCAAATTATACTCAAAAGTCACATCCCTACCTTGAGCAAGAAAGCTACAATAATATTTTATAAACTTAAATTTATTTACAGGCCTAGCAACAAAATTTTCAACCCTCACTTTCAAAATAAGGCCAAGTACAAAACCTTTCAAGAGACAAAAAGATTTATTCACTTACTAGAAAGAAAAATTTTTTATCAAAGACTTTGCCCAAAGTCACGTGTAGAGAAAGTCAAAAATAGCCTATTCCCTCTAAGGGACTCTTGACCTAATGTCACATTCTCTCTGTTTCAAAAAACAACACAAATATAATGATTTGTGAGAAGAGACTACCAATAATCACAGAACACTTAAAGCTTTTTGCCAGGCACTAGTTCAATTTATAGAGGGCTCTGTTCATTGGAGAGTAAAAAAGGCCTTGACAACCCAAGAACCATCAGCATGAAATTTCTCCTTTCTATTGGAAATGTGTGAAGAAAACAACTAAGAATTCAAATTTTGAAACTAGGGTTTAAAAGGGTTAAGATAGGTTACCTGAGCATTAGCTGACTTTCCCTCACTGGAACGAAAGCCTATCAACTGCAGCATTGCTTCAGAAGCTTTCTTCTTGGCCTCCTTCTTGTTTGGGCCAGCTCCTGTTGCCTTATGTTGCCCCACAGTCACTTGCATGGTGAATTCTCGCTGATTTGCTGTAACTTTCTCATGAAGAAGCTCATAAACTGGTGGCTGCTCGTGTCTGCGCTGAAGAATCTGTCCAAGGATACTAACAGGATTCATAGACGGGTCTATTTCCCCCTTTGCCTGCTTGTCCTTGGAAATACGTGGACCACGGCGCACAAACCGGCCAGCATTCCTATAGCTTGTCTCTTGTGCTGGTAGCTCTGGAAGCTTTTTCAGTTCTTCCAGCATTTTCTTTGCTGCCTCTTGCTTGGCATCTTTCTTTTTACAGCCTTCTCCTGTAGTGACAAATTCACCAACAGTGGCACTCACCACAAAGCGTTTCATGTGGGGAGGACCACTGCTCTTGACATCTTCAAACCCTACCTGGAGTTTCCGTTTAGCTGCTATTTCATATACTTTACTTATCTCTGATTTCATCTCAGTTGTACTGCCTTTGGTCACATCCTCAGACTGCGACGCATTTCCTTCACCATTTTGAACATTAGCTGGCTCATCTGCCTTCATGGGCAAGTTTTTCTTCTCTCCTACAGTAGCCAGCTCTTCATGCAAAACTTTCACAGCCTTTGCTGCAGCACTTTTGCGTGCAGACTGCTTGTCACGCCCTTCACCATAAAATTCCTGATCTCCAACCACCAGCTTAACACAGCTGATTCTTGGTACACGTGGCGGGGCAGAACGGGGGTGATAGCCATTTTGGATGTAAGGGGGAAAATGCTGCTCCTGGCCAGGATGGGACATCCCATAGTGGGTTCGAGCATGCAGTGGCCCTCTGTGATGAACCCCGGGTATCTGGTGTTGCATCTGAAGGTTTTGGTAACCCATATTAACAGGTCGTTGGTACGAAGGAATCTTAGGTTGTAAATCATGGTACTGAGTCAGCTTGCCAAGTTTCATAGCCAGCACGTTCAGCACAACAGTGGACGTTACATTCACTTGAGGAACAAGAGGCTTCTCGACTTCTGGCTTGCACAGACCACACTTTTCCAATCCAACAGTAGCAGCTGCATGTCGAGCACTTCTGATGCTTGTTCCCTGGCCATCCCACTTACCCACGTCGCCCAAAGTCAGTTGAACGGTGAACGTTCGCTTGTGAGCCGGTCCACTCTCTTCGATGACTTTGTACTCGGGGTTAAGTTTGTTCGCTTTCGCAAGTTCGTTCATCAGGCTAACCGGCGTTTTCTGTGCCATTGCGAAGGTTCCAGAACTTGAAGAAGCGAATTTCAGAATATGATTGTCAAAGACTAAGATGAAAGATGATCCTAGGGTAGTTTGTCGACGTTGTGAATAATAAATTACTTTGAAATATGGCCGACTCTCTACAAAAGGGTCAAAGTGTATTGGTTGGAATTACCGCTAACTTCGGTGGGGAAATTAGTGGTAATAACAAAAAGAGGAAAAAGAGGAACTGAAAGATTGTGTAGTCGAGGAGAAACGTGAGGAGACCCCACACTTTTGAAGAAATTTGTTTTCTTTCAAAAGTGGACTAAATCGCCGGACATGAGGTCTGCTCGCCTTTGCGTCACTCGGAAGGAAGTAATATCCCAGCAAGCCTTTGGTGCACAGGGACAAGCCAAGTTTATTGCTAGGGAGGGGAGGGAGGTCTGCAACACAAACCACGGGAAGTGGTACATTTTTGAAAGATTGAATCATTTCAATTTGTGTCATCTACATCTAAAATTATCTAAATGACTGATCTGCAAAGGACAGTGCGGCCCATCTTCAGCAGATATGTGCTGTGCTCGTGCTGTATGCGCTAAAAATCAGTGCAGTGAATTTGTGCTGGTGATATAAAAATTAAAAAATGTTCAAATGTTCAATGGCGCCTGGCGTGGGCCCTCAAGGCAAGCTTGAAGACCTCTGTGTTGGCAGCTTCGATGAGACTCTGAACAAGTGACAAGTTTTCCCTATATAATTCACATATGTTAAAAGTAGAAAAAATAGGCACTGCATGAAAAAGATACAAGTGTCCAAAACCGGTGAAGTTAGTTGTGTTTATATAAAAACTACCAACCACAAGTCCATAAAAAAAAACAAAGAACAAAAACTAGACTTGAAAACGATCTCCAAGAACCCCAGTGTGAAATAAGACAGGATTGAAGTTCACGCAGAATTATTTCTAGCTGAAGAAAATTCTTTGGTGGGACCATTTCAGTGAACCCTTTAGGTCAGTTCTTTCCTATGGAACAGTTTATTTTTCTCGAGTAGAAATTCTGAATTTTTCATGAATGTTTTTAAAAAGTCAACGGTTATGAAACTGCTAACAAAAGTTTATTTCCACTCATCGTAAAAATACAAAGCTTCAAGATGTTTCTTTTTTCATCGATTCATGCATTGTTTAAATTCAAAGTAGACTGCTGTCAATTCTCTGAACGTTGTCACGACTTCTTTCCAAAGAAAGACAGTCGCAAACGTTTTCGCAAATAGAGTCACCCCAAACAGAAAAAAACAAACGCAAGCTTGGTGAGTCTTTAAAAGGTCGTTCTTTATCAGTTTCCTTGTAATTTTATTTTTGACAAACTGGTAAAAACAATATTAACAACTGAGATCTCTCCTAACAAAGATAATTACATAAAAAAACTAAAATAGAGGCATCAAACGGAAACATACACTACGATTTTTTCCGACAAGCTTGAACCTGCAAGTTTAGCGGATTTACTGAACATATTAGAAGAAATAACTTATTAACCCTAACCCAGTTGCTATTGGATAACGAATTTTGTGCGAATTTATCAAACAATTTGAAGTAAACATAAGCTAACATAACACTGGATACCAAACGTGATTGCATAACTAGATTTTCTGCTTCTGTAGTGATATACAAGGCAAGCAAAATAATTACTCTGATTTCACGTTACTCGAGTCATATCGTAAGTAGGTTGAATATCGCCAAGGTGAGTGCAGTTCGGGACGTACTAAGTCCTTGCCTAGTCCCTGTACTCGTTGTACGGCGTACACGGACTTGAAGAGTCTTCTCTTACACTTTGGGTGTGTTGTGTGCACAATGTTAAAGTGGGCTTCCTGTGCAAGCGCGCGTTCGCCCATATACACAAGGGTTGGCAACTCCATCGGTTTATCATGTTTCCTTACGCATGGGGCTCCGCTCACTATATATTTGACGCGTGTGTCAGCTCTACATAAATAAGTTACACAAGTAAGTTATGAGTGAGCCTCTTCGATCACTTCGTGGAGTCTACCCTTCTCGACAAGTTCAAATATTCCTTTGGTGAACTGAACAAACAGTCTTTCCATATAATTGGTTCCTTCAATTCCAGCGCCCTCCACAAAGCCAATGTGACCACCATATGACGTGAGTACCATGGCAACCAGCGGATTCTGGGCCAGTGCATCTAGAGGGATCGCTGTTCAATGAGAGCAAAAAGAAAGCAAATTTGTCATTACGATCTTACGTGGATAGTTTACAGTCCCTTAGGAATGTTTGGATGGGGACAAGCCGCTGGGATACCGAACCATTACCTTATTCCAGACCTAGTTCAGCTGAATTTTGCCACCCTATACTAGATTAAATTCCCCAAACCCCTCCTGATCCTAGAGTCGATATTTTCCACAAAAGAAATTACCGAGGTCGATGCTGTCTTTGCTATTAAACTGAGTTGCGGGTAAATTGAGATTTGCCAATTTAATGTTTTTTAGTGTCAGTGAAACGACAATTACAACTGTGAAAAAAGAAGGATAGGAATACTAGTGGCAAATCACATTTACAATCTTCACAGCCAATAACATCACGGCTTAACTGACAGACGACCAATAACATCGCAACTTAATTGACCAATCAGGTCAATAAACAGAGTTAAATACCATCAACTGACGAGACACAACTCACTTTGACCGTGGAGATGACTGCCGCAGAGGTTGTCGAAACGGCAGTCACTGTCAACAACAGCCCTATTCGGGACTTCACTCACTCGGACGATGATGTTCCACCTAATTATAAAAGTTATTGTTTTGTACTATGGAGTAGCTTGCGAACGTAGACGCATTTCCAGCTGTCGTTTCTGTCACTTTTTACGAGAAAAGCAAAGACCAGAAATGGAAAGCGTACATAACTTGCACCCCCCCTCCTCCTCCTCCTTCCCCCTCCCTAACTCCATCTCTTCAAATTCTCTTTAACCAGTTAAGCCCCAATATCCACATACAAATTGTCCAAACTGATCTCCATACATTTCCTTTAAGAATTAGCTGAGAGAATTTAATAAAACATCATGGTATTTTCTCTTTGGTGACCATTTCACTAATTCTCATAACCTAATCTCTTGACAATGTATGGATATCGTTAGGAGAAAATTGCTGTTGGTCACTATTGGGACTTGAAGGGTTAAATGAGCCCTCACTCACCATGCAGAGGGGAAAACGGATCATCAGCGGCATTCAAGCACAGCACAGGTACTCTTATTGTGTGCAGTGGTTTGGTGTGAAGAGTCGCAGCACTGTAGTATTCCTCATAGTTGCGATAACCAAATGTTGGAGATGTAAATCTGTCATCAAACTCGCGTATGGTCCTTGCCTACAAATATAACATCATACGGTATGTCTTAGTATGTAACTATGTGTACGTTAAACTATACACTGCGAGCAGTCTCTTATTGTTCCCTTGAGACACGGAAGGATATGAGCACGAGAAACGAGGGCACGCGCGAATGGCGATCAGCGAAGCTGCGAGAAACGAGGGCGGAGCCCGGGCGAAGAAAAACTATTTAAACTAAGGCAATCACCAGGGGGATACTCCGGAGTTAAAGTGACGGGGATGATCGAAAAGAGGCAAAAATGACCACAAAAAATCCCACGCCGAATTTTCCGAGGGTTAAAATTTTCCAAAAGATGGAAATTGAATTTTTGAATGTCTACTAGCAGTTGTTTAGTCATCGTACTATCTGAATTTATATTTTGTCATCTGGTAGTTTTCAGAGATTGTAGCTATTTATTGTATGATATCAACAGACAGACAGCACCAGTTAGTAAACTCAATCAGTTCGTTAAAACAAGTCAGATTCATAACTACAGAACAAGATCTGTCTCTAGCGACTCGTTTTATGTTAAGTTCTCTAGAACCGATAAAATGTATGCCTTTTTCACGAGAATCGGTGCCCAAATTTGGAACTCTATTCCTTATTCGATTAAAATACTTAAACGTTCGCCCATTGAGGAAAGAGATTAGGCAAAGGGTTAAAAACCCCATCTTACAAAAAGCCACATCTTACAGAAACTGAGAGCGTTGACGATGTTACAGCTCAAACTGTGAAGACTGCTGTGGAAGCGATATGACGCCCTTACAACGTTTGGGCAACGTCCAGTTCCCTAACGTCTTAAGTCGTTTCGCGAACGTGTTAGGTCAGTTCCCTAACTTTTTCGCCTTAGCAATAGCTTAAAGAACAACGTATACATAAATATGTAATAGACCGACATTTTCGTGTCATGACTAAAAGAATGAAGTACATACATGTGTGGCGATCGTTTCGTTTCCCCGTAAGCGAAACGACTTAAGCGTTAGCGAAACGGCGCGTAGACGAAACGACCGGTCACCGACGCCCTTAATGAGGCTCAAAGTAGCTCCTAAACAAAGGATCTCATTGCATGCTGCAACGTACTGTCGAGAAAGAACGGGAAAGAGCGGGCTAGACAAGCTGGAATATGGCCAGATCAGCAACACAAAACAGGGTGGGTGAGCCCGTTTGTATGCGTCAAACGAACAAACAAATCGAATCGCGGTCGTTTCGCCCGATGGCGTTTCGCCTGGACTTGAGTCGATTCGTCCAATAACATACAACAATCTACAACACGGTGCGCATAATCAACAGAGATGTTATTTTAGTTACGTTTGGATTCCACATGTGCAGACACTATCTTTTCACGTTTGTTCCCGGCTTTTTTCAGACTTAAAGAACGACAACTACAAATCGGGCGAATAATCCTAACTACGGGCGAACTGCTGTCGGGCTAAAACGACCTGACACCAACAAATCACAATGAACATCGACTATAGTTATTATCCCATCGGTTAAGTCACGGAGTCTATTCCAAAGGATATTTCAATACTTTTTAAAAGCGCTGAAAGACCCCATAAGTGTACAGTCAATGAAAAAAGAATTATGTGAAGAGCAACTGTGACGACATGTAAGTAATCACCAGTATGAAACTTGAATTGAATGAACACACTACCTTTAATACATGATGGATATCAAATGGCAGATTCCCCAAATGACTTTCAAACACCTCCAGGTTACTAAAAGGAGACATATAAATAGTGCAAAGCCGTTATTTTTGGCCGCACCACACCGTTAACATAACAGCTATTTTTCAGTGTATCATGCTGTTGATACAATGAACTCTCTCCATGTTGAATACTAGTAGGTACCCTTCGCGCCGCCTTGGGGCCTTCTATGTGGAGAGTGATGTTCTATGATCTAAACTTAAGTCTTTGGATGAAATCCTATGGCGTGGCCATTCAAAGGAAACCTCTTCAGCAGTACTTTCACATGGGACTATTTTTTTAGTTTGTAGCTCTAACTTTTGAGTCTGTGAATGAAATCCTGTGGTGCGATCACTTCAAACGAAACCTCTTCACCCGTGCTTTCCTATTGTACTACTTTTTTTTTTAACAAAAACCTGTGATGTGACCATTTACAAGAAAACTTCTTCTGCAGAAAATTCACATAGACATGTACAGTGGAACCCCGCTCTACGGACACCCGCTTACAACAGGCACTCGTATATAATGGATAGTTTCCAGACACTGAAAAATCTCAAATTTTCTGTAAAAATAACCCGCTAAATACAGAAACCCGGATAATGCGTACAAAAAGGCATGTCCCCTTGGTGTCTGTATTAACCCTTTAAGCCCTAAGAGTGATCAGCATCAAATTTCTCCTTGTAAACACGATGCTTTGTAAAACAGAGTGGTCATGAGAATTATGCACATGATCACACAAGATGAATTTGCTTGATATGTTATCAGCTTCTCCCCACTACTTCTGTAGGAAATGAATAGGGGCAACAAACGAGAATTCAGATTTTGATCTTAGAGCTTAAAGGGTTAACCAGGCTCCACACTAGTAAGCAGGGACCAATGCTAGATGTCTGTTTTAGCAAGGTGTCCATCTTACAGAGGTATTTATCTTAGAGTGTCTGGCTAAAATTAGAGACCTTTAGATTCGAGGATGAGAACGACTACAAGTCTGACGAGATTTGATTTAAAGTTTTTTCATGTATTGTTAAAAGACAGACACTCTGGGATTCTTCATTGTACTTTTTTGCACGAGAAAAGTTAGCACTGTTATCGATATTGAAGAAGGTTGAGCCCTCTCTGGATTGCAAAATGCTAAAACTTCTAACATTTGATAATTTGTTCCCTCCACTATGGCTAAAACTCATAGTAGAAGTACCACGTTTTCCCGCCAGAATGACGCTGCCTCACGCACAAGCACCACTTACTATTAAGAAACTCTCGTACTCGTAGTCGTTCTTGTCTTAGAATCTTAAGGTCTGTAACGTATGAGTGGTTGAGTACCTTTGTATCATCTGCACCAGGTTCCTGGTCAGGTGCTGATTAAAAAGAAAGCTGTTGATTGGTTGTTCCAGTGACTCACAGGACTCCATACAGTTCCACGGAGTAGAAATAGCCATGACTCCAACAAGACCTGAACTCTCACAGTCACCCACTTCATTTAAATAATTCATAAGGATCATCCTGTAAAAACAAAACGTGAGTCTTGAAAAAATTTCTTAACCCTTACATCCAAAGACAGGCCCAAATCAATTTTGTCCTTAAGATATCAACCGATAATCAAGAGAAAAGTAACAAGAATTTATAACATGATCACCTAAAAGAAAACGCTTTGATCTCTAAGCAAATTCTTCCTACTAATCTTATAAAAAGAAATGAAAGGAAGTCGGCCTGAAGAATTTAAAAGTGGATATAATGGCTTAAATGGTTAACAACTTCAGTACTAACAGTGAGTCTAGAAATGGGAGTAGCCTGGGGTTTGAAATTTTCTTGCGCATTGTCTTCATCAATCTTTCTTTAGCACAGTCGAATTAAGATTAGCACAGTGGTAAGTGTGTGGCCTTCTCAGAGGGGAGGGGGGGGGGAAGGGTTCCGAGTTTGATACCTAGTTAGACCTCAATGTTTCAGCTTCTTCCTTTCTGTGCAGCTTTTAATTAGCTTTCTATACCTTTAAATGGAGCACTACTGAAGGACTACTCAGAGTATGAGAAGAACTTTTAGAAACAACATGGATTTACTTATTGCGGGCGACAAGAGGAGTCCACAGTCCTAATCTCCAGGTTGTTATTACGCATGGGTCATATGTTTGTAGCCAGCACTTATTTGGACTTCCACTAAAAATGAATGGAATGCACAGAACGTAAAATGAACATTGTATGTACAACACTACTCAGAGTATGAGACGAACTTTTAGAAACAACATGGACTTGCTTCTATCACCCTCCAGGTTGTTATCTGATCACATGTAGCCAGCATTTTTTGGCTATCTGTCAATGGAATAAAACTTAACACACGCGAAAAGCACACACGCGCTGGAGTCAAAAACTTATGCAAAGCACAGTTTTGATCTTCGATCATTGTTGCCTGCAATCAATAACCTTTGGTTATTACTAGTATTGTAACCTGAAAATAGTATACAATACATTCTATCCAAAAAGCAGTTGGGTTTGGACCTCTCCTAGGAAGCGATCCCTTATGGTTTGATTCTTGTAAGCATAACCTTCCATATGCCACCACTAACTCTTTGCATTTTGAGTGGTTGCTTACAGGAGGTTTGACTGTAATGGGGAATGTCTTACCCTCCCATAGAAATTCCCATGCCAAATATTGGTGATCCTGGGTAGATTCTGTGAATATGCGATAGAACAAACTTGAGGTCTTCAGTATTGGCTGCACAGAAGGTCCTTGGAGTCTGAAATTAAAGGTAAGCATAAATTTACCAAAATGCACTTTTATCACCATCATCCACAAGGAGAGGTTTGACCTGACTTACAAAGGCAGTGTGACAGTTGTTGTTACATTAAAACTGATTGAAACATTTGTGTAGTCACTAACAGGCCTTTGAATTATATTTACCTTTAACTGGGAGGCTCCAAATCCTCTATGATTAGCAACAATTGTCCTGTTATGTAAAAATAGAGGTAATGAAAAAATATTAAAAATATTAAAAAATATTTAAAAATGTTTAAGGTCAAAACTATATTCAGGTTTAAATTATCTATTAAACATAGGTTTAGCCCTAATTCATGAATAACTCAGGCTAGGAGACTGAAAGGATATAGTGAATAATAGGTGAAAAACTTTGAAACTGAATTAATTTGACCTGTAACATTAACATTTGGGTAACTGGGTGGAGGTATCCTCTATATACAAGAGAAGTACGGTGACTCCTTCCCTCTGCTAACCTACAGGACACCTGTGGGCAGGGTGGAGTACCTGGTCTGCCGGCACTGATCAGGGTTAGTGAGGTCATGGGAGCGGGTGATGGATATTTTTGAAGAGGCACCTGACACTATAACCTGACTGTGACATGGAGCCAGGCATAGGATTCCCCTACTTTGGAAACTGGCTGGGGTCAGGCTGGGGGAAAGACTCGTGTCCCTACTTCCTGAGACAATTTTATCCCAACAATCCAAGACCAAACAATGGAAACAAGAGAAAGAATGCAAGGACAGAAACTGTTTCCACTGTGAGGTCAAGGATGCAAAGTCCTGTGGGGATAAGCAGTCAGAGTAGTACTGCAGTAACATTAACATAAGCAAGATATTGACTAGTAATACAAGCACAAGGGGGTTTTGTAACAGCAAGTTCCATTTTTGTGGCTTTTGCTTGTCCTTATGCTCATGTCAAGCAGGAACCAATCAATGATCTGTCAACAGTTGTAAAATTAACCAATTGGTTACTCTGTTTCTGGGCTGACAGAGGGTTTGTTTACTACAAAAGAGTCAGCAGTCCATCTTTTCTTGTCTCGTTCCAATCCCCTATTGTAACATAACGTTGTGGTTTTGCAATTGCGAAGGCTGAGATAAGAAAAAGACGAATTGTAACAGAAAAGGCGGACTGCAAGCAGTCTAAAACCCACTATGAATGGCATCAACATAAGCATTAGAACAAGAAAAACAGAGGGTTTGATCCTTCTGTGTGTCCCAGCTGTCCTTACTGGACAAGTCCAGCATTCTAACCCACCTCACTCCTAACTTTTCACCCAGTAACACCAAATGACGGCTATAGCTTGTCTCACTTCCACCTAAAATAATAATGGTTTGAACAAGATAAATGACATATTTTCAATATTATTCACCATTCATTTAGTTCTTGGTCAAGTTAAACAGGGTTCATACAAAAAATTGCAACCATTTTTCAAAGACTTTTCAAGGACCACATTAGATTTCCAAGGACCACCTACTAGGAATAAAATTTCACAGATTGTACAAAAATGCACATTCCTATCTAATCTAATAAAACTTAAGGCTTGAACTCTTTCCTTCACCAACTTCTCTACATTTTTCAGTTCACTTCTCTGAAATTGATAGTTAATTATTGCGTAAAACATAGAGCACTCTGTGTAAATAACCTTTCAATTCTCTGAGCTTTGATTTATATTCTGTCTCGGACAACCAAAAAGCATTAGAAAACTTTTTCCAGGCCACTACATTCAAAGTTGAAGAAAATTCAAGGTCTTTTCAAGACTGCACGAACCCTGGTTAAAACCTCTGGTGCAGCACTTAAATCTCATGTAAACAGATAGCATAAAATAAAATAAATGTTTTTATAACAACAACTCCTTCTAACTGAAAGGCATATGTGTAAGAGATTTTTGAAGGCCATCGAAAGGAATTTGAATACTGATATTAACATCTTGGAATTAATTACTAACCAGTGAGTCCAGGAAGTAATAATACAGTAGGTCTTGTTGCAGCATCGTTATAAACAGTGCTGTCATCATTGTCAAACCAGTCCAAGCAAACGATCCCTTTGTCCGGTGTTTCCAAGGTCTCCCTACAGTGACAAAAATGTGACACATAGCATCAACGTTCGTTGTCATAAAAATTCATGATCAGATCGAGCACATCATCACTACAGTCATTGTTATTACCGTCATTGTTGTCACTGCTATTATTAGATGTTCAAAAAGTCCTTAAATTTTAATCCTGGTTGGTTATGGTATTCTGAAGGACTTTTCATACCTGTTTGGTGCGAAATTCACCAATCAAAAATTCCAGGGGTGACGTCACGACAATTGACTAATATAGGAGACTGAGAGTTTTAGCATGATGTAACCCAAGGAGCCCTAGGAAAAAGCCCACATGTTCTTTTCCCCTGTAAAATAACATGATTCTTTTTATGGAGGGACATTTCAAACACATGCCACAACCCTTTGAACAAATAGTAATAGTTTGCAAATGGATCTTGAAACTGTAGCTTCTGATCACTTTTTATCCTCCAGTAGATAATAAATATAAGAAAAAATGAACTCTTAGACCAAAAGTCGATAGAAATCGATAATCACTTGACATTTTGTAATCAACTCTTATTGATTACGATATTTGTCGATTGATGAGTATCGATTTTTATCAACAACAATCGGTCTCTATCGGTTATCGGAATTATCGACATGTGACGTTCTGGAAAAAAGGTTGAATGATCGCCACTCACATTATGGCGGTCGCCACGAGCACATTTGAACGGTAACTAGGGCTCAAGAAGAATTATTATTAACTTCCTAAGGAAAAAACAGTGAAAAAATACCTTCTAAAGGGAACTGAAGGTTTGGACCTGATCACCGCTCGAATTACCGTTTGCGCACGAGCTCCAAAACACCAAAAAGTTGGCCAATAATATTCGTTTACCATCGGACAACTTTGCAAGAGAAACTCTCGAAATGGACCTTCTTTGCCGATCAATCGAGGCTTTTGAACGACGTGAAACAAATAATACGTGACGTAGGTGACAAGCAGAACAGTCAACACGGGAAGCCATTGCCACTGATAAAGGATATGAAGAAACTCTTCCAGGGATTGCATTTTGAGGACAAAATGCTGCTGAAAAGAGCTGACAGGTCTTAGTTTGTTGTGAAACGAAGGACGAAGCGGACTTTGACTCTTGGATTAACAGTAGTGTCTAGGTCACCGCAGTCCAAAGACGACCAAGGAAAAACGAAAGAGACTGGAACTTCGCATGACAATGACGGTCGCAGTTCGAAGTTAAAAAAATACATTTCAATTTCCTCAAATACTTTCATAGTTTTAGCTTTAAACAACATCTAAAGGTCTGAATTGTGAAGATTTAATATTCTAATTAATTTTTCTTCAAAATGACGGAGTTATTTACTCACTACGAGCAACAGTTCGGAAATATCAGCGCTGAAATCACGGCGAAAATTTGCAAGATTCCGAACCTTCACGGATGTGAGTTTAATTGTGAATTTGACAATTTGTTGAAATTGACTCGTGTTGTAGCTTCTTTTAAACTTAAAACAGCGTTATTTTATTTTTTCCTTTAGCATCGAAGAAGGGTGCAGTCAGCGACGTCGAACGATGCTTTGATGAAGCTCGTGAATTGGTAAGAAACGAAAGAGTAATGATTTCAAGATTGAAAGATATTATTGTGTTTGTGTATGCGTCTTATTCCCTTTACATCTGTAAGATTCGATAAACATTTAATTTTGACAGCCGTCTTTTATCCACACAATGGTTTGGCTCGTTAGCTCTTTAAGATTGCTCAAAACTCTCAGTATCATTATTAAAGTTTATTCAGATGTCAATTTGATAAAAATCTAAAAAACTCTGAAAACACGGTTTCTTTTTGTCACTACGATTGTTCTTTCCTTCTCTTAAATCTTAGTAGATAAATATATTTGGCATTTCATTTTTAATAAAGTAACGCTTCCCCCAAGAACGATAGAAAACTCAACAACGCAGCAGGATCTAGACGGTAGTGTGTTTCCAATTAACGTATTAAAATCCAGCTCTGTGATTGGCTAGAAAACGAAAAAGGCTAAAAACTGATAGTAAAATATTGAAAATTTCCTTGAAATTCTAAGGTTCCATATATGGAATTTGGCTATTGTTTCGTATATGTAAATTTAAAGAGACTCTTATGTGGGGTTAAGCGAGGCCCTGCCAAGGTAAATTCTGACAAGCGACATGGCCCAAAAAGTAGCGACAGTGCGTAAAATGAAATCGCGACAAGAGACAACCTCCCTCGGCTAAATTGCAACGGTGACGGCAAAGCCAACAATAAGCGACAAGCATTATTTTATAACAGTACCGACACGAGACGTTTTAAAATTCAGATGGGCGACATGGGACCCCCCCTTGGCAGGGCCTCTTAATAACCATAGTTATGGCCCATCTTGACCTTTTCACTGAGTATCCATCATTTTCTTTTGTTATCTCAGCCAGAAATCAGTGGTTATTCCTAGCCCTTTTTTAATTGTAAATTTTATGTATCTTTTTTCTAAAATTGATAGTACGTTAATATATTATGCCTTTTGTGACTGTATGCCAAATTATTTTCACTTTGAAGGCATTTTAGTGATCCACGTGCATCATACTCATGAACCTGTCAAAAAATGATGAAAGAAAAGTAAAATATTGTTCCCTGGACTGTTATCAGAGAAAATGCGCAGTTCCTACATACGATTTTTTTCCCTTTTTGTATCTGCAAAGATTAATAGAAAATAAATACAGTAAGCAAAATCTCAGCAAAATTATTGGGCTTTAATAAATAGAATTTTCTTCAAACAATTTGAATTTCATGCCAAGTGGCCTTTTAACCAATGAGAAGGCTCATCTGAGGCTTTAATATTCACATGTTGGCTCACCATAGGAAAAAACGGCCATCATTGCCGTGGCCTATTGTTTTTCACCATAGGTTTTATGCAAAGCGTTCCTTAATTTTTTTATTCAGTTTTCCCTTCAAAATGACTATTTATCAGAGTATTAGATCTTGATCTATTTTTCTACAAAGTTTTAGCTTGCATTGTTTATCTTGGCACATGTAGGTGTTTTACTTCCTTATTATCTAACTCCCAACTTTTGCCAAGTCGCGTGCTTGAGAGTTTTGTATCCATATTACCTGACTGTCTGAAAAAATATGAACCTTGCCGATGATGTTCTGATGACTTCCAAAATTTAGCAAAGATTCCCAGATTTCCGAGGGTCACCAAACTGTAGTGGGGGCGCCAAACAAGTCTTGGTGCAATCTTGCTTAGATCACGCATATCTTGGCAAGATTACCAAGGAAAGGTATTGTGACATCGTCCTGAGATCACCTTTATACCTGAGATTGTGCATAACATATTTGTTGGTATTTTTTGGAATAAAATATTAATTGTGCCTTATTCATGTGAAACTGTCCTATATTCATGAGATCAAAGTTTTTTATCCTTAGGCATATAACACACACATAATAGGTGTGAGTTGGCAGGTATGTATTTTACTCAAAAAGTCGTCCTTCCCTGAATATCATTAGACACTGTGATTTTTCTTTTCTAGATAGAACAAATGGAGTTGGAAGTTAGAGAAGTTACAGGTGAAGAGAAAGCAAGATTAAATAACAGACTCAAAGCCTACAAAAATGAAATGCAGAGATTTGAGCAAGACTTGGTAAGCAGCCAAATAAAAATACATGTTTATGGCCTGAGTAGGTGCACCTCTTAAATTAGCTTTTTGCGGGCTCCTCTTGTCGCCCGCAATCCTAATCTCCAGGTTGTTATTATGAATGCTTCGCATGTATGTAGCCAGCATTCGTTTGGACTTCCACTAAGAATGAATGGAATGCACAGAACTTAATGTGATCACGCGCATTTGGACCTTCTGTCATTCATAATATGATCATGCGTGTTTTGACCATCTGTCACGTGAAACTTACACAAAGCACGTCGATTGACCACACTCCATAACCTTTGGTTATTACTAACCTAGTATGTAGTTACCATCTTTGATTTTGAAAGGAGAAGTTCAATTGGGTTCAGAAAATGATTAGTTTTGATGAGGCTCTCTTAAGTGGAGTGCAGATGTCCAGTGAATTTCAAACCCAAGTGGAAAAACATGCAACAAACATGCGAGTAGAAAATTGTAAACAAAGGCACAATGCAGGGCAGTGTTAATGGATCATATCTTTTAAATTTGTTCCTTAACGACTTAGAAATAGATGAGCATGACGATATAGCTTTATTTAAATATACTGACGATACTACCGTCTTAGTATTATATGCTCACTAGAGGTTTATCTGATCGATCTGACTTTGCCTTTGCCAAATGTGTGGACTAGATGTTTGCAAATGGCATATGGATGCAAGTAGTAAATGCAACGAATTACTCTTGCATAAGAAAGGGAACCCAACAGCTTATCCAGTGTTACATAATATCAAGCAATATAATTATCCCCTTGTTGAGAGTTACAATACGAAGTAATTGTACATGTAAGTTTAGTTTGCATGTTAAAGCCAAACTTAATGAAGCCAACAAATGTTTATAAAATTAATATAACTTGAAGTCTGTGCAAGGAAGGATATACACAAGGAGAAAATGACCTTCTTTTTAATGCGATTGTGCTGCCTAAATTTATTTGATGTATGGCCTTTCATTTTACGCGGCTAGCATTGCAGACCTCACCTCTGTGCAAAGCTTTTTAACAAGATGTCACAAGAGACGCTATATGTCTGTTAGTTATAACATCAATAACTTATTGGAAAAAAGTGACCACCATCTCTTTTTTGAACTGAAAGATTGCGACCGTCCATTAAATAATCTCCTCCCCTGGTATAAGGACTCATCAGAGCGACTTAGAAGAAATAGATCCATTGTAACTGAGACCCAGTGTAAATACTGAGCGTTTTAAAAATAGCTTTTTTAACAGATTAGTATTTAAGTGTAACTTACATAGCCGTATAGATTTTCAATTTTCGTATTTGACTTAATTTACTTGTATAAATGTCTTAAACTAGGTTTTTAATTTTTTTTTCTTTATTTGGATACAACTTTGTACTTTGCGATTTATTGTTTCTTGACATTTCAATGTAACCTCTGATATGTATTTTTCTCCATTGAATATAGACTTATTTCATAGGAAAATAGAGGAAAAATAGCACCAAAAGAAATCTCTAGGGTAGCTGTTTTATTCCCCACCTACTTGTTGTATTTGCCTGGCAACTTGAAATCTTAGCGACTTCCCTGTTGGGGGTTGGAAGTTTTCGCTATTAAAAGCTCTTTTATCAGTCTGCTACTCATTTCATAGAAAGCAGTCCAGTAAAACTAATTAGGGGATGCCTCTCAATTTTCTCTTTCACTTCTACAGAAAAAAGCCAGAGTAGCTTTCTCTGACCAGGAAGGCAGAAATGAATTGCTTGGAGGCGAAGATTCACAGTACAGTTCTGAAGATCAGGTAATTTTTTATCCCAGAATGATATTTAATCATTTTACTTCCAAAGGTAGCCTCAGCCACAAAGATATTGTCGTCAATTTCAGCTGGATGTTTATTTCTATTTATTTTGTTCCATCATTCAGGTTAAACCCATAATGATTATAAACATTTTTTTTAATACATCTGCATTCATTTTCAAGAGAGCAAGATTATTAGACAACACTGAAAGATTGGAGAGGTCTGGAAGGCAACTGGAGGAAGGTTATAAGATGTGTGTAGAGACAGGTGAGACTTACGATATAATACTGTAAATCCTCTATTAAGCCCCCCAGGGGGGCTTATTTATTTCAAGCCCATTTGGGGGTGGGGGGGGGGGCTTAAAAGAAACAGGGTGCTTATTTGAGAGGGGGGGCTCATTAACTTGAGAAACGACGATTGTATCAGTTCGCCATAAAGAACTAGAATACAAAGTGGAAAAGCTCAAGTACAAGAAGTTTTAGGTCATACCACCAAGGATCAGTTGGTAAATAAACCATCAGTCCACACGAAGTTTTACAGTATTGATTAATTAATACATTCTATCATTAATTAGTGAAGAATAATTAGAGAAGGGGAGGAGAGGTGGGCTTATTAATTTTCTTCCCCTGAAAAGGGGGATTATTAGAGGGAGGGGTTTATCAAGACGGGGGCTTAACAGAGGATTTACGGGTTATAGATTTAACTAAGGCCAAAAGCAAAGCTCTTGTGGCCAGTGGGATACTTTGAGAAAAGTCTTTCTGCTGTAATTGGACTCCAAACTAGTAAGTTTGACATTTCACATCCGCTAACATAAACGGGTGAACGTATGTACGGACAATTTTGTCACAAAAAAAATTTCTAGGATGCATAGATAACCAAATTTTATTGCCCATGGTGCTCCGCTGCGTGCACTTTGCGCGGGCGAGAGCTCCGCTAAGAAACTGATAATATGTTACAAGAGGCGTTGTCTCAATTGTGGCGGGATGTTTCGGAATCGGCCGTGGGATAACACTTCTTGGCCAAAAGACTTGACTGAAATCAGAAACTGCACATGAAAATTCTCTGGCACTCTTCGTGAATATGCTTGTTACAACCTGACGTTTGGTTGTGATCTCATTCGCTCAGAAGCCCTTTAAGCTAATTAATCCAGGCTGACCACATGATTGCAGTGATAGACCTCGCCTGATAAATTGTTCTCCTGTGTTGATACCAGGGTAGTCAAATTTTGAAAAAATGCTGTTAATTTGAGTGCATCTCTTTCCCTTTCAGAACAAATAGGAGTCGATATTATGAATAATTTACATAGGGACCGAGAAGTCATGGAGCGTGCAAGAGAAAGAGTACGTATATGAAGTATCTTTACAGATAAAATAGGAGCGAGGTTTTTTAGAGGTTTTTAGTTCTAAGAATAGGGTCTTGGTGGGATTAATCATGACCCATATAACGATCATAAATTTAGTCGTACGTCATCATGGAAGCTGTTATGCACCCCAGGGGGAAGGGATACTCCCGTTAATGGCCTAAACGGAAAGGACCAGCCTAGAAGTGGTACCTTTTTCAGGTTTCAGGTATATGAAAAGTTCGGGACTTCACTTGTTGAAGTATATGAAAGGGTAGGAAGATCTGTCAAGAACACCAAAACAAACCTTTGTAAAAATGTGTAACTTAGCAAGTAATATAACAGGTTTAGAGTTTTTTTTTTAACCTTGCCATTGACTTTTATTGTAACTATTTCGTAATAACTGTGTCCTTGGCGTGGGCTGCAAGGTGATTATTACTGAAATGGTACCTACCTACCTCGTTTCCTCCATACCACCCCCCTCCCCTTCGTAGACTCAACTCCGTCCCCCAAGCCGAAGGAAAACAGCGGAAAGAGAGTGTGCTCACAGACTATGGTAACAATGTTTCAGAGCACACATTTTTTCCACGCAGTCAGCAAAAAACTTTTGTAACCCTTTGGCAGTTACGGTACCAGTCCACCTAGTCAAATACGAACCCACTCGATCAAAAATCAGCCTTTGGGTCTGGTGTTTAAACATATTTTGGTCTTTTTAGACTCGAGGAACCGACAAGAATCTAACTAAAAGCTCTCGGATTTTAACTGGAATGATGAGAAGGTAATTATAGATAAATTAGCAAATAAATACAAGTCTTCCTCTTCCGTCTTCTTCTTTTCTCCGATTTTAAGCCCTTTTTTCCATGTGCAGCAAACGTCTTTGACCCACTGTTCAGCAAACTGCTTTGCGTCATTGTAGTTGCGAAACGATCACTTTCGCAGCTTTTAGAGCTGCAGTTAACAGAGACAAATTTACTACCAAACTGACTATCATTTCGCAGATGAATAAAATCTATCTTGAGATTAAATGAATTTTTTGTACCAACAAGGTAACATCATTGTAGTGAATACGTGGCACCAGGAGCCCGTAACCCAGAGCGAACGACTTCAATGTTCTCGGGTCACAGCGTTTTTACCGACCAGTTTATTTTTCAATCGCTTTAGGGGCGAATTTAGAATACCTTTTGAACCCCACAAACCAGTCGGCAAAACCAAAAGACCTAAAAATGGTATTTTGAACTTTTAACCTAATTTAACAATTACTGAATAAGGCTGAGTATCTTATGAAGAATTGTGGAGATCGAGGAGGATGTTATCCGTCGAGGCTGTAGGCCGAGGCGGATAACATCGTCCGAAATCTCCATAATTCTTCATATGATACGAAAGCCGAATTCAATAATTGTTTTATTATTCATTCAAAATCATTCCTAGTTTAAAAACAAAGCTAAATTATGCCTACCTCCAGCGATGTTAACTGCACCTTCGATAGTGCACGTTTAGGGTTGTTCAGCTGCGCAAATATTCGCCAAACAGCAGATGTCGCCCTTCGAGTTGTGTTCTTGCTGTTCTTGCCATGTTTTTAGCTATAATTTCGCCTATTTCTAACTCTTGAAACGACTGAAATGTCCGCCATTTTTTGTTTTCACAACCAAAACAACTCAACCTCGTCCCCAGGTCTTCTCGGTAGCGGTGCATTAACCTGCAAGAACGCTGCATTTTTGACGTCATTTCATCATTATACACAAAATTCTTCCAAATTTGGTCATCAGTAACTGGTTATGGTGAATTATGCGTGAGCTTTTAATGAACAATAATGACGTTTAGCTTTCCTTTTTCATATTTTATACTTCGAATGTTCTCACAGACAGAGCGGACTTTCTCACGGAATCAAAGGGCTCTAAAATGTTTCTAAAAATAAACCGGTCTATGCCATGAAATAAGCCTAGTATGGGAGTCGCTCGCCCCGGGTTATGGACTCCTAGTGGCACTAATCAGCCTACCCACGAATCTCTCGTCTACCATGCACAAATTAGGGAGTTTTAGCAACGGTAGCCTGTACACAGACGTTGTTTTATTTTTCTTTTCGTTCTTTTCTCTTCTTCCCCACCCCTACCCGCTTGCGCTGTCGGTCAATAAATTCCCCGCGGTTTTTTATTTTTTATCATGCGGGCTCGGTGGACTTTGAGGAGAAAATAGAAGGTCTGCGAACAGGCTGTAGCAACGGCAACGAGGACGTCAAAAAAGCAGCAGGTTTACTTTAGCAAAACAACAAATCTGCAGGTGCCACACTTTTTTAGTCATTTCTTTGCCGTCACTGCACGACTATGACGTGAAAATGCCTATTTTCACGTTTTATGGAGGACATAAACAAGCGACGACGAATTTTTCTTCAATTTCTCCTTCTAAACGTCAGTGCAGTCCCCACTGAAATCAACTCCAGTAAAATTCGCCTACATTTGACATTTTCAGCGAATTAGAATAAACGCGACAAAGATCGAAAAATCGCGAAATCACTTAAAAGTGATGTTTTTGCTGCCGACCGCGTCGTCGATGCTAAAGCTCCCTGTTCGTTTAAAAACCGTTATTGAGTCCGACCAGAATGAGGCGCGTTAATCATTTAGGCACGCAAAGCAGTTTGGGTGAGCATAGTGCAATTCCGATAAATAATATCGTCACGTGACCACTCACGGAAGCTATTGCCGTCCATACCCTTCTAATTTCATCTGAATGCTCTAATTTTTGTTTTCAGGATAATCCAAAACAGAATAATAATGGCCATCATATGCCTTGCAATACTTGGAGTTATTGGACTTGTCATATATTACGCTACGAAATAATAATATATAATGAAACCGATGATATCTACTTGTAATCAAGATTAATTGATTTTATATGACTGAATGTGTTATGATCGGTCATCCTTTAGGAATTTTTATTTGCAGTCAGACTGTCCACTCTCGCTATTATAGTGAGACAATTCGTAAGACTGGTTTACGCGTCCGGAGCAAGTCTATGCACAAGAAAATGGAACGATTTATCTTGTCTTGTGCTTGTGCTTATGCCATTGCGTGAGTTGTTGATTCGCATAACGCATGCGTGAGTACAAACACATGTTAGTTTGGTAAACACATGTAAGTTTGGTTCACTGTGTGCTTATAACGGATCTATTGGTGTACCAAACTATCTTTTTAAAAGGAGAAAATCATCTAGGGTTCCTAAAAACAGTGAAAATTCCATAGAAAATGATTGTAAATCTTAGATCATGGAAGTCACTGCCTTCCCAAAAGTAAACATAAAATAGCGAAGCAAGCTCTTACTCAACATTTCTTTCTCGGAAAAGGGGTGAGGGAGGGGGTAGAGCAGTGAACAATGATGTTCAATTCAGATTTCGCCGAGAAAGCTTGTTAGCAGACAAGAAATTTTTGCTCGTTCGTAGCACTAAATATCACTGGTATCACTTGCATAGTCAATCAACTCGCCCATTACAGATTACTTCATATCATTTACACCCATAGAAAGGATTCACTTTTACAGACATTCCTTAGTATCTGACATTTAAATCTTGTTAATATTTAATTTAATTTAATTAATTTTCCAATAGTTGGTGATGAGAACAAAAGAATCATTTCCAATTAGGTAAACTTACAGGGCGGGTTATTATAGCAGAGTGTAGCCCGCCGGTGTTTAACAAACCACAATGTAAGCCGTTTTCAATGAGGCCTGGCACAGTAATTTCGAGAAAAAATATACGTAGCCAAGTCTAACAAAAAAGATTCATTTGTCCATTTAACACAACGCATGGTTGTCGCAAACCGTGATTTAAGTTTTACAGTCGACCCTCCCGTAACCGACCACCCAAAATGCAAAGAGTTAGCATTAGGGAGCTTAAGCAGCGACGTTTTTGAGCGACGCACGTCAACCGGAAGTGAGGTATTTTCCCTCTTAACATGCCTTGATGATATAAAATTTGTATTCCTTAGCTTCTTTACTGTCATAGAGGCGATTTGACTGAAAATTTGCGCGAAACCACCGTCAAAAAATGAAAAAAGGCCACTTCCGGTTGACGTGCGTCGCTCAAAAACGTTGCTGCTTAAGCTCCGTAATGGCAGATCCAGACCTTGAGATGAGGGAGGGGTGGGGGCGGTCTCAATAATTTTTTTTTCGGCCCTCAGTTTGGTCTAAAAACAAGGTGGGGGGGGAGGGGGTCTCCCCTCGATCCCCCACTGGTTAATGGTCGCTTACAGGAGGTGGCAGCCGAAGAGAATTGAACCAGAGGGAGTCTCTTCCAAGAAGAGGTCCGTCCACTTCTACTTTTGGGAAGGGAATCAATACGTGTAATTTTTAAGTAATGATATTTGTAATAGAGAGTTTAAGATTCACGTTTACGCCAAACGGCAAACGTCAGATTCAAGTTGAGAATTTCTCAGAATAAAAAATAAGCAGATGAAAACTGTCCAGAACAATTCTTATGTATAAAACTGGCGTGAAACTACTTATTTTTTAGTAGAAGTAATAAACAGTTAACGACAACTGAGGGAAAAGCTTTGGCACGTGGTACAAATTCACGTTTGCTGTTAGGCGTATACGTTATAGAGAGTTTAAGATTCACGCCAAACCGCAAACGTCAGATTTAAGTTGAGAATTTCTCAGAATGGAAAATAAGCAGAAAAAAACTGTCCAGAACAATACTTATGTATGAAACTAGCGTGAAACTACTTATTTTTTAGTTGAAGTAATAAACAGTTAACGGCAATTAAGGGAAAAACTTGGTCACGTGTTACAAATTCACGTTTCCCGGGAGGCGTAAACGTGAATCTTAATCTCTCTATTTTCATGTTGTCACTTAAAGTTGCTCGTATACTCTGAGTAGTCTATGTAGTACATACAGTGAAATGGGGATCAGGCTGTGAATCAAGTGGTCGCTTACAAGAGGTTAAAATGGTAGAAAACTTTAAATCGTCACCCCACCCCTCCCCCCTTCGCAAAAGCGGTCGTTGCTTACGAGAGGGTCCAAGTTCACTGGAAAACCTTTTTGTGTTTTAAATTGGTTGTCGCTTATAGGCGCTGGTCGCTTATGAGAGGTGGTCGCACGTGGAGGTTCGCCTTTCCGACCCACGAAATTAGTTAGACTTTACAGTTCTTGTGATTATCCATGTTCCCCTGCTAGTTTTTCTGCCAACAGAGTTAATTATGGAAGTAGGTGATTTGGGACGTGTAGCTTGATTTTCTCAGTCATTCACGTTAATCCAGTTCGTGACGTACCGGAAGAACGGGTGGCGTGGACCAGGAGCCCATAACCTAGACTGAAGGACTCCTTATTTCGCTCGGAACACGTGACCCGACAAATTTGGCTCCGCGCGAAATAGCGAATCCTAGAGGCTGGGCAAGAGTTAGGGAAGATGCCGTCATATACTTTAAATTGCGACTGGGCTATGGTAGCTTGCGGGATCTGTTGCTTAAAGCCAGGGGTAAACGGACGCAACAACTCCCAACATTGTTGACCCAACAATGTTGTAAGTTGTTGCGTGCGTTTGCACGTAGCTAAACGTTTGACCGGTTTCAAACTTTGCGCAACAAATCCCAACAACACGCATTAATATGCAACGGGGTGTGAAAACGGACGCAGCATGTAACATCCAAAAATGTTGGGAGTTGTTGGTCAAAAATGTTGCTTCCGTTTGAACGGGGCTTAACAGATCAACATTTGCTGGAATCGACGTGGATAGTGATACGTACTTGAAGCAGGTTATGCCGATTTGGCCTTAGCTTCCCTTAGCTCACGATCAATCGGACGAATAGGGGCGATTATGGGGTGATGGGGTAGGAAACTCCGGGATCGTTGCCTAACACTCCTCAACCCCCACCCTAAGAGTGTGCTCACGGGTTGTGTGACTGTAATGATCAGCGCATGGTGCATATTTCTAATTTTACAATAACTGAGCGAATCCTCGCGAGCTGATTGGTCGAGAGCTATGGTTTATGAGAGTATAGACAATGGAAATGACGTAACATGTCACGCAGTGCCGGTTGTTTTGTTTTTGGTTTTTCGTAATAAAATAAATGTTACTGTAAAAAGCAAATCGACCACAATTTTCCATGGTCAACATTCATATAGACCATAGAAATGACGCCATAAAATGTTCACAACTTTGCAGTGAAACCACTCGCCTGTGGCTTGTGGTTCCACTTGAGTTTGGAACATTTTATGACGTCATTTCTATGGTCTATAACAGTGTAGGCTATGGAAAATTGTGGTCGATTTGTTAAATGTACGGGGTGTGATGTCAGTTTTGATTTTTTTGGTTCACCCGCCATAATCTAAAAGAGAATGTTAACTCGATTTGAAATGACGAAAAATAAATCTGACTAAGGGCCCGATTTTCCACCTCAAATTTTAACCGCGTAAGGAACTCACCATTTTATCCCCCAATGAATAATTAATAATAATTAATTAGACTTGATCTGGCATCTGCGATACCCAAGCGGCCGAAAAATTAGAGGCATGTCAATTGGAGAACGAACGTGTTGTGAATATTCGCGCGTTGGTGTCTCCCCACACGCGTGTGCTCAAACGATTGCGTAAGCCTCGCCGACTAATTTCAGGCTTTAAGATCGTTTAATGCTCTTTAGTTGGCTTTGGATGATTATCTACCAGACAGATTTCCGTCTTGGTGCAGTTACACCCCCTATAAATTATGCATAAAGTAATTCATAAAATACCATATGCTGTTTTCTTTTGTATCATAGTTAGGATTCTAAGAAATATTATTGTCAAGAATTATTTGCTCGAAGTACACATAACATTAAATTACACGACATTTGTGGAATGATGAAACGTGTTACTTTATCTTTAATTCACCTATCAAAATTGTATACGTTAGGTTAGAAAAGAATCTTATGAGTTTCTAATTAGTTGTTATTTTGTCGTTTATTGACCCACTTACACAGTGGAAAATTTTTTTTTCGAGTTCGAGACGGAAAACGGGAGAAAGTCTTCGTGCTAGCGTGTCTGCGATTTCACAAAGGTTTCGGACTCGCTCAACGTTTTATCACTATTCGGAAAATTGCAGTAAATTAATATAATTATTGCGCTCAGGGGCTCACTGAAAATCTCATTGAATTTGCCGCTAGTTTCCATTGATAGCCGTAGTATTTAAAACATGGAGCGCAAGTCGTGTAAGAGCGATACGCGCGCTTGGGTTCACCGAGGAGCATAGATGGGTCCTCACTCCATTGTATATTTATTGACGAGATCCTACAGTGTGAAAAATTAAACAAAACCTTTCACATGGTACTATTTAGTCCGTAGAAGAAATCTTATGGTCTGACTATTCAAATGAAACCTCTTCAGCAGTACTTTCACAGGGTAGTATATATTTAGTATGTAGTTCTAACTTTGGAGTCTGTGGATGAAATCCTATGGTGTTACCATTCAAATGAAACCTCTTTAGCAGTACTTTCACATGGTACCATTTATTTAGAATGTAGTTCTTGAGTCTGTGAATGAAAGTCATTTACCATTCAAATGAGACTGTTTGGGCTTAATCAACAGTTCTTTTGCCTTGTACTTTCTGGTTTTCTTACATTTTGACTGGGGGCACACATGGGAGTTAAAGGGTTAAGATAATCGGTTTAAAGAAATTCTAAAGATTACCTTGATAAGCCTCCTTAACTCTTAACTGTGTTTTCCTTTCATTACTGGGAGCATTCTCGATCTTAATAGGGTGTCAGTAATGCGACCGTTAAGTGATACCCCAGACTTCAAGCGTGCCGTAAAAGGGGTCCGCCACATAGATTGATTTCTTTCTTTTTTTTTTTTTGCTGTTAAGAAACATCGCCGAAAACGCGGAAATATTTTACTGGCTGTACTTATGTCGCTTCGACTTCCGCAACGCGCGGTCTTCGAGCACACTGAAACGTTTCCCGTCACTTCAGTAAACTAAACATGTTATTTTCAAGATTTTTTAGGGTAGGGGTGTAACTAGGAAGCACATTTTTCCATATTAACCCTACCCCTTCTTCCAAATTTTCTTTTTCTTGTCAGTGAGTTAAACATCTCCCTCAGTCTTCAAGCAGCATTTACGGCTTTATGTATGGCAAAATCGAGGAAAACACTGCCTTTTGCTATGAAAAATTCATGTCTCGCTGAAGTTAAAGCGGTGTTGTCATTATTAGTTATCAACTATTAATTCCACTTCTTAATTTACTATTTTTCTTTCTTTTTTTTTTTCTCCTTTTGCCAGGCAATTAAGCAAGTGCAGTGCGTAATGGTGTACGAGTAGCTACGCCCCTTAAGGGAAGAAAACTGTTTTCCTAAAAATTTCCGAGTTTCCAAAAACTCTCACTTTCAAAATAGAAGACAAAGTGCGAAATAAGAAATCATTTTCAGATCAATGGCTTCGCGCTTAGCCTAGCTTTGAAACAGAGGCTTGAGGGAACTCAGAAATGTCCGTATTCTTGCATTTCTTGGGCAGTTCATTTTACCTTTTGTTTTTGCATGTACCAACTTCTTCCTTCGCGTGACTGGGTTTTCGTGACCTTGACGGCCTTTGATGATATCGGTGTCACGAACCGTGAGTCACGCTACTGAACGTTCACTTCTCCTTCGAGGAAAACTCTTAGCTGGTGATCTGCCTATTTTTACGTTTCACCACTCTAGCGATTATTTTTTACCAATATTCTTAACTGCCTACCCTTAGTGAAATCTCTCGGTTATTTTTTTAATTTATTTATTTTCTATATTTATTATTTCATTTTTTTTTTTTTTTTGAGGCATTCAATGTGTATTAACTTATTTAGGATGAGTTATAGTCAGTCATGCATGTGGTCAGGGACACCCAACGCCCAAATGTTTCCAAGCGCTACGTCAGAACTGACCAAGAGCTATAATAGGCTGATTTAGCAACAGAACGAGAACGTCGGTTGACGACGGCGCGCGCAAACTAACAACTGGCTTGACCAGTGGCAGAGCGGCACTAGAATTGAGCAACAGAAGTCGTGTTTAGTCCTTTCCGCGCGCTTTCCCGTCGTCAACTGACGTTCCCGTCCTGTTGCTAAATCAGACTACTATTGCTCTCGAAGTGACTCAAATATTGTTCTGAGCCGGCTGCCCTAAAAACTATTATCTGGTCGATGTTTAAGGGGAACCTTGGCCGTCTGGAAGTTTATTAGGTGGCTTTTTCGTCTTATCCAAGCTGATAGCTACCCTGATGGGTCTGATCGAAAGTTCAGGGACATGGACAAGCCTTATTTTCATTACAAGATCACCAGGCGACATTTTTTTCTTGACTGAAATTTTCAGGAGAACCTTTTTAAACAATAATCTCAATACTTCGCTATTGAATAAAATGTGAAAAATACAACCTCCGAAAATCACAGGTGTACGTTCCTCCAGCTTTAGAAATTTCTAGCCAATAAGTTTGTTCCCTCGAAATTAAAAAAAGTTAACCCTATTCAGAATGGGCTTTTTTGGTTAATGTGTGACTGGGGGGGGGCTCCTCGGACCCCCTCTGTATCTCTGGAACCAATAATGCTAGGGTCATGAAATTTACACACAATGATCATCTCCGTACAAAGAAGCCCCACACCCAGTTTTGGCTTGCCACTCCCAATGATGACGTCACAGTGACGTCATATTCCGATTTTTCAATGTTTCTTATTATTTTCCACTTAGATACGTAAAATATCAATAATATTGGTAAAGTCATCTCTTTGTTATCCTTTCTTATGAACTAGTAACAAGGAAGCACTTGTACAGCGAGAAAAAGCAATAGGAAGCAATAAAATTTAAAATGTGAAATGGTTGTCCGCCATCTTGGATTTCCGTTTTTTTGGTAAAATTATAATTTAAAGCAACTTTCAAAGGAAAAAAAGCTCAGAATGTATAAAAGAAGTATCAAACTAATGTTTATTACCCAAACAAATGACTTTGGAAGTGTTATTTGGAAAATAGAGCAGCATATTTGTCAAAGCAAAAAAGTGACAAATTTTACCCCACCCCTCCCCCCAAATATTCGATGTTGAAACATTTTGATGTAATTCAAAAACTAGTCCCAAGCAAAGACCATTTTAACAACAAAAAGCACTATAAGTGTAAAAACGCGACCTTAAAACAAAAAAATCACCATTTTTTAAATTTTCCAAAACCTATGTGTCAGAAACTGGTTGCCATGGCAACATGATTAATCACATGGACATGGTAATTATACCAAAATGTTCCTAGATAAATTTTAGGAAAAGTCAGAAAATTTGAACGTCATAGCTCTTTCGATGTAGGAGTTATCACGATTTTGCCGGAGAGGGGGTTCGAAAAGCCACCACCCCCTCTGAATAGGGTTAATTTACAGAAAGAAAGTCGTTGAGTGCGCCTGAATACTAACTATTATATATGTCTTCTAACACCCCTCAGAAGTGACCAAAATGTGTGGAAACTTATTCCCCTACTAATGCAGTGGCACCGGCGAAGGGCCGGGGTTCAAGTAAAATTAAAGAACGCAGCATTCCTTGTAACAAGCATACACTCAGTACTCGCAAAACTGAAAACTTCTCAACCTTCGGATAGATCTTGGTAGGGGCGTATGGAGGGGACAGGGAAAATAAACGAGTGACTTTAATACCCAATTAAACCTCGAATCGTAAACTCTGTATTCACAGATACACTGTAAGCTTTTGGGGAGAAAATTACTGGGATTTTGGTAAGACGCGGAAGGACATATGCATGTTACACTGGCTTTCTACAGCATTATGACGTCTCGAGAAGAAAGAGGCATTCAAAACGGTTAAAAAAGGAAAAGAAGGAAAAAAAAAAAAGAAAGCTTTGCGCCAGATTTAGACCAGTTGGAACGTCATCGATTGGCACTAACAGAGACAGCTGTCGGACAAAACAGAAGGAAAAAAGCAAAAATTTCTATGTCTTTTTTAGTTATCAGTTATTTTTATCCCGGGCAGATAGTTCAAGATAAAACCAGTTCGGCTGTGAAAAATTCAGTCAAATCAGTTGCGCCCGATCAGTTTTGTCGCATTGTGTTTTGAATAACATTATTACCTGTAATGCTTATAAACAAACTTTCAATTCAAATAATCATTATCATTTTTAAAGGAGAGAAACGCATCAACCTATTCCGTATAACGAAAATCCCTCAGTACTCGACAATTTAATGGAAGACTTACTTTTCAGGCGTATTGGATGGGTGGCCGACCGAAGTGATTGAGTTAGCGGTGACGCATCATTAAAAGCTAGGAACACAAAAAATCACCTGCTATGGAAGAGAGATCATCGCATTGTCTTAAGCTCGAGGCATTTTGACCATTCTCATTTCTAGAAATCAATTAGAAATATTGTCTAGCGACTGGTATTTGTCAATATTGTGAAAAACACATGAACAGATGAATGCTAGGAGATTCGGAATTACGTAACGGAGGAAAACTCACTGACGTGTGAAAAGAACATATCAGACATATAACCTATATATATAAATAAACTGCGTCAGTTGTAGAGGAGAAAAAAATCAGTACCATACCATTTATCCGGAAGGCGTATCTGGACCTACATATACGTTTTCGAAGGTGTTCCTTTTTTGCCTCCTTAAATCCGGAAAACTGGGCCACCCTTTGGCGTACCGCTCGACTTTCTGATCACCAATACCGACGGCTATTTTATCACTTGCTCTGGTCGAATATTGATGGATAATCGTGTACGTTGAAAAGGGTTTAGTGATAAAGTGGAAACAAAACTTTAATTTCTATGGCGAGGAAACTTATAGTCTTAGACAAATTTTCACTGCTATCGTTTCAGTGTCGTTTAAGTTTTCGCAGAGAATATAATAAGTACGAAGTGGTTTTGGAAATGCGCGAGTTTTCACGGAAATTAAATACGTGGAAGATTAATTAAAAGTTGAAGGATTTGGAGACATGCTTCACGGTCTATTCCATAAAACATCTTTATGTACATATATTTCGATGCTAATTGCTCATTTGAAATCAAAGGGAAAATCCAGTTCCATTTTTTATAATAGAGTTTTGAAGTGATTTTTGTACCGTTTTGGCAATATATTTACGACGTTTACACAATTCCTGATGATTTTGAACGAGAGAAACAGTTTGTAGCAGTACTAGTAAACTCAAGAGATTCAAGTCAAGCATACATGTACAAGGCGGTTTCAAAGATGTGGTTTCCTCGAAGTAGCGTCTATTTCCTGTTATCCTATTAAATAACAAGTATTTAGGGTTGGAAAATAGCTCCATTCATTTATATTCCGATTTAAAACAAACAACGCGAGAAAGGCACGTAGCGACATGCTGATAGCGAATCAGACAAGTGCATGGAAAGGGAGTACCCGCGACGTAACTCGACGTACACCTACACCCACGCTGGGTCACGTAGAACGAGTCTTCCGCGTACCTCGCGTGGTGCGCGCGTTTGTGCGCGAAATCGAAAGAACCGAACTTTCATTCTAGTATTTTCATCGCATAAAATAAAGCATGTACTAGGTATTCCAACACTAACGTAAGTGTTTATTTAGCTCTGTATTAGCAACCGATTGGACCCCACTTAAAATACAAGTTGACACTTGCTGTAATTACGTTTTTAGGAGACGTGTCGGCATCTTTGATGTGTTCAAGCTCATCTAATATCATTGAAACAACAATAAGACGCCTTCTTCAAAGACAAGATGCGCACTTAGGGAGGGGTTGGACGGGGGATAGGATTAGCTCGATGCATAGGGACAAAAGCTTGACTCCAATAAACAGACTTTCTTCTACAGAAGACATCTGGACATCTGAGACATTTTCCAAAAAAATTAGTTAATCTAGACACAAACTTAGTTCCCGATGCATCGTTCATTATTCCGGGCTTCAAAAGATAATCTAGTCGCTAGTTAAGCGGCATGCTTTATAAAACTGAACCATATATATTGTTGTCGTTTAGTTTGTCACTGACCATTGCGAACGGAGTGAGTCAAGCCGTCGTTGAGAGTCATAAACATATTCTTGATTCGCTTATAATTGATCCTAATATCTTGGCCACGGAGACTTTAGTAGTTAAGTTCCTTTAACTTGAGTACAACATGATATTGCGTGGCGTATACAGACTGGCTGTAAGAGCATGGTAACTGGATGTGACTCTAAGACTTACGAGTACTTCTTGAGAACGAGTATAAAACCTGCGGTCTGTCCGTTTCCTGCAGTTTTCCCGAAGAGTTTTATTTTCAATTTTTGCGAAAAACATGGATTAGTTCCCTTGGCTCTTTTTTAAGTGAGTCTTATTTTTGCATTTAAGACTTCTTTGAAAGAATTTATAGGAGTGTTGTGATTTTCTAGAAACAGTCGTCCCACGTTTCATACTCTTGATATGTGAAGAAAAACAAAACAATTTAGAATTTATCCACTGTTGCCTCCAAGTTTCCTGTTAGTTTCCTATTTACATGAGACGAAAAACATAGAATCTGTGCTGTATTTCTAGGCTATCGGGTATTAAAGCCCTACAAAGAGTTCCGGTGTCTCGCGCGTTTTGAGGACAGAATTCGATATTCTTGGTGAGGCAAGGAAAGCGAGTTATTTCCTTCATTGTCTGTAAGGCAGCGCGGAAAAAAAAATATAATGTTCGTTGTCTTGGCTTTTTTTTTTCTATGAAGGCTAAATTTTCATAGCGCAATAATATTTATAGCGCGCGTAAACATTTGAAAATGTGAGCCAAATAATGCGATTACTCTATCTAAATGAAAGGCGCGTAGTTTTAGTTTTCATCACGCGGCCAGAGCGCTCGTGAGAAAGCGATTATTATCATCTTTTAACAAGAATTCTCCTTAGTTGGCCTATATCGTCCGAGATACTCGTGATTTTCTGAGAGCCAAAGCTTGAAGTGAAATGTTCACAGAAGTTATAGTGGGACTGGCTAAGCATCAAGAATGTAGGAAATATAATTACAATGACGTCAGAGAGCTGCTAAATTTTCATTGGTCCCTTGGACTGATCGGCTGATTAATCACTGTCAATCATCTTGGCGGCGTCCTTTGAAGTTATCCTTTTGAGATGCCGCCGACTCTCCAAGCTCATATACACCAACACAACACTGCGGACAAGAAATAAAATCGTTAGCTGCGAAACTCGAGATATTTTCCGACACCGAAGAGGCTAAAATGCCTCAGCTACCTAACAGCTCAACGGAGGATCTTGGAGCCGACGATGAAGTTAAAGAATACAAACAAGAGGATGGAGAGGAGACAGAGAACGGTGCCCATTTGGACCTCGTGAACGATATCAAGTCAGACTTGATCAAAAAAGAGACCGAAAATTCAGAGGTGAGTTGGCTTTTGTTATTTTTAACCACATGCCAAGCCGGGTTCAGCCGAGGTGAACTGTTTCTCCAAAGTTGGTGTTAGTTCAATTTACGCTTCGCGCCACGGACGTACTGCAAGCAAGTTTTGGTCGGTTTGAGGCGGCGAGCTTCAAAGTCTCGTACTACAGAATCATATTGTTTGGAAAATAGTAAATAAACTCTTATTTTTCTTACCGAAAGGAATATGCCGACATAATTCTTTAACCTGTTTTCGGCTAAAAGCTGCAAGTTTATAGCACTTAATGCGGAATCGTTCCCATTTCGTTACTCTGTTTCTCTCTAGAATATGTTATTTGTTCCGATTTTAAAATTTCTCGCTTCGCGGTATAAATAATCAAAGGATGCCGCCAGTTAACCCCAAGTGGCATTGAAAAAATATACATTGTCTATGTTTTTAAGAATTTTCAGGCCATAAATATGTTTTAATGCACACATTTTCAAGGAAACGCGGAAAATAGTCCCGAAGAAATCATGCTTCCAACATATGAACAGTGTTGGACCTTTGCGATGGTTTTTCCCTCGGCTGTGCGCTTCTTTGCGCCCTGGCGGTTTACCGGAGGGATTGATAGCAACTGAATGCTTTTTAACACTTGTAATTATATGATGGCATCGTGTTTCACAGCCAGAAATAACAGTTCGAGTCAAAGGTTTTGCATTGCAAACTTGCAAAGTGAATACAGGGTTTAAAGAAGGATCGAATTCTACTCTGCCTTGATGCTCTCTGGTCGTTCTTTCTAACTTTATACTATTACTTAGAAACTTTCTGATTCATTGTCCACCCAAAATAAATAGCTAACGTCCACAGTTTTTTGGAGAGCTCTAATGTGCGCGGTGAATTGCACTCGCGAAATCAAATAGCAATCCTTTTGATTGTAAAATTTCCCTTCATAGTCTTGTGGTCATTTTGAGGGGAAAGGTCCCTCGTTTGTACTCAAATATACGAATAACACGTATATGTTTTTTGTCGTTGAAAAAATTTGGCCACTCTTGACTTAATAGTGTCTGTGTGGAGCTACGTAAATGCTAAATCAGCGAGTTGACGTGACTTATGCAATCAGGGCCAAATGCTCACCGCGCGCTAACGGAATTTTCGCTCCATTTTTGATTTCCCGGAAAACTTTGTAGTATAAATGTGAAGGTAAAACGAGTCAAAGAAAGATCTTGCTTTCCATTTCCGGTTTTTAAATTTTGAGATAAACTTTGTTTTTTTTTATGACTGCGGGATAAAAATGCAGTTTGATAGAAAATATACTGCCGTTTTCTCGCGCTGTGCACAAAAAAAATCATTCTTTCTCACTAAAAAGCAGTGAAAATTATTAGAGCTAAAAATTAACAAATTTGCGCTAACATCCTTCATCTTAAAAGCCAGCTTGTCTAAAGTGTGTTAAGAGGTTAATTGGGAAATCAACAGGACGTATAACAAACCAGACGAAATAATTCAGCGTGTAGCTTCGCGTTTACGCATTTTGGAACGGAGACAAATTCAAGAACGTTTGATCTGCTGCAAAAAAGTTATTTTTAGGCTTTGGGAAATAGTCCATATGCCTCTACAAGTGAGCTTATCATCTGAAGTCCTTAAGCCTAAATGGCAGCTTTCTTTAATTCTTGCTGTATTGAAATGAATAAATTCGCTTTTACATCCATTAATTTCAGTCCATTTTCACAAGTAAATTACATTTTACAAGAGCAGATGTATAACATAAAATTACATGTAAGGTCTTGCAGTCTAATACACGTACAAAAAATAAAATGTAGCAGATCCAACGACTCTCCTTAGCAAATAGTACACTACTGATCTGTTCTTTTTGACATCCTCATTCCTAGAGTAGTAGTATTTTGTTTGCCCTTCGTTTCTTGAATTTTTGCAACCTGCCCCATTTGATTCTGTGGATCATAAGGAAAGTACAACTCTTCCTTAAGTTTACATGACTTTCATTTTCGTTAATTTTGCTGTTGTTCAGTTTAGCTCAGTCTGTAAGTGCAATGTCACTAAAAAGGAAGTTCATTAGTATTTCCAAAGTGCTTAAAATGTAATTCAATATATTTTGCTCATAATAAAACTACATGCAAACATTTCTAACCGACCTTGTAATTTTTAGAGTGCATTAAATGCATTAGCCAAACATATATTACCCTAGAAGCTTTTAAAAACTGCAGTTTCATTCAAAAAATGAGCCTAATAATTTGCCCTATCAGCTGGACAATGTCTGGCAGAAAAGGAAGAGAAGATTTTGTTCATGTGCTTCAGAAAAGTTGAAGTGGTAGCTCTTATACTCTTGTAAGTGGCAGTGATTGAAATTAAAGGAACAATTTATCAAATTATATAGTTAAAAACAAGGATGTGCCTTGTGAGCACTAAACAATAGTTTTTACTTGAACTTTAATGGACACACCAAAAACTCTTCATTTATAGTGAAACTGAAAGGGTAAATATTTATGTTATGTCCAGAGTTGAATTCTGTGTGCGTTTGAAAGTAAGTTAGCAGACAGAGTTGCATTCTAAATTAAAACCAGATTTGTTTGCCATGTCAGTGCCTGAGGGATCTCAATATGGCACGACTTTCTAGTCTTCTCAGATATGGACAAGGTGCTGTGTCAACAGTACCTGTCAGATCTATCTCTTGTGGGATTTGAAAGAAACACCAAAGGCATAACAATCTCTGGCATTGACACCCCCCCCCACGGGAAGTTTTTGTTGGGGTTTTAGGAGTGGGTGGGGAGGGTACTTCACATAGAGCTAATGAGTCCTGTTTCTGCACAGTCATTATTCCATCCCAGGAAGCTAAAATGTCCACAGATTTGAATGGTTTACTCTTTTAAGTTTAATTAACATTTTTACTGTCATCTCTTACACAGGATTCAAAACCCTCTGATGCCAGCTCAGCACCAATTGCTCAATTAATATCATTTCAAGATCGATATAATGAGCATTTAAATTCAGGTCATCATTCTGGTTACCCGCGAGGGGGCTCCCATCACACTCCTCATGATGATATCAAGCATGGTTTACATCGAGGCCATGATCCTAGACCTGCAGGAATATTCCATCCAGCTCATCATCATCCTTACACTACCACTCCCCAGTATCAGTATGCTATGTACCCCGGAGTTAAGCCAGACAGAAGATATCACTATGATCCTCCACTATGGTGAGTTAGATGTACAGTTTACTGAACTTCCTGTAAGGAAATGCCCCTGACGCCAGAAAAATTGTCCACTTGTGAAAGGTGTTTGCATCGTTAGGGAGGCCCTTTTAGAGGTGTTACTACAGTCATCTCACGTATTGAGGAGAAAGACATGTAGCTGTCGGTATTTTACTATTGTATTTTCGCTGTCATGGTTTTAACGCATCTTTGTGTCATTTGTTGCCATTTCTGCTGTCCTATGTTCCCATGTTGCTTGTTAGAATTTACCCTAACAAGGTCTCATTAGGGAGGTTAGAAATTCTGTCATGCCATGGGGATCATGATTACAGGAAGTTCTGCTAGAGGAAGTTTGACTGTATCAGATCTCAGCTATGTTGTGATGACTTTTTAGGCTACATGCAAACAGACACAACAACTCCCAGCATTGTTGGCCCAACAATATTGGGAGTTGTTGTGTCCATTTGCACATGGCTAAAGGTTTTACCGCTTTCAAACTTTACGTAACAACTCCCAACAAACGGATGCAACATGTAACATTCAACAATGTTAGGAGTTCTTAGCCAACTATGTGGCATCCTTTTGCGCGGGGCTTTAGCTCCACAAATTAAACTCGACTTTGTTTACTCTTGAGCGATAAAATGTCATACAGAATTAGTTTGCAAAGAGGTCACTACATGATTTGTCATATGTCAGAGACGTTTGCCTGATTCTGTTTGAGAGAGGTTGCTAAAATGTCCCCTTTTTTTTCAATATATTTATATTGCATGTCACCTTGTTTTGCGTAACTCGTTGGCTAGACACTACAAATATAGTTGCCAAATTCCACTACTGGAAATATAAGTGACTTCCAACCCTGTGTGGGCATGTCACATGATGTAGAACTAAGGACCAACAATTTTCTTGATATACTGTATATATTTGGTTAAACGCCGTCCTCGTCAAATGCTGCAGATGGAAGCAAAATTACCAATAAACGCCTCCCTCACGTAAATGCCCCACCTAATCAGAATAATACGGTGTTTACTCCCAGATAATAAGAAAAACCTCAGTACAGCTTAGTAATTTACATCATCCAAACATTCAGACAATTCTATATCAGCAAATAAGAGAGACATTGGAACCATTAAATTACATAATATTTAGAAACGTTTTTGCAATAACTGTTGTCAGTGTATAAAAAAAGTGATTTCGAAATAAATGCCACCATCGAATAAATGCTGCCCTTGAATTAATGCCACATTGCAAACGCTAAAAATTTAATAAACGTCAAATAGATAATAATTATGGTAATTATGTTGTAGTCATGGCATTACTTTTGGACTTCCTCTGTTTTGTATTTATATAGAACTCAGATTGTGGATATGAGTGAGTATATCTGTCACTTGTCTTGTTCAGTAGACCACTGTACCAAGACAAAAATTAGGTTAACCTCAGCTTTGTACTCCAGCAGTATAGAGTGGCACCTGATACCTCACTTGCTCTCTTGGGTGACTGGGAAAAATTCAGTTTCATAGAAATCCAAATTGCTGGGTACCCTGGATTTCACAGGCTCAGAGCACCATGCTCCCTTTAATTTTTCTTAGAGCACAGCCTTGAATCTATGAGGATGTAAGCCCTGATTGTTAGTCCAGCTTAGGCATCAACTAAACTTAGATTGCGCCAACGGACAACCCCAGTATAACTCACTAAATCTAAAAGGTTTAGGAAGACTCTCCTCTAAAAGAAATTGAAGAGAATGCACTGAGCCTGTGAAATCCAGGGTGCCCTGTATATGATTTTCTGGTCGCCCAGGAGCAAAAGTTTGGCGCCAAGGGCTACCATGGGCTGCTAGAGCACAGCCTTGGGTACTAATAGAGCTACAGGTTTTATCCAGTCCCAATTTTGTTGACCCGTCGCTGGACCGACGGGTCAACAAACACGTAACCTCCCAGTCAGCAGCATAACACTCTGCCATTTGAACTAACCAGGTGCTTTTTTTTTTCGGTTTTTAGGCAACCTCATTCGTCAATAATAGGTCAATCCTCATCTCAGTATCCTCCTAACTATCCAAATCAGGTAGGACCCACATCAGCTGGCATGCCTGGAAGACTTAGTCATCATCCAACCATAACAGCAGACCCCCGTGGGGCTGTTTGTTGTCCTCCTCCACCACCCAATCAATCAGTTATCAGCCGCACCCCTCCAACATGTGGAGCAGGAAGGTACAGCCTTTATTTTTCAATGTTACAGTTTGTTAGTACAAATAAAGGAATGTAATGACATATATTGGAGGTCAACAGTACTTGTTGTCTTATAAGGTTGTACAGTGTACATTTGCATTTTGCTCAGGCATTGGCATGGAAGGCCCCACAGGCTACTATTCTATAAGCAAGTGTTCAGTGAAAGGAAGACTTATGGAATTGAACTGTATGGAACATTTTCCATTTCTTGCAATTGTTGCTCATGGTTGTGTTTGGAAACATGACATGGAAATGTTCTTCTGAATTGTTGGAAAGCAGGATGCTCAAATACACTTGCCTTGTGAATGTCTCTTGTGTTTGTGTGTGCACAGGTGTCCCTCGTATGAACCAGCCAAAAGCATTTCTTGTCTGTTCTATAACTTCCTTCTTAAATCACCCATAACATTAAGTGAGCTCTGTTGTAACTGACATTACAGGTTGCAGCACTAAATGACAACCCAGAAAAGTGGAGCTAAGTTGCAGTAATGCACTTCTTGTTGACCAGCTGCCTTGCTTACGTAGAAGACATGAAGTGGTTCCAAGGGACTTTCACTGTAGCCCGCCAGCCCCTAGATAGATCCCCCCCCCCATATTCCCCCACAAGGTTGGCAAATCCTCATAACCCAAGCTTGAGCCCCCAGATCAGAGATGTCACTAAAAGGCGGCTGCTAGCAAATTTCACCGGCTGAAAATCAGCTTACCACTGGTTCAAATTGCTCTGGAAAACAAAGACAAGGGGTAATTTTGAAGATTCAGTTGAGTAAAAAAGCCGTCTTGACTAGTAAAATAGCCTGCTTATCTTTTCCTTATTTACATCCCTGAGCACACATTCAATGGGCAACTGTCACATTTTTTGATTGAATCAGCTGTGAAAGGAAAAGTAAAGGGTGGGGTGAGAAGTTTTTCATATTTAAGTTTGTACTTGTGTGCTTGACTTGCTGCAGGGTGTCAGAAAGTCATTTTTAAAGCTTGCCATTTGGGCAAGCTGAAGCTAGCATACTAGCCCAAATGTCATTTCAACTAACTAAAACACTTTGATGAGCAGAATTGATTTCACAGTTCTTCTGTAATTTGAATTCAGCGAAAAACTTCGCTTGCCCGTCAGGCAAGTTAAGAACAGAATTCACTAGCCCAATAGCAAAATCCATTAGCCCCGGGCTATCGAACATGACTTTCTTTGCACGCTGTTATAACAGCTGCAAGATTAGCAAACCTGTCAAGTCAGCACAGCTGTTATAACCTTGTTAAATTTTCATTCAACTAAATTTTAAACTTTTGATATGTTTTTTTTAGCTTATTATCATCGCAAAGCATCCCTACAATGCCTGATCATACAAGAATGGATCCTGCAGTAAGTGGATTTGATGGACATAACAAAGGTCACATCAAGAAACCCCTTAATGCATTCATGTTGTATATGAAGGACATGCGATCTAAAGTTGTTTCAGAGTGTACTTTGAAAGAAAGTGCGGCGATCAACCAGATTCTTGGAAAGAGGGTAATGTCAAATTACAGATTACTGTAGGATCATGGTTCATACGCAATTGCATCCAAAAACACATTCACCTTTAGCTGCATGCCTTAACCTTGGATTGACGACAAGGTTATGACAGACTTTTGCCTCACTTTCATGTTTTGGTCCAGCAGCAAGTTGTTTCTTAGAACCATGGCTGACACAGTGCATTGCCTCGCAGGGTTCTAGAACCAACTTGGAGTTCTATCTGTTGCATCTATGTGTGGCATCAAACTTGTGATCTAATAAATTGGATATCAAATGCGGCATGACTGGCATCTAAGTTAAGGGGGCAGGAAGTCATTTTGATGGCAATCATTATATTTTTACACAGCATGTTCACACTTGTAGATGCAACCGATGGCTGAGGAAGACATTTGAATCGTGTTCTGCAGTAGTTTTTAATTTCATTACCAAAAACTAAAGACACCTAATTTGTTTCACAAGAGCAAAAGCTGTGATAACCTGTATAATGAACCAGGCCTGCGCTAAAGTGAAGTAGTTTGAGGAGCCTAAAAAATAATGTTATTAACCTACCCTTTCACTTCTCTAGTAGCGAAAAAAATTACCTAAACAATAAATTATTTCTTTTTGTAAAATCATAAGGAAAAAATAGACTATGCAAAAGTTCTGTTTAAAAAGGTTTCATTTCAATGGTAATACCATTACCCTGTGAGCAGAGTGTGAGCGGTCGTACGAAAAGTAACCTCTACCGATAACTGTCCAAATCCGTCCAGAAAACTGGACCCAAAAAATTTAAAAAAAGGTTCTTTTTCCTGTTCTTGACTGGTTTAGAGCATTGCGTTCATAACACGAGTCTTGCATATCAGATCAGAGTTGTTGCAATGTTTTATTCCCGCGAAACTCACGCCATTTGACAACAGACCTGACAATTAATTTTGCTTGCAAATTGTGTGACAAAAATTGAACGGTTGTCAGCAGAGACTACTTTTCGCACGCCAGCTCACACAGCTCGCAGGGTATAACACCACAGGATTACATCCACAGATTTTAAAGTTGAGAGTGACAATGTCATCATACATAATGTGGTCTGAATAGTAGTGAAAGGGTTACTTTTCTACCATTATAAATTACAGTGTAAATGTAATTTGAATACTTAAACTTCTGTTAATTCAATTATTCAATGTAATCATTTTTGATCATAAGAATAATTCTTAACTCACAAACACAAAGAAGGAGAAATTATCACATCCAGAATAATTTGATTAGAATTAATACCACTGTCAAAATAGTTATCTCACTTCTATAAATACTGCTGGAAAAATTGAACTATTGAATGTTTTCTGTTCTCTGCAAAATTTTAGTTTGGAAGGTGAGTTTTTAAAACAGCTATAAATTAACTCATTTAACTCAAGGAAGATAAGAAAGAAAGTTTTCTTTTCCCAAAGGACATTAAACATTTGAAATACATTTATTATCTTATGATACTGTTCTAGACAATATCTTTGGACTCTCCTAAAATAGTCTTTTTGTTAATTGAATTTCCCACATCAGGTGAAAATATAACATTAACCATTAAAAATCCTCTTTGTCATACTTGACAAACCCCACTTGAACTGACTTCCAACCGAATTGTGGACGTTTGTTTCTTCTTTCTAGCAATACATGTATTCCAGTTAGAGGAACTTGAAATGTTCAGTTCCAAATGCTAATAAACCCTTGTAACCCTAATATCAAAATTTAAATTCTCATTTGTTGCCCCTATGTGTTTCTTTTAGAAGTAGTACAGAAAAGGTTTTAAATAACAATATTAGATCTATTTTGTGTGATCGTGTCCTTTATTCTCGTCACCAATCTGTTTTACAAAGCAGTGATCTCACTTGAAGAAATCTGATGTGGATCACCCTTAAAGGGCTTAAGGCTCAGAGTTGGACGCTTAGCAATACCATTATTGCCATAATATTGTTTTGTTTTTCAAACTTTTTGTTACAGTGGCATGCTCTTGACCGGCAAGAACAAGCCAAGTATTATGAAATGGCTCGAAAAGAAAGAGCACTTCATATGCAGCTGTACCCTGGATGGAGTGCTAGAGACAATTACGCACAACAAGGAAAAAAGAAGAAAAGAAAAAGAGATAAGTCTCAAGGTAAAGAGATATGATACGGTTATCACCTAGAGAGAAGAGAAGTGAAGACATAAAAAAAAGTTATTGTAAAAATAATTGGTGAAAATTGGTGTGGAGAAATAGCACCGTTCTGCTCTGGTGACTCTGTATAAATCCTTCTAAAATAGGCTTGGATCGTGAACATGACAATCTAAGCCTAATGTAAAAGGATTTGTATGAATTCATCAGAGCATAGCAGTGCTTATTTCTTCTCACTAATTTACCCTAACAGGCTGATTTTTGGCAATAGGGTTTTTTCCTGTGACTAATTTGCAATTTTTCGTCTGCGTTTTGTCATTTTTCTCATTTTAATGACAAAAGACAGACAAACTTTGCATTTTAATGACAAAAGTCAGACAAAAATGAGGAATTTGCTGATGTTAATTTCAGTTTGTCTGAATTTCGGGTCTATGAATAGTAACTGTGCACAGCGCTATTCCACAATTTCACAAATTTAGGTTTTTTGACATCACAATCTCCTCTCTATTGACTCATGGTTGCAATTTAGTTAGCAAAACTAATTTTGCAATTGCCATATGTTTACAATGATTTCTAAAGGTATCTAAGGTATCTGAAGAACCTCATAATAATTTTAGTATATGTCAACTGGTTGTTTTTCTGGTAAGTTTGATATTAATACATGCAAATATTGACTGTAATATTTGTAATTATAATTTTTTTTTTAGCGGAAATAACAAATCCGAAAAAGTGTCGAGCAAGATACGGTCTCGATAGACAACACGAGTGGTGTAAACCTTGCAGGTATTATTCTATGATTTTACAGTGAAGTTTTTAATGACTTGTTTATGAATGTTTTTCCAAACCCCTGCATGCCCTTTAAGCCCTATTAACATGAGCAATTTTTCCTGCATGTAGATCTAAAGGGCTTACGGGATCTATTGGGAATGGCCTGCAGTTCTGTTTGTATTTTGATTGGTGTGGGTCAATAATGGCGACAAAGTAAGGAGGGGACTGCAAAGGAGAGTTTTGCAGATTTTAGATGTCTATAGGGGCTGGTTCCTGACAGGCTGATTAGCGCTAATCCAGTATTAAAATTGCTCCATTTTTGTATTTTGCCTTCCTGTGTAATGCTTAGAGTAACATTTGTGTTAATCATTTTTTACTGTATCTTGAAGTAAAGGCCCAACCATATTTTGTAAGCTCAAGTTGCACGTTCTCAGACAAGAAAACATTGGCTTAATACTGCAGTTAAACCCCCTTTACCATCTTACGAGGAACTGGGCCCAGAGGTTTATAGCAGCTCTGCTGATTGAGTTTCCTAGGGTGATAGAAATTTCAGGGTGTATCTCACTGCTTACACTTTTTTTCCAGGCGGAAAAAGAAGTGCGTCCGATTCTTGGCTGGAGGAGCAGGCCAGGACATGTCTCCTTCAAGCAACGCGGGGAATGTAGAAAGTGAAAATATTGATGCTAATATTGATAGTAATACAGCAATGATTTCTTCAACGAACTCATCTGTATCCACTACATAGCATTTATTATAGATAATGATTGTTGTAGAGTTGAAATTTTATTATCTCAGAGCCTATTTTAGTACTAGAAAGAAAATAATGGCTTGATGCTGTCTTGTTATATAAAGGCTGATATATGCATTATGCACACTCAGGCTAAAATAATTCAACATCTTTTTAAGTAATGTGTAAAGAAATTTATGACTTGGCAATTTAATTAGTTATTATCATAATCATCCTGATTATGATAATTAATTGATAACTCTTAGTTATTAATTATTGATAATTAAATTAATTATTGATTGTCATTGGTTAATAATTAATAGAAACAAGTAGTAATTGTTAATAGTTAATTATTAGTTAGTGGTAGTAATTAATTAATTATTAATTATCAGTAGTTAATAATTAATTATTATGATAATATTTTAATGAGAGAATTATAGGATCAAAACTAGTAGCAACATTAGGTTACTGTAGCTTCCAGGGGTGTACTCTGGATTTCAAGTGACAAGGATGATCGAAGGATTTTTTTGGGTGGGAAAATTTTGGCAAGTATTTTTTTGGGGTGGTATTCAAAACTAATGTTTCATGTAATGCTTTCTGGAAAGTTTTATGGTTTAGAAATTCGGCGTGGGATTTTGGAGGGTTAAATTTTGGTCCAGGGATTTTTTGGGGTTTTGTTTGAAGCCCTAGGGAGTTTTTTACGTTTTGATTTTTTCTCCCATTCCATCATCCCTGTCACTTGAAATCCGGAGTAACCCTCCTGGGCTGTAACTATAGTTCTAATTTAATGGGACTTGTTCATCATTGACGCAGTATCGGACTACCTTTCTTCACTTCTTAGGAACAGATGTAAGTCTGCAGTTCCTTTTTAACAAAAACAATGGTGTTTTTTAGAGTGCAGTAAAGCTGCCAGCTCTGGTCATATCCCTGTAGTAATGGCAAGGCGGCTTTAAGACTCAGGTAGATCATGATTCCTTCCAAGGGTTTAATCTTTTTATTCACTGTTTTTTGGGTTTCAGAAACTTAAACCCTTTAAGCCCCAATATCCGCATACAAATTCTTCAGACCGGTCTCCATACATTTCCTTGAAGAATTAGTTGAGAGAATTTGATAAAAGATCAAAGACTTTTCAATTTTGTGATCATTTTATTAATTCTCATAGACTTTGCTCTTGACAATTTATGGATATCATTAGGAGAAAATTGATGTTGGTCACTATGGGAATACAGAGCCACCCTGCTGCCTTCCCCTTATGTAAACACCACTGAAAACAGGACCTTTTCACACCCCACCCCCACCCCCACCTTTTCCTTCCCCACTACAAGAAAGAAGATGTAAATACTTGCATAGAATTTAGGTTAATGTTCTACCGCCACATAAGGTCAATCCGGCTGTGAGTAGGGCAGTTAACTTGGCATTGCTTATCAGGGATTTGAAGAAATACCGGCTGCTTTTGTGCTTTTTGAACAAATCGACCAATGAGCAGGATATGTCTTATTCCAGTTGGATGGCTTGCCACACATTGCTTTCTGCCATGTAGAGTAATTTGGATATATTTGCACGTGTAATCCGGATTCTGGGAAATTTTGCGTCGAAAATCAGGAATCCTGTGCCTTGTAATCTAGAATTCAGGTCAAGGAAGTTGAATCTCGCTGTCAATTGACCATACCTAGAAAGATGGCGACTGGTACATTTACCCACAATTCTTAGCGCATGAAAACCGTAAAATTGCTCATAAAAACGCACAGAAAAGTTTTATAAACTTCAAACCTAGGATAGGCAATGTTGCCATTACGGGGACGAATTTCGCTCCCCCCCTCCCCCAAAATATGACTTTATGTTTAATTGGCCATGTTAGGTTCGAAAGGAATTGTGGTAAAATGTGCAGCCGCCATCTTTTTCCGTACGGTGGATTAGATTCTGGAATCTAAGTTTCTGGAATCCACAGACCAAGAATCGAGAATCCAGTACTCGGAATTCGGCATCGTGTGGTAACAAGAGATCGCCAGAGATGGACTTAGTGTTTTCCTGCTCTGTGCGCAAATAGAAAACGAAGCAAGGTTTTGGTCGCAACCTGCTTTTCTGAAGTTGTTTTTAATACTTGAAATGAAGACTTTTCGATGAACAGATAATATTTGTCTGTTTTATTCCATTTTATTCATGAACCTAGATGTCCCGTTTAAAGTAAAGAATAAATTATTTTGCGTCTTGTTAATAGAAATTCAATATTGTCGTTTTTCACTATTGCTGAAAAAGTACTTCAAAATTAATGTAAGCTTTAAGGCGAACTGTATATGTTATAGCCTTTCTGTACAGCCCTTTCACATTACATTACAACAAAGAAACCTTGAGAGTTATTGCCTAGTTCATCTTCTCACGTTTTCATTCCTTAAAGCCACATACCTGTTAACGAAAGTGCTTCTTTCTATGATATTCCAGCAAGTCATCTACCAGGATTTTATTCACATTGTCAAAAGTTTTCGGTCCTCTTGATTTTCTCAGGGAGCAATTGAGTGGTTTTATTTTATACGTATTTTGTCAAACTTATCCTCCTAAAACGCAAATTTCCATCTCTCGAAACATGACACTAGATGAGGTTTTTTTTTCACATCATAATTATAATATTTGCTAATTAAGCGAAGCCCTTACTTTTGTGAATCTTTCACCCCATGTTCCGGATTCTGGAAAATCTGAAATCTTGGGCTTTGGAATCCGAAATACAGCTTAAGGAATCCGGATCTCACTAACGTTTGGAATCCGGAATCCAGGACGTGCAATGCAGAATCCAAAACTCCGTTGGATTCCATAACATGGGGCGAAACTTTTCAGCACCTTAAACCATAACAAAACAAAGCTGGATATCGAATCCTGAAATTACTGAGTCGTCAATCTGAGGTATACCTATTTTTAGGGTATTTATTTCTGACATTTAGTTCCCTACATCATGTCTAATACAATGTATAATTTTTAGAGGAGGTATTCTCCTAAAAAGAAATGTAAAATATTTTATTGTTTGTGGATAGATTGTTTTATATCATTGACTTTAAAAGATAAAAAAAGAGTTTTGTTATACATGAAACATGTGGTTTACTTGATGGTTTTCTTGGTCACGCCGCTCTCTCCTCCTCAGCGGCTCCACCTGGGTGGAATTTCTAGGGAGCTGCCCACCTACCACTCCCATAACGCAACGTTAACATTTGCGTCTAGCTTGGGGCAAAATGTTGGATTAGGGAAGGGGTGGGTGGGCAGTTTCCCACAAATCTAAATTGATCCAATATTCCAATAAAAATCTATCTATTTCGGGCGCACCCGCACTGATTTTATAAGTCCGTCCCATTCCCGTCTGTTGGCCATGACAGACGCTTGATCCTGCCTCGAGAAACCGCTGTCACTCTCTAGTTGGTCAATAAATTAAATGTTGTTGCTGGGCGCCCTCTTGACCGTCTGTCGCGTTTTCGATCCCAAACTATTAGTTGGGAGACAGTCTCATTCTTGCTTCGCCAACAGTGGCCACAAAACTGCAGCCGATGTATCTGGAGACTCGTTGAAATCGGAGGCAAATCGCCGCAGAGCTGCTTGTTAGATATATGATCTCTCTGGCTTATGTTTGCAGCAAGTACAAAGTCAGATAAAAGTTAGAGTTGTCATTATTAGGGGCCTTAACGGCTGAGCTCACTTGATGTCACAGGTGATCAAAGTGGAAAGCTAAAGGTGGCACTGTAAATTTTTGTGAGATGTTACGGGTGAATCTTCATTTTTACTGTTGCTTTAAAACTTAATGGCAGCCTTGAAAATTAGTAAGCGCGCGGTGGACGATGGGAAGAGGGAAAGGGCGGAAGCCTGCCTTGTTCCTTCTGATCTCATCAGGGCGGATAAAGGAAGCGTAGTTGGCAATATTAACAAAATGAACTAGACAGCCCTGACAGCACGTACAGCCCCTTTAACCTGCTGAGAGTTCATCAACTTGGACTAATTACCCCTAATTGGCTCCAAGATATCCCGCGATCCCGCGAAGCACAAACTGTACAGCGCTCTTAAGAAGATTACTGACCAGCGTCTGTCCGTTAAAAATACATACATTATTCTGCCATGCGATTGATTGGTAAATGAATGACGTATGCTGGCCTTGCGTAAATATTTCCTTTGACGAGAATTTAAACCAAGGATAAATTAAGCCTCCATAGCCATCCATAGCATTTACGCAGTTCCATCAATCTCAGTACGACCCCTCGAAGTGTCTTTTCTGATCGAGTTACTATGCCAAAGTGTCCAAAGTGCCAAAAGGAGGTATATTTTGGTAAGTACACTGCTAATACCCTCATTGAGACAGAGAATTTTTATTAAACGTTTTGATTAAATATATCGTTTTGCGAATGAATGAGCGAAACACTATGCGCGCCACGTGGAGAAGCAAATCAAGATTTAATTTCACTTTGCATGCCCTACAAGGTGCTCTAAATTCAGGCTTCGTTTGGCGCAAACTAGGTGCTTTTAGCGAGGTAACTGAAAGTGTAATTTGTGAGGCGAAGACACCTGAAGCGTAAGACTCAGCCCTACTAATGCTTGGCTGATTATTGAGCTGAAATAATAGGAAATATTCAGCTATTCGTCTCAGATTTTCTTGCAAAAAATTCGAAGTTGATTTTGCAAATTAATATTCCGGAGATAATATATCGAATTTAATTAACCCGCAACGCCGGGAGTAGTCGGAGATGATAGCTTGACCATGACCTTCTTAAATATCCATTGCTATGCAAGCGCATTATACTAGATTTACGAGAGAGTCAGTTTTTCTAGGTCGACCATCTCCAAGTCAAGTGCTTGTCATTCAGGTAATATTTCACTTTGTTTCAGCCGAGAAGGTCACTTCTTTGGGCAAAGATTGGCACAGACCCTGTCTTCGATGCGAAAAATGCAACAAGACGCTTTCCTCAGGGAGTCACGCCGAGGTAGGATCCGTCCTGGATAACTGTTGGACAGACGTTTAGTTTTCCTCTCTTTTCTTAAAAGATTTGAAATGACTTTGTGAAGTGAGACTGGTATTTAGAGAATGAATTAAAAATACATCAAAATTAATGACATCAGGAACACAGAACATGCTGGAAAATTAATCCGCTGGCTTCGCTGTACTTCTTGAAGAAAAGAAGCTGTAGGGAAGAATTTATGTTTTTAAAATTGTTTAATTCGTCAGGTGTTCTGCGTTGAAGAAAAAAAATAGTGAAAAAGAGCTGTCTTTTCTCTAGAATATTTGTTTTCACTTGTAGCCCTGAGACACTCCCGCAAGTTTGACCTCCTTTTCAAAAAAGACAATATAAAGGTGACAAAGCCAAGTTTTCATTCACATGACGTCTTAGAAATTTTTAACGGTATATTGTTCCAAAACAAATAACGACAATAACGCTGTCGTAAGGTTAATTGCTACCTCTAGAACCAACTCTGTACAAATATTCTTGAATATTTTAGAATAAAATCGGCAAACAAACCGCAGCTGAACAGAGCACCCCACAAATTATAATTTCAGTAGAATTTCTTCACAACGGAGGCATTTTCGTCTAGAAAAATCTTTCTATCTAAGTATCTATCTACCATTATTTGCATCCATGACAATAACATATTATCTCCTTTAAACTATTGTAGCATCGTAGTTTAGTTCGGCATGGACCCCGAGTTTCCGAAATTAGTTCAACTACTCGGTACATACTAGGTTGTAACTAAATTCGAGGGTTAAGGAATACTTCAGTTTTAACCCCCTCTCGATACTGTTCATGAAATGCTATGACAACTTGTCTCCTAAAATTGTTAAAATTTCTAAAATTGAAATCGGAAGACAAAAAATTAAAGAGGTTATTTCTATCTTATTTTAACGGTCGATCGATAGCACTGACAGTCGTCTAAATCTGGACTAGCCTAGAGACAATAGTTAGCCGAGAAAGCTGTTTTGTTCCAGGACTCATCAAGGTATGGCGAGAAGACCCTTGGGACGAGGCTTTTACTCTCGTTGAGAAAGAGGCTAGGTGCAAATGGCCATATTAAACATGGCATTGCAAGTCATCTAAACAATAAAACCATCCGCTCAGCCGCGAGCAGAATCAGTTTGTTATTGAAACACTTGCGTACTGTCATTCAGCAAGGGTCGGCTGAAGGGTCCAAGTGATTAACCACTTCAGTCAAGTTTTGCTCCGTTTATATAAAAGCTTCCTTAAAATGTCTCGTTATTTAAGAGGAAGTCTACAAAGTTTCAACTTGATTTTAAGTTCAAGCCTTGTCCTAAACCATTAGTAAGCGCAAGATGTTGTTTGCGCATGCCTTCTTTTTTGAAACCGTCTTTTGGTTTTGGCTCTTTTGGTCGGCGAAACGGCGGAGTGACCACGGATGAAGCCCGGGATGAAGCCGAGGGAAACGGAGACGAGAAAGCTGGGGTGACATTCGCGTTTGCGTTTAGTATTTGCAGGTCGGCGAGTAGAGGACCAAATACAACAAGTTTGTTTTAACCATTTTATCCTTTCCAAAACTCCTAACCAACGAGACCGCATAGCAATACGATGAATTTCATGTAAAAACTTTACCAAACTCAGACATGAAGGAACTCTTTGACGCTTTATACCCATTCTAGCGAACTGACAACGGAGACGTTATGACCGAATTACAAACGATTGATAGAAAGATCTTACTGTCCTGAGTTCGCGTGGAAACGGCTGTATAAGATACAGATTTAGCCAAGGCTAAAATCGAAGCTTTCGTGTTTGAAGTAAAGTTTTCTGAGCCCGCGATTGCTTGAATACAGTCAACTCTCCTTGGTGCCCGGAAAAGTGGCCGCTTACGGGAGATGGTCGCTGGGGTGTCTAGAAAAAACAGACCTTGAAAACGCAGACCGCGCTTGAAGGAATTTGGGCGCAAGAGAGAACGGGCGCGCGGGCGTGTCTCCCTAGCGCGCTTCGTTCTTTCCTGCGCCCATTACTTCCAAGCGCCTGCTACGCTAGTCTGAAATTTCATACGTCTCCACCCCCTTATCCGTGGGGGGCCACGGATTATGGGGTGGAGATGTATGACATTTCAGACTAGTCGCTTATGGGTAAACGTGGCAAAATAAGCTCAAACTTAGTTGATTAACGTAATTAGATAAAGATAATACCTTATATGCTAAAATTAGGCTAATAGGCAACGTTTTGTCCCCCTGAAACTAATTTGTTCTTTTCTCGAGCAACACGTACAATACAATTTAAATTTTTTTCACTTAAATTCCGTTTTAACCCGAACAAAACCTGGAAAAAATGTGAAATTCGAAGCATGAGGAGCACACCCTAAATCAGACTGCACAGAGTTTACATTTTACAATCAATCGATCGCATTCGAAAGCTAGAATCCAGGAAGTCTAGAATTCTCGATTGCTTTTGTTTTTGGTGCCTTGATAAGTCAACCAGAATATCAGGCACAAATATCTTGATATCCTTGTCCTGAATATCAGGACAACTCGTCGCAACCCCGATACTCGGCGACCTCTATTTTTTTGGAAGTACCCTGTTATTACAATGTATTTATCAGCAATCTGGGTCTGCGCTATTAAAAACTGAACTTTTGTGGTTTTCTTACAATCATACCGGTAATCATGCCCGGTGGTCGCTTACCAAAGAATATGTCAATTTCTGGCCATAAAAGTGGTCGCGGTCGCTCAAGGAAATCTGAGAAGTGGTCGCCTAGGAGAGAAATTTTGAAATAGTATTTGAGTTTGAAACAAAACCGGTTATTTACGAAGTGGCCTCTTACAAGAGGTGGTCGCTTACGAGAAGTGGTCGCTATGAGAGAGAACTGACGGTACCATGACTGGTCAGCGGAGACCGCTATTTTCGGTCATTATCAACCTCCAAATTCTTTTATTTCAGCATAGTGGCAAGCCGTACTGTCATAACCCTTGTTACTCTGCGATGTTTGGACCAGGAGGTTTTGGTCGCGGTGGAGCAGAATCCCACAAATATTAATGGGTGAGTAATTAAACTACATAGCACTGGTACAGAGCATCTACAATTGGCCATTTTGAAGATCCGTGGGAGACTGGGAAGATCAGATGTCATGACGAAGTGCATTATGGGGTTATTTTGGGGAAACTATCGCCTATTTTATGCGCAGGAACCTGGGTCAAAACAAGAGATAATAGTCAAACTTCGTCCTTCCCATGATGCAATTCAAATACAAAACCGTATTAAGAAATGGCCAAAAAGTTACTGGATTCGAATTCCGTATGATATGAAAAATTATGCAGATCTCGGAGGGTGTTACCACTTCGCTTTTTCGCCCCTTCCATTCTCGCCCTTCCCCCGCCATTGTTACCTAAAATATCCCCAAAATAAGCGATCGCGTGCGCGCGACTGGGGCAAAGGTAGTGGGTGGAAACGAGTTTGAGCCTCGCCCACGTACAGAGATTCTAGTACCTTTAAAGGGACCCTCCACTTCAACAAAAAGATAACTTTAAATCACAGGAAATAACTGTTACAGTCAAGTCAATCTAAAATATTTTTAAAGAAAGCGTTTGTATCCGAAGAAATAACTTTTAGGGTTTCTCTGAAATGATGAATGGTTTTTGTTATTAAAAAAGCCTGTTTGAACAATAACAAATAATTTTTTTTGAATGTACTGTAAGCGATTTTAAAATTTTTTGCCTGATATAATCACTTTTTTAAAGACCCAAAACAACATAATTTTATTCGATTTAAACTTATTCTGTAGTAAGAGTGGAGGTTCCCTTTAAGATTCGTAGTTTTCCAACGAACAATTCACCCAAAGTACCCAAAGTAGGGTCTCTGAAATGATGAATTTTTTTAAATAGCCTGTTTGATCCTTCATATACTTTTTTTCATGTACTGTATTTTTTTTGTTTGCATCAATTAAACAGATACAAAATAAAAGTATAATCCATAATTAATGGTGCAAAATTTACAAATAAAAGTATAATCCATATCACAAATTTAATGTGTCATAATAGTCTACATAGTATATTCCTAGGAGCAGGGACCTTTGCCCTGACTTATCAAAGGGCTCCTGATATTGATCTAAAACTAATTCGCATGTGATCTTAAAATCAGATGCTAATCTACCTAGATTATCCGCATATATTTTCTTGCTCGAAAATACCATCAATACTGAAAAAAAGCAAAAATTTACGTATATGTGACAAATGTGTTATCATTGCGCGGCCGTAGGAATCCAAGGATGTTGGTTGGACCTAGATATTTACTGTAATTTTGCATAATGCTTCAAGAATACTCAGAAACAAAACAAACAAAAAAAAGGGATAAGTTAATAGCTACATCTTGATCTTCGATTGCAATTTGCCTTTTTTATATTTACATAGGCCATTTTCACGACGACGTCATTTTACTGCTACGACCAGAATCCTTCAGAGTTTTGATTTTTTGCAAATGACGGCTTTATAGCCTGTGTACAGACGCCCCCTATGACGGCTTTGGTTATTTAAACCTCGCTGGGATTGGCAAATTTAAATACGAACGGAAAAACGAAAAGGATTCTGGTCGTAGTCTTGTCGTAGTACAGTAGAACCCCGCCTTACGATGATGGTCGCATTAAAGGAGTTGCACTCAGTAGTAAAAAAGATGCCATTGTTCAAGTGGCCAATTCCAAAATCAAACTGAAAGTGGAAAGGAACATTTTGATGACGTTAAATAATTTTAATTCGTTAAACAAATATAATTAAAAGTCTTTTTCATGACGATAACATGAAATACATGAATCAGTCAATTAAAAAAAAGGAGTACGTATATTTTTAGTTTAAAAACTACAAAAAACAACTATCTTTTTTGTACTTAGAGGGGGAGCGGATGGGGCAACCAAGCTTTGATGCCCCGTCAGAATGGAACGCTTGGACCTGTAAAAGAAAAAAAAAAATCAGTGTGACAGTATATATGGGACATGAGACTTTTTACACTGGATAATCAAGTCCAAATATGCGACTGTTTAACCAGCTTTTTCGTGAGCTCTTTGCTTCCCATAAAATTCTTTATTTCAACTGTAGACGTTCTGAAGACAAACTTTCAAAATATCTATTCAGTTATGAACAGCAACGGCACATGTTTTGAACAGAACAGAACAAGTCGTTCACACACATCGAATGATCATGCCGTAACGATTGACCTCGAGGGTTTCACGATTTCACTGCGATTTCTCTGTGTCATACGAAGCCCGTTACGTTTTTCAACTGCTCGCACTAACATTACTGATATGTTTCTTTCGATCGTCGTAACGAAGGTGGAGGAATTTTGGCTCAAGAATGCCTCCTCAAGAGTCTTTCCCAAGGCTGAACCCTGGCTCCCAAGCGTCTTCGTACGTTCCCTTTGACCAGCGGTCGGAAAACAAGCCAGTATGCGCAGTACGGGCGAACGGGTTGCCGGATAAAATGTGCCGCAGACTAGCGTGAAGCGTGAGTGGAGGATGATAAGAACGAACGCAGACTGAGTGGGGGAAAAACACCCTCTTTTCAATTTCTTTCCTATTTCTCACTTTATTTGTCTCCGCCTACTTAGTTGTTAATTAACTAAAAATTCTCAAAATAAACGATCGCGAGCGACTAGGGACGAGGCAGGGCGCAAGTCTTATGTTACGTAGCCTGTTCACAGACCCTCCATTTTCTCTTTAAAGATCGTCGATCGAACGTACTAGGATAAAAAACCGCGGGGGCGGGGGGTTATTGACCGCTTACGCCTGGGGATGACGAATGGGGGTACATGAGAAAGTAGTTTTTCCTGTGCTGAAACTCCAAGCTCGCCCTCCCGCGCTATCAAGACTGGTCGGGAAAAAGAAACGAAACGTAACAGCTTCTGTGGACAGGCTGTTAGTAAAGAAGCGCACTTTTAGAATAAGTGGAATTTTTGCAACCTTTTCTCGGTATCCCGAAGGATTTTCTTGGGCACTTGTGGTGATACTGGTAAATCCGCTTTCGAATCAAAGAGACAATGAAAATGGCTATACAGAAATTTTCCACTTTTAATAACTTTAAGTTGTTTGCTCCATGCTACCCGGTCCTAGACTGTAATGATCTATAGTTCGTACTGATAATAACATAGTCTAGTCACAGGTGTAATTAGTATAGGTAATAGCATGATTTGTAGTGATATTTGGCATAAATACCACGAGTGATATTGCGAAATTGTTATACGTAATTTCACCAGTGTTCACGAACCGTTAGGCGAGTGAAATTTGAGACAATTTTGAAATATCACGAGTGGTATTTACGCCAAATATCACGTATAAATCATGCTATTATTTGTTTATACTACTAGCCGCAAAAGTTTTGTTTTGTTATTTTTGACATGTAGGTATTTCAAATTAAGCTGAAATACCACTGCTCTAAGCCAATCAAATTGCAGAAATTTGTCATGTAGCACAGTCGAACCTCGCTATTTCGAACTAGGTTAATTCGAAGTCCCCGCTATTTCGAAGAAAGATCGAATGCCCTTGGATTTACCCTTCCCCTTTACGCTTCCCCGGTTATTTCGAAGCCCCGCTATTTCGAACTTTTTTTCCATTTCCCTTGGGACTTCGAAATAGGGGGGTTCGACTGTAGTTTAAAAACACTTACTCGCTAATATTTGTGGGATTCTGCTCCCCCACGGCCAAAACCTCCAGGTCCAAAGAGCGCAGAGTAACACGGGTTATGGCAATACGGCCTGCCATTATGCTAAAATAAAAGAAATGGATCTTAACAAAGGTTCCATGGTGGGAGATCGACACCAGATATGAGGCTCCGAGACCTCGTCCTCAGGGACCTCTCGGCCAGACTCTAAAGCAAGAAGACTCCGGGGACGAGGTTGAAGGCCCTGCACACACTTTTTCGTTTTCACTTAAAAGGGGTATTTTTTCTCCATTTTTTTACAATATTCATGTTCATATGTAACATTAACGAATCGTGTATACGTTTCCCCTTCCACTTTTAGCAGCGTTTCTGTTTGAAGACAGAAGGAAACGACCAAGATGATCAACTCTTTTTTTACAAAACAAAAACTAAAGTTCCTCACACGTTGTTGCATGTTCTCGTCCCTCTCCACCCCCCAGTAAGAGTTCGCTGTCCTTGTTCACAGGCGAGTCTTTTTTCTTCTCATGACAGATGTAGACTATTTCACAGTAACTATTTTCCTCTGAGGGGAGGGGGGGGGAGGGGGAGGCGTTACTCCCTTATTGCATGGCCTTTACGGGAATGTGCCTCTGAACGGGGCATGGTTTTTGTCATCTCCGTCCTAAACAGGGTATATAATTTCATGCCAGTCGCTATTGAGTTGATTTGTTTGATGAAATTTGTTTTTTCTCCAATATGCAAAAGCAATGACTATAACGCGAATTTTTTAAATTGCAACTGTCAATAAATGATTTTAAAACAAGAAAGCGTTCATTTAGGCACTTTTCCTAAACAGTGTATTAAAATTGCGGGTGTTTTCCTAAACAGGGTACTATGTATTTTAGTTTGTTTTTGTCCTAAACAATCAGGGCTTCAAACCCTCATCAGCAGCTCACCTCTACCCAAATATTGGTTAGATAAGAGGGGTATGGTTTGGGAGAAAGCAAGAAAAATAGAGGGACTGTCACAGCATCTCTGCAACTTGCTTTCCTTCTCCCACCGCCATAAGCCCCTGGGCAGGGGCACCCAATGGATCTGTTCCTCAAAATATCTGTTCTTTAGCCCTGTTGCTGGGAAAAAGATAATTCAGGGCGTCAGAGGGCTCGAGCCTCAGTACATTTAAAACCAAGATGGTCGCTCGTTTAAAATAGTCTCATAAACTTTATTCACGCTGGTTGTTTTTAGGTCTTTTTCTCAACCGACCGGTCCAAGATGGTCGCTCAAAAATGGATCTTTCAAAACGATCTTAGGGAAAAATGGCCAGAGGACTATGAACAGTATAAGATAAATGATAATAGTAAAATACAAAAGGTATCATTCAGGGGTTCGTTGCCTTTGATATTTATTATAAAACTTCAGTCAATTTTTAAATTCTTTAGACTTTCGTGGATGCATGTCTCCCGGGTATTTAATTACATTTAATTGACAATAATAATAATAATTCCTCAAATGCCACTATCACCTTGGATGGAAATCACGTTTTAAGATGATTACTCTAAATTACAACTGTAAAAAGTGTATAAACTAGATTTTATTGCTACACTCAATACCTCTGCGTGACCCCCAGCGGAGAGGGTTTTTTTGCATTTCTCACATCTCAGACAAGGACGATGCCAGTCTTTGCCCAGTGAAGACACCCTCTCGGCTGAAATAGGTATAAACAGTAAAATTATGCATAATTTACATGGCTTCCTCTGGCTTTTTCTAGAGAAAAACAACCTTTTTTTCTCACCAGCTCACACTGGTTAAGATCTGTAAAGGCCAGCAATTTTGGATTTCGTTTAACGGAAACTTAGCACTAGTGGCTAATATCGCAAAGTTAGTACGGTTGTATACTGATTTCATTAGCACGTCAATGTAAGGGTTTTATGCAGAAGCTAAAGTACGAAAAATTCTTCAAAAGACTGTGTTCGTTGAGGGCAAAGTCACACCTCATGTAAGCACACAGTGAAAGCCAAAGAAAGCCATGCCAATTACCCTATTAACCCGCGCGAAACTAAAATCACTTATGCTTGCATGGCTCAAAATGCAAACGACGGTAAAATCGATCAAAGTAAAGGGAAGACCCAGTCAAAATACACAACTCGGACGGGCGGATTATAGACAACTTACCAAAGTACACTTCCTTGTTACAATTCGGGCACTTTGGCATTTTTGACTGGAATAAAAACGGACTTGGAATGGCCTCAGAATCGTTCTGACAGCTACGAAAAAGACACTGTTTATTAAGTACGAAGGCAATATCAATATTCCTATTTAAATTAAAACGAGGAAAAAAGATATATTTACATATGCGTCATGAGCAGGTATGTGACGTTTTTGTCACACTAGCCTGTTCCAGGCGTTCCGAGATAGTGGAGAGCGGTGTGAAGTCAAAAGCAGCGCGAAAAAATGAAAACACTATCTGAACGCCTGGAATAGGCTATCGTCACATAGCCCTGTCATCCCTGGTCATTTTGAAGCGATCCGTGCAAAGTTTAAACCGAAAAAAAAACTATAGTTTTTTAAACACCGACTTTTACGGCTGAGCGAAGTGCAAAGTCTAACGAACTCCCACAGAGTTTGGGTTGCCTGTGCTTGGACGTGACAGAGAGCATGGAGAAATAGAATTTTGACAGTTGGAAGTACTTTGCATAACCTCAGGGCGCATGCTCTCAAGGTGACATAGCCCCTTTAAGCCAGTGACAAGTCGAACACAAACTATTACTGAAGTCCGAAACATTGATTTTAACTTGAAATAACAGTGCCAATTCTTTGTCTTTACTTTCATGTCACTCCAGTTCAAATTCAGTGTCCATCCCTGTATATTTATAGGGACCAGTCATAATTTAAGTTGGAGGGGGAGGGGGGGCGGGGGGTGGAGGAGAAATTGGGGGGCCTTCAATTTTTTTTGGATGGAATATGGGGGGCCTTAAAATGCCAAAAGATGACCTTGGGGGGTCTTCAAGTTTCTTTTAAGTAGCATCCCTACTGAGCAGCATGATGTTTGAGTATTGACTATTTTCGAATCCCCCATACTACACTCTGTCTGCCCCCCAAATTTTGCATAACTTATTGTCTTAAAATGCTCTTGGGAAAATGCAACACTCCCAGGAGCAATTAAAAACAATGGTTTATGCAAAATTTGGGGGGCAAACAGAGTGTATTATGGGGAATTCGAAAATAGAGAATTAAAGGACCTGATTTTGATTCTTTTTTACACAAAGTCCTATATTGTGTAATACTAAAACAATTTATAATCAGCATTTTTACAAAATGATTTAATGCTCAAATAGTAGGTGCATCAACACAACATCCAGTATTGTGTAACACTGAAACAATTTCATCGGCATTTTAACAAATGATTACATGTATAAAGTCATGTTATGCAATCTCACTATCCGAATCATTATTTGTAGATGAGGTTGATGCGGACTCACTGTCAGTGTCACCGTCAAGTTTTTCGCTATTAGAGCATGTACTGCTCATATAAAAAGCAGTAAGCTTTGGCTGATTATCTTCTTTCTTCCTTGAAGCGGTCCTCTCGGCCTCTCACCTTTCGATGGCTTGTCTTATCTCAATTATAACACATCACTGATATATCCTTGCTCTATAAGCTGTTTGAGAGGCTCTAGGTGAAATCCCTTTCTCAGTTTAGTGTGAAGTGCTTCTCTGTTGTTAGTCGGCACATTCGGAAGTGACAGTGAGTACGAACGGTAAAGTAAAGAAAATGTTATTTGTTATTACCATTTGGGTATTATGTATAAGAAAGGGGGGCCCTTAAATCTTTTAACATGATTGAAGGGGGGGGGTAAAAAACATGGGTGCTATTAGTAGGGGTCTGGAAAAAATTTGGAATAAAAAACAATTTCTCCTCCACTCCCCCCTCCAACTTAAATTATGACTGGTCCCTTAATCAAGCTTTGCTGCTTAGTTTTTTGTCAAAATATTAATCTATCTCTGGGAAGTGAAGTGTGCATGATACTTGCATTCCCTTCTCATCCATTTGTTTCAGTGTTTGCTTATTTCCGGTCATTTGCTTTGAACTCCTAGACTGTGAACAGGCTCTCTGTTTGGGGAAAAAAATAGCGAGGAAAGGCCTGTTCACAGGCTATGAACTCCCGATAATTTGGCCAGTCCAGGGTTACGTGTGACGTCATAACAACCTCATTTCCAGGGTATCGGTTAGCTTGCGTGACATGCTCGTATGTAGTTGACTGAATACATGCAGAGCTCTACGTTGGTGTAATCCGTACTCAATTTTCAAAGCGTTTTTGCTTGAAATCAGGAGTTTTGCATAGATCAAGAACGGATTTCAAACAAGTTTAGCATCACAATGACGTCTGGCTTGGAGTTATCTGAGAAACATTCAGAGTCGGGGCAGCGAGGTGGCAGAAGAACTCGACATTGCATGCTATCTCGTTTGCAGGTTGCAGTGTTTGTTACAGTAGCCATACTGCTAATGGCAGTTGTCGGAATCTTGATGGCGATGTTCGGTCCTGGAAGTAAAAATTTGAAATATCGAGACGATGAAGACTGCAAAGGTAGGAAAGATGTGTTTACGTGTAGGGGTATAGAATCGGTTCCTCCAAAAACACGGGTCTCGGAAAGTTTTGGCTCGAACGCGAAATCTCGGAAGCGTATTTGACAGGTCCGGGCCCCGGGGGGGGGGGTATACTTAAGGAATTTTGGGGTGGGGATGTGTTGCTTGGTCACTGGAACCCTTAACCTATACCAGAGCTAGTTCAAGTGAATTTTGCTATACTAGACTAAACTCCAAAAATCCCCTCCCCCACCGCTATCCCAGAGTAGCTGTTTTCCGGAAACTATTTACTGAGGTCACAAACACAGTCCAGCCAAGACAAAACCGATTTGATTTTTCATATTTTTGAGTGGCAATTCCCGGTTTCTCTAGTCTAGTCTAATATATAGATTTAGCCAGGGCTAAAAGCGAAGCTCTCGATAATATTTATAGTTTGTTCAAACAAAATATAAAATCGTGTAATGCTAAGCGGCGAAGGCATGCAACGCCGGAAAACGGTGAAAAACAACAATAGGTCTAATTAGCAAAAGCAACTTTGCACGTGCAGCACACTTTTTTTGTACATTTCTTTGCCGTTGTTTTGCACGACTACAACGCGAAACTTCCAGAAACTTCTTAGTTACACGTTTTATGGAGGAAATGTCGTACGTGTTCCCGTTCACTTTTTTTCGAAGCTGCTCATTTTCACCTTGCAATGGTGGCCTGTCAATGTTCAACATGGCATCTTTAGAGGACAGACGCATAGATCAATGTGAAAAACTGTTTGATTCTATTGTATGTAATCCAGATCATAAGTTGCATCATTTTCTCCCTCCCAAGAACTATTGTCATTATAACCTCAGAGGACAACGCCACTTTGCAAATCCAGTCATGCGTACCAAGCGTTTTTCAAGCACATTTCTGCCATCTATGTGCAGGCGTTAGCAGTTATTGTATAAAGTTTAATTCATCTAAAGTATAATTTTTATAAATTAGAGTTCTAAAGTATAATTTTGTAGATTTTTTTTTAAAATTAGTACATTTTCATATTTTAAGTTTTGTATCAATTGTATTTGTAAATTCATGCTATTCAGCCTTGGAGGGCTGCCATATGATTTGAATTAAAGCTATCTATCTATCTATCTGACCTCTAGCATTTCTCATTTTGTCACCACTACAAAATTTTCATGTTGTTCTTGCAACATGTCTCCTTCGGTTTTTTATCTCCCGCTCTAAATCCCTGTCATCCTTTTTCTCGTTGAGCTTCCCTGGTCTGCCGCCCACTTTCTCTTTTTCTCTGTCTTTCTCTTGCTCTATATTCCAAATTTGTGGACATGACAATATATCTAAACTTAATACTTTAGACAACACTGATACAGAAACAATTTTCGCTTTCCGTTTTCGTCTTTATTGACTCTATTGTTGTCTCTGCTTTAGAAGACGTCGGTGGCTATGCGATTTCCCGCCAACATAACCTCGAGTTGCATTTGGGTTGCCATACCTGTTGATTAAGTTATTTTACATTGGTATACCTGGGGTGCGGACGGATAGTCTCTCCGGCGGTGTACGGTCACGTGATTACCAAATTTTCTCGGATGGGTAGATTACTTCATTTTCTTACCCATGGTGCTCCGCTGGCGCGCTTCGCGCGCGAGAGCTCCGCTAAAATTTTCAACCAATTGATCAGTATGCTGGAAAATGACACCCTATTCTAGACCTAAACTCTCTGATTTATGTACCCTATCCCAGACTAAACTGCTTGAAAACCAGTGTAAAATGGGGTTGACAGGCCTACACGACTCCCCAGCGCGTGTTTAAAATAGCCTTTTTATAGTTTGGCTCTCACGAGTATGTCTTTGAGCGACCGCCCTCTTTTATAAGATACGAGGGGCGGTTTTTTGGCACATTTTGGTCCGGAATCGGGTATGTTTTTCGAGGGAACTGCGGGAATTTATGAACGTATTTATCGTTTCAGTTTCAAGTAAATAAGAAAGAAACTGATAATCAATGCGAATTCGAAATGAATAGTTATGAATTTTTTGTTGACGCTCTAATCTAAGCAGCCTAAGTAATTTCAAGTTTGATAACGGGTCTGGATTTTAGAGGCCAGGCCTGAAAACGGGTGTGGAAAATGACATTTTTTGGTCTGAAACAGGGTCAGGATTTGGAGAACTGGACAGCACACCCCCACCAAGAATCCCCAGAAGTAACCCCTGGGTTTTAATACTGGCGCTGATCAACAATTATTTATTGTTATTTAGTTATGCACGTCATATTTCACATTCACTTCGGTCCTTAAGGTTCTCCAACGAAAGCTAGCAACCAGACTAAAGCGACTTAGGCTATTCCCGCCTTTTTTTGGGAGGGGGGGTGAGGAAGCATCCGTTCTCGCATAGGATTCCTCAATCCCGTCATTCCGACCCAAATTTCCACTCAGTCCCTTAATCCCGAGGTTTATTTTCTCCATCTCGAATCCCGGATCCCGAACTGAACCTACTAGTGACCCTCCTTGCAAACTACTACTTTTTTGTTATTCTTCCTTGTTTTGTTTTTCCAGCAACTGCAGAGAAAGAGAAAAAGCAAACTGCAGGATCACTTGATGTACATTGTCGCGTAGCCATTATTGGAGGAGGTACGTATATCAAAGTCTTCCTTTCTTTAAAAAAGATGACATGTGTCAGAAGCCCATCACTCTAGCTTGTGCCAAGTTCTAGGTCAGTGCAGACAGGCGAGCAGCAGTGAGCTGACCTTTGCGTCTCCCCCCAGCCCTCACAAGGTTTTCGCGCAATTTTTTTCGATCCGCTTTCCCCACCATCTGGGAGCCTGGATTCCTGGAACAGGGCAGGTCAACTAGCGATTCGCGTCGCCGCACTTCAGTGGCTACTAGCATTGTACAGCAGGCGAGAGAGGAGCGAGGGACGACAGAATCTCTGTTCTCTTCCCCTTGTCTCCCACCCTTTGCTAGTCTCTCACGCTTTTGCGCTCAATTTTGTTTTGTTTTGTTTTGACAAGCTTTTCTGGACACAGGCCTGCCCAGAGGGAATGGGCACGAACGGGACTCATAGGTCCCATGCAAGGTGCCATCCCTACCCAATCCAACAACCCGTAAAGGTTGGCCACACCACCGGGGTCTACGTCCCCTACTCTTTTCGAAAAGTAGTCTGGGTTCTTTTACGTCCCACAAGAACAGATCAGTGAAAGTGCTGTGAGACAGGACCTACGGTTTTTTGTCCTTACCCGAGAAGACTAGAAAGTCTAACCATTGACAGATGTCATTACAAAGGCAGCACTTTCTTCTCAGTTATTTAAAGACCCTAAGTGTTGGTCCGGCCGGGGTTTGAACCCGCGACCTCCCGCTCAGCAGGCCGGCGCTCTCCCAACTGAGCTAACTAGGCGGCCAGCTTCACCCCCATGTAATTTGTATTATCAGAATATCAATAGAAATATTCCTTGTTTGGCGCTGCATGCCATGGAAGCTGAAATGAACTTTGGCCTTATGGGCCACGTGACTTGAAGACAGACTTAATTTACTAGCTTAATTACTTTCTAATTGAGGTCTTTCCGGTCTTTATTTTGCTGACACATTGCTGAGGACAAAGAAAGAAAAGAATGTCTGCCTTTTTGAGAAAGAAAATCGCTTTGGTGGCAGGATTTTTGATCACTGGTTTTCTCAAGCTCCTAATATTACTGTGGGTAAGACGTTAAACATACATCATAATAAGGAGTGGAGGCCCTTTTTTTATCCAAACTTATCTTTCTACCTACGGCTAACACCCTCTCTTCGAGCTTTGTCCCGTCTGAGAGTAACGTGTACCCTTAGGGATATAAAAGGGAAGGGGTAGCAAGAGTTTAAGTATAGACAGGTGTAAGGAAGACTTATATTTAATTTGGATCTTAAAAAGTATCTTTAAGGCACCCACCTTAGGCTGATACGTACCCATCTCCCCCGCGGGGTGCCCCTTGCTCTAAAGTTGTCCTGACATTTTCATTCACCCTTCTTGACAGCGCGGCTCGGTTTCTGCTTACTTTGACTTTTGGCAGTATTTTCACTCGTCACAATGCCACCTTGTGATTTACCCTCTTTCACGATACTTCGAGCCCTCTCATTGTACGTCGGTTTTCTCTATTTACACCTAATTTCGCGATTCCATGATTCGCGATTTGGTGGCCTGTCACGCTACGCAGCACCATTCGTGTCTTTCTCCCACGCTTCACGCTCTTTAATAGCGCGAGTTTTCTCAGTTCTTTCCGTAAGGAGACACCGTTGTGACAGAATGTTGTCCATTTCTTTTCTTCTTTTTAGGCCTTGGCGCCTGGAGAGTTGATGGTAATGCCGTTAACATGATGTAAGCTGTAGAAAGTGTTTTGAAAGTGAAATAGTAATATACCGTATACGTAAATCCTCTTTGAGCCCCCCGGGTGCTTATCTTTTTTAAGCACTGTCGAGGATGGGGCCTTAATAGAGAGGGGGGGGGGGGGAGTTATTTAATTTAGCGAAACGCATCAACGGGAGCAAGATTTCTCGATGACGCTCTTGTGGTTACCGGGCGCTATGCTGCTTTTTCTAACAATAAGAAAATGGTAACAATTCTCCACAGGGAACTGGAGCGTAAAATTGAAAAAGTTAAGCGCATAAAGTTGGAGGTCATGCAGCAGCCGAAGACCAAAAACAATATAAAGTTTCAGCCTGAATAAACCATAACTGATCAGTCCACGTCAATTGTTTGTGAAGAATGGAGGGGAGGGGGAGGGGGAGGGGGGCTTATTAACTTTCCTCCTTTGAAAAGGGGATGCTTATTAGAGAGGAGGGGCTTAATAGAGGATTTACGGTATTCAAAGTGAGAAAAATTGAAGCTTGAAGCTATGGTTAATTAAGGTTTTTGAGGCCAGTCACCTTGGAAAGTGTAGCCTGTACCAGTAGGGATGTCGCGAAAAGAAGCCAGGGGAAAATAAGACGCGATTGATCTGGGAAATTGGTTAATGTTGCTTAAACATCCTATAAATGTGGTGTTTCACCCAGTGATTGAAAAGACAGCGAAACCAGACAGATAAAAGATCTTCAAGAGGAGCGAACGTTCGAACCTCATGTGTTTCATTCAGGCTCTAAAAACGACACAAACAAAGACACACAAAAAAGCCCTCCTTGGGATTTGTAGAAAGGCAAGCTGCGCAGAACGTTTTTCCGCGCTGAAAAATTCCTTCTGCAAAATATATGGGGTGCGCCTGCGAGTATTTCAACTCAAGGAGTAAAGTACCTCAGCCCACGATACGGTCATGTGATAATGGTCAGAGGATACCCTTTTTGAGAGCAGGAATAACGACATGCTGCTGACCAAAAGAAAAGCGGGCTTGGGAGGACCTGAGACGAACACATGCACTGATTCAGTTATTTTAATATACCCTCGTACCCAGCGTCTTCGTTCCTCTTGTCAAGCCAGCATGCGCAGTAAGGGACGAACATTCGAGGTACTGGTTGCTGTTGGTACGAGTTGATTTTTAGAGAGGAGAGGTGTGACGTCACGTTACCGTGGTAGCAAAATTTCTGGATCACAACAAGAGGGAGCTTAACCAACAACGACGGCGACGAAAACAAGAACGGCAAAAAAACAACAGGTTTAGATTGGCAAGGCAACAACTTTGCACGTGCGTCACGCTTTTTTGTACATTTCGTAGCCGTCATTGCACGACGGTAACATGAAACATTTCTGGCGCCCGCTTTATGGACTGGGTGAACACAACACAAAAATTGTCTTTTTCTAAACTTAGATACGGTCCTTTCGGATTCATCCCTAGAAATTGTCGCCAACATTTGACAAATTAATTGAAATTGAGTGAGGTCGATGAAGTTTGAAACAGTGCGAATTCACTTGTTAAGTGACTTTTTCGGTTTGTTGTCATCCAGAAATTTTGCTACCCTGGCAATGTGACTTAACGACTTCTCCTTTCTATTAACTGCAATTCTGGTGTTCTTTGAAAACTTGTTTTATAAAATTTACTATTACTTAATGTAATTTTTTGCTTAGGAATCTTATTCGACGCTTAAACATCTCGACCATTAGCTGGGATTATCACAAAAAAAGTACTCTGGAATCACGAGGGGTGTTTGCTTTAAATAACTTCGCTAAAATAAAACAGGAAGCCTTTCCTACGCTTAATCGAGGAAGGTTTAAGAACATGACCAGCAACAACATGGTGAGCTATGCTTTTAGCGACGACCGCGTGTCAACAGCACCGCTTTTCACCACAGTAGATTCGTATATGTCCTACTATCTATCTCCCGAGGCCGCAGAGTTCCTTTCAGAGTTATATGGTTACAAAGGAGACTACAAAGAGTCTATAAATCCCGCAGCATACATAGAGTATCAGAAGATGCTGTTCGGTCCCGACGGTCTATCATTTGAAAACTTTCGACCTCTAAAAGGGATGTCTGCGGTTGTAAACTCCCTGGTCGCTTCAGTGCGAAGAAACGGAGGAAAGCTTTATTCGGAAAATGCTGTGCTCTCCGTTGATAAGGTTGAAACAAGCTTTGTTCTGAAGACAGCGAGCTTAACAATTTTGGCGGATAAGCTCGTAATTGCGACACATCCCGTTGCTTATTTGAAGGTGAAAGGAGCAGTTTCAGAAGAGATTCATCGTGAGCCCGTGTTCCAGTCGATAAAAATCATGCCCGCGTTCAAAGGAGCAGCGGTTTACCGTGAGGCTTGGTGGCAAAACACAACCGGAGACCTTACCTGGCTGAACACGAGGCAAAGATTTGTTTCCAACAGTGACTGCCTTGGGACATCAATGCCATACGGGTAACTAATGCTTCATTGTTGTCAGTAGACATTGTGTAATAAATAATAATGGGAAAGCTCTCTTTTATTTAAATAAGGAGACGTGCAAAAACAGCTTGCGTGATTCAGGCCGTGCTCTCATCCTCGTGTTTAACTCTCTTTTTGCAACCCGTGTGACCCGCGCGCCAGTAAGGCAGCTTCGTTCGTGCGTGCTGTAGCGCATGATCTAGACATGATACAGTACCCACTGCATGACACAAAAGTAAAATATCTGTGGAGCTTAAAAGCAACCATAGGCCTTTGTTTGCAGAAAAACAAACTGGGAGCACATTTTACAGTACTTTTAAAATAGTTTACGGCAAAAATGAAAAAAAAAAAAGTCAGGCAAAAGTCCAACCTTGGCAAAAGTCTGCGCTTTATATCTTTGCGCATCTGGAATAGGGGGAAGGGAGGGCGGGGCCCTGTGGCATACCTCTACCCCTAGGTAGAAAGGCTATATATAGGTTATGTTACGACTCGAGTATATAGCTAAGCGCTCCGTGATATTGGCTTATCAATCCAAAATTTATCTCGCTAGGGGGACGGGCCCTAATGGTGAAGCTGTTCTCCACACAATGTATATGGATGGACCCTGCAGCAGAAGGTGGGGAGATATTTTAAGGACCTCGAAATCACACGTGGACAGAGAATTAAAAAGAGCGCTGGAGTACAAGTTTGGAAGGCAGGTCCCAGACCCCCTGGACACCGTCTATCAATACTGGGACGAAGGAGCCTGGTAGGTTCAATTCTGAATGTTTCGCTGATGAAGGTTGGAGGAGAATTCAATTAGCATCCTGGCCTTCCTTCCTTTTTACCTGTGACGGAAAGAGGAAGAAAGAAAAACTAAAAACTTTTGAATACAGGGGTACCACCAACGCGTAAATAAATCCGACTGGTTGTGGGGCCATTCAATGACGGAGACAAAGAACTTGATGTTTCTCATTGACTTTACCCAGCTTGAAAGGATCCGTTAACTTGTTTTGTTAACTTTCAGTTTGTTTGTCTTAACAGTCTGTTTTTTGGATTCTTTTTATTAACTTACAAAAACACTCCCCAAAACAAGGACGAAGCTAGAAGTTTTCCACAAAGTTCCAGGGCAACGCTCACTTTTCCAAATCCACATCACCTTGTCTCCCATATAGTTTCCCTGAGGTGACTTGATTAATTTTCTGATCTCTATTGTTCGAAGGAGGTGTTCTTCGGGCAATAGTAAAGGTTTCGCTTATTCGTGTGTGGCAAAATTTTTTGAGAGAAAGAACACTCCATGTTTCGCCCATGTACTGGAACCCGGGAAATGTTTACTTGTGGAATTTGGAATCTGGAATCTGGAATCTGGAATCAAGGAATTCGGAATCCCGCTAATTACTGAATCAGGAATCCGGACTCTCCCGACAAGGAATCTGGAATCCAGTATCTGGAATCCGGCATCCACTGCGTGGAATCAAGAATCCAAGACTTTCTTGGATTACCTTATATATGGGGTCTCTCTCCTCCGCAGCGTAGAGGCTCCAAGGGGCGTGGCGCGAGTGATTGTGGAAATCCAAAAACGCGTCCTTGAACCTGTGCGGAAAGAGGAGACGCGCGGGGGGACACGTTGATCTTCAATTTTTGTGTACGATTCAGTCGAGAGTCAAAATTATCGCGTGATTTGCTTAGCTACGCTTTGTGATTGGTTCAAGATCTATTCACACGTTCGCGTACCCACAACCAATCAGAAGTAATCCCACTAACCGACGTCAACCTGCCCGCACGCTATTGGCGCTGCGCCCGCTAGATACTCCTCTTCGAAATCTGATAAGTTCATTTTCCTTTTTCTACGGGTCTTGTGATTGGCCAGTTTAGAAGAAAAGATTAGCACCGAAGACTGATCACCTGCCTTGACCAGTTGTCCTTTCTTTCTTTGCACCAGGCATTTCCAGAAGCCAGGATTTAATTACACTCTCACGGAGGTCAGTGATTGGGCAAAACGCCCTTTCCCGGGACAGGAAATCTTTGTCGTTGGAGACGCGTATAATCCTTACAGGGGGTGGACTGAGGGCGCTATACTGTCAGCTGATAACGCGTTGCTTGAGGGCTGGAATATTCCGAAGAAAAGCATTTCAAGAAGGAAAAGGACGAAATCAGTGCCGCTCAGCGAACTAGTGTTGGATCCTTCCACAGAATTCCAGATACACTAGGGCAGGTGTAGACTGAATCTTACAAGCGTCCAGGGCAATTTTAGAGTTTGGGTTTATCGGATAAGGAGCTTTTATTAGACTGAGGCGTTTATTTAATTCCTTTCGAAGATTTTCCTACAGAGAACAAAATTTTAGTTTTTTAATAAACTATTGTCTGTAAAATGACAAAAGTAACAAGTACTTCGCAAGGTCGATATCCATCTTTGCTTCGTCATGAATAGAAACCGGAAATTTGTCATATCTGAGGTTCCATTTGTCCTATGCAAATCCTTTTTGTTCCTGGCCATTTTAAGTATTACGCAATATGAAACCACATGAAATAACTCTCATACTCAGCTTGGGCCGCCTGAGGTCGACTTTTAATATTTTGGCTCCAACAAGCATGTTCTTTGCCATGATTTTCCTTTTTTGTGAGAAATAATAGGTGGTTTCGTAAAACGTTGGCAAAGTAGTGGTTGGTTTTGTATTAGATTCCACTTTTCCATTAAACGGCTTCTGTTATAGTAAGGGCTGGGAGGCACTGACATTTCTTTTTTTCGTTGCTGTTTTGTTTCAGGAGCGCGGACTTTCAGTTTTTGTGGGTTTTATTTATTTCTGATAGCATTTTTTCTTTCAAATTGTGTTGGTAGCCTCTGTCTATCAAGCGTTTTGTTGAAGTTTGAAATACTTTCCTCACACATTGCTTGCGGGTAATGTGTAGGAATAAGTGGGTTGCTCTGTAGAAATTTTCATACACTCTGTACTGACCGATCAATACTCTCGTTTGGTGGTATATTTGTTTTAAGACTTGTGACGTCCATCGAAACAAGAAATGTTCGGTTTTTCACTTTTGTCTCTTCAATAAAATTTATAAGTTGGTGGTATCTTCGCTTACTTCTTAGACAGGTAGAAAAAAAATACAATATGCTCTTCTTTCTGAACACAAAAAGATAATGTCGGCCCTTTTCGGTAGTCGGTAACTTTTTACGCGTTGTGTCGGTAGTCAGTAATATTTTTCGCCCTTTGTCGCTAGTCTGTCAACCCCCATTTACACCCTCATACTTGTATCTCTTTCATAACGACTGAGTTTGAAGTTTGCTTGTTGCAACCTCGGTTGAGCACAAGGAGTTCCGCATTTCGCCCACTTCCCTTAACTATGTCAGGAGCCCATCTTTGATGGGCTCCTGACTATGTTTATCTTGTGAAAGAGAGTCTTCTCTTGCTCTTATGACCACCATCATGATCAGAATATTGACACTGATGTGTTGGTAGACATTTTTGTTCGAAAACACACACCCGCATGGGATTCGCCTCTCCTACCCGCAAAGGACTGTCCCCGCAAAGATGTGTTTCTTTTCGCGCGGAAGGGACTGGGTCGTTAGTTTCGCGTCGTTTCACTATCCTCGTGGCGCGTGGAGGTAAGAATCTCGTCGATAAATAATATGCCAAAGTGCCCAACTTGCGCGAAAGAAGTTTACTTTGGTAAGTACAATAGACAATTTACAACCAAAACAGGCTCTGGCATTTTTTCTCGTTATAATTTGATAACGCCTGTAGAACAGACGTGAGTGCATGCATTCATCACATCATTGGTTACGTCAGTTATATCTGTTGTTTTTCGCAGTGTCTGTTCCTAGTTCCTCGCTTTTTGTTCATTTGATTTCATTTGTTTGCGTTAATGACTGTTCTTTTGAACGTTTTAATTACACAGAGAACAATGATATGGTGCCAATACCGGTAGTTTCACACTAAACAACGGAATCTCTGTTTGATGGCGTTGCTATTTTTGAATTTTTAATACCCGATTCTAATCAAGGGAGATATTTACAGAAAGATATTTTAGAGCAGCTGATTTAATTTGTTGCGTAAGGGATAGAAATGGAATTTTTAAGCTCCTGATATGTAGTATTTTTCATCGATAAACAGCAAACGGAATCATGATTCGAAGCCCACATACCGTGAAGTTTAACCAACATTTATTTAAACTGTCAGCTTCTTTCATTACTTTCTTTTTAGCGGAGCGAGTTTCTTCCATTGGTAAGGATTGGCATAGAGGTTGCCTCAAGTGTGCAAAATGCAAGAAGACACTTTCTCCTGGCGGTCATTCTGAGGTAACTCACCTGGAATTTTCTTATGAATACAGTACATTATAATGTAAAGCTTTTTAAGTTCTGAAAGTGAAAATTATGTGCTTGCCATTTGAAGGTGATTGTCTGTCTATGCGGAATGGTAAGAATTTGTTATCAGAAACTGATTAATTAGCTGGGGTAAACAGTGTTGTTATTTTTAATTAGTCTTTGATTAAAATCCATTGTTTTAAATTCTTGGAATAAATAGAAAACTATTATGAATAAATTATGTGCAGTTGAATTTAAAGAAAGCAATTATCACACCTACATTGTAATACAAGTTCAATGTTAACTTTTCAAACTGCACTGATGTTGAAATTCTGGGCAGTCATAATTGTATAAGCCTTTGGTTCCATATGCACCCTCTCTTTTGGTTCTTGAGGGTTGCTAATAGGGTACCTCGGTACCATAATCCCGACCCAAAATTTCGTACAAATATCACATAATCCCAAGGGTTATCTTTGGCACCCACCTGACCTCCCAAGCATACATTCAATCCCGAATCTCGCCCCAATTTTTTAAAATCCCAAATCCCAAGCTTCAAGTAAGGTAAATCCAGGATTGCAAGAAACCTTTTGGGGACTCTTGCCCTTAGGTGCTGTATTTTTCAAGGACATTTTTCTTGATTGCTCCAAATCTTACTGTCTGGTTCATCTGCATCACCTCATTTTTGTGACGAATGGAACAATGATTGAGATGATCTAGATGAGAAACCAGCCTGTGTACAGACTTAAGTTCTATCCAGGTGGTAATGATCATCCCAACAGATTTTTTTTTTGTTTTTGCTTCCTGCCCTTGCTGTTTACGGTGTACTTTGTTGATCTTGACAAGGGTAAACATTCTGCTAAATTATAACTCCCAGGACTCACCATAGCAATTTGTAACAATATCACTCGAATCTGTCCATTTTATTGCCACCCTTTGTGCAATCCCCTAGGGGTGTTCCTCTCATAAAAATGGTAGAGGTGCTTTTTGTGGGGGTAAATTTAGTGAACTCATGCCTCTCAGGGAGCTAAACCTTTAAAAAATTATTCCAATATGGAGTTCCTGCAGTACTTTCTATGGGCATTTTACAGTATGGAGCCATAAAAATGAAGGTACCGTGACGGTGACTGCTGTCAAATTAGCACCCTCCTTGCAGATAAAAGTATAATATAAGAACTCATCAGTCAACCCTTTCCAAGGAAGAAGAAAATCACTGAATATAGATCGATGCTAGTTTAGTGTAAAAGCTTGTTAAAGCTTTTGTTTGCTTAACATAAAATACTATTTTACAGCTTAGATTTTCAAAATGAAATAAGCACCCCACTTTAAATGAGTAGCCCTGCTTTCCAGTCAGAAAATGAGATATTTTTCAAAGCATTTATGGTAGCTATTTGTTGTACCTGTAGTCTACTGAATAGTCTTTATTGCTATTGAAAATTGTCAGTGGACCCGGCCCCAAGCCCCTGGGTAGAGGTTTATCCAGTGGATAACATTATCCACTTTCTGAGCAATTAACCTGCCAGGTAATACGAGACTACCGTAAATCCTCTATTAAGCCTCAACCCCCTCTCAAATAAGCCCCCTCCCTCTAATGAGCACTCCTTTTCAGGGGAAGAAAGTCAATAAGCCCCGCCCTCTTTTTTAAGCCCCTCCTCCCCTCCCCTACTTATTCTTCGCTACTAAATGATAGACTGTATTTATCAATCACGACTGTAAAACTTTGTGTGGACTGATCTGGGATGGTTTATTCACCAACTGGGAATTGATCTTCGGATGAATGACCTCCAACTTTTTGTTCTTTATGAAGAACTGATACCATCGTCCGTGCTTAATTAAAGAAGCCTCCCCTCTCAAATAAGCCCCCCCGTCTCCATTAAGCCCCCCCTCAAACATGTTTGAAATAAAGAAGCCCCCCCGGGGGGCTTAATAGAGGATTTACGGTATATTATTAATCATAACCCTTAGGTGAAAGTAATCTTGTTACCAGATCTCTTGTTGACAAAGCCAAAGGCGAGAGCTGGTCAAATCCGATTTGCACACGTGACTGCCTGTCAGGAATGTGACAGGCAATGAAAGAGCGCATGTTTGAAATAAATGCTCGAAATTGCGGCCGTTTATTAACTTGTTAAACAACAAATCTGATAGAGCTGTGACAAAACGTGGTTTTGAGCAGACGCTTTTTCGGTAGACTACGAGCAGTCTCTCTCTTTTGTTGATCCGTCGAGCAAAACGCCCGAGACGCGCAAATGGCCACGCGCGTGACTGAAGGCGCGAGACGGGAGACGGGCAGCCGCCCTCGTTTCTCACCTCTCGCGGCTTCGTCGCTCAACGCTCGCGCGCGCGGCACTCCCCTTACTAAATCTGATGAAGAAAATAGAGACCGCTCGCAGTCTACTTTTTCGGCTCTTGTTCCACTCGTCGAGAAAATAGGTAATTTATGTGCTGCTCTTTGTAGAAAGATGGCAAACCGTACTGCAATGTGCCATGCTACAGTGCCCTGTTTGGTCCAAAAGGCTTTGGTCATGGAGGCACCGAGTCGCACAAATACTGAGAGAGTGACGTCAAACGGCTCTCCAAGACAATGCAGAATTATGAAAACATCTTTTTCATTGAAAGTAAAATAAAGGTGGTCGATATTTTTGGAATAACATGTCCAGTGTTCATTATCCATGCCCAGCCAGTGAGTTTGACATTACGCGTGGACATGAAATAACAGCAGCTTCCTCCTCTGGCGCTTCGTTTTTCGCAAGGTAGCAGAGGCGAGCGACTGGTGATGAACCGCAAGGGACCATGGGAAGGGTACGGACGGCAGGCGAAGCGCTGTCTCGCCCGTTGTCTCCTTCCCGCCTTCCTTTGCGCGCACATTTTCATCGAGAGAGAGAGACGTCTGGGTAAGAGGCAGAAATAACAGGATATTGGCAAATTAGGGTCAGGAAAAGGGGTGGGGGGAAGGTCAAGCTCGGTCAGCGTTCACCGGCCAACATGGCGGCTCTCCCCAGCATTTTTGTCAATGCTGTGAGCTCCGACCACATCTATGTAATAGGAAACCTTTATACATTAAAGATGTAGATGTAGATCTCGCATTCCCCAGTAGACCTGCACCGTTTTAAACCTCTTATTTCACTGGTCCCCTTTAATCTGCTCTTCCACTGTTTTCAGGGATAGGGGCATTGTTATGTGACAATCACTATTGTTTTCCCAGCTAATCAAAAACAATTTTTCTAATAGGTGCGGGATCGCCCGCATCCCCGCTCCTATAATTTTAACGAGAGTCCCGCGTCCCAAACTTCTGTCATTGTTCTTCCGAATATCGTTTTCTTTTCCGATCCCGCATTCTCTACCCAAATTTGGCGACTCCCGCTTCCCAGGTAGCAGTTAAATCCCGTATGCCATTAACGTCTCTCGAATCCCGCGCTGAATCCCGGGAAGACCTCTCCAGGCCCCGGAAAATCCACCTGAGTTTGTTTTTCGCTTACCACAGTCATTTTTGCAGAAAAGCAAAGTTTAGCACAGTACAAATTTAGTGAATGAAACATTTACTTAGTCTCCTACGAAGACACTTTGGAGAGTAATGAAACATTGGTCCCTCGAAAGAATAAAACTATGTCAATACCTGGCTTAGTTTACTTAGAAATCCACTTTTAATGTTAATATTTTACTGCCACTGAATTTTCGAAGACAAAATAGCCAAGCGTACGTACTGTTCAATTTTATTTAGAAGGAAACGCTTTTGCGCTGTAGTATTTTTGATTGTTTTAGCCAAAAGTTCCAGAGAAAATATTGAGGGTAGTTTTATGACATCTTGTCAAATTGTAGACAATATGTATGCTGGCCACATAATTGAAAGCAAAGGGTTTTATTTCGGTGAATCAAATTGTCAGAAAAAAAAAACACTTTTAGCTTAAGCCCTCCGGCTGAAAAACCGTAAGGCTTTAAAAATTCAAAAATTATTTGTTCTTGCCCTTTTGTCGTCAGCAAGATTTATTGTGACTTTCAAATTTGCGCTCTTTCCTTTGAATTTTGGTTATCTATCTGCACCGAGTACTCGCTTTTCTGAAACCCCTGCTAAAGATGCTTTGTCTCATGTGCTAATTGTTTACTGAAAGTGGCCATGTGTGCTCTATATTGTAAAATTTCAAATTTCCTATTTCTTAAATGATTAAGTTTAAGCTCAAGAAAGAAAACGAAATGCCTATTCTTTTCTGATGTTTCTGTAACAAATAAGAAATTGGAAAAAAAAACAGATTGAGGAGACGTACAGCTGAATGCACGCTTTATTTCCACCGTGAATATTTCTTGAGTATAACCTATTCATTACTACATATCTGTTCCGTGAAAGGAGAAACAAACGAATTATGTTTTTTAGTTTACCTGGTAGAGTAGTCAAACCTAGATGGAAATGGTATCAGTCACGTACGATGTTGATTGAATCCCCCCCCCAAAAAAAAAAACAGGACTTGATCAGGGTAAAAGATGACGCTCATTCAAAATTGATCCCTATAGTGTTCCCGCGTGTCCAATAGCACACAAGATTTAATAAGTGGAACAAAGCTCAATTAATGCACATATACATATATTTAAATCGCTCTGCTTCTTCTTGTAAGCAGGTGTTTACTGAAAACAAAAACGTCAAGCGATCTTTACTTTTTTTAGTTCAACAGCGAAGATCAGTCTGATTTTGAAAGCAAGAAACTCCGATATGTCTAGAAAGTGCCCAACATGCGACAAAACTGTTTATATGGGTAAGAAATTGATGAGCTAACACTTTGTGATCTGCACTTGTTACCTCACGACTTTGACAGCCGTGGATCGAAGGTTTATTTCTTTCGACCGTTGCTGTCTGATATTTTTTTGGGTATTTTTTACATAAGGTCCATAAGGTACACTGAAAACTTGGCACGAAGTTTGCTTTTCTAATTGACGGATGATTCAGTTGTTGCTTTCTTGTTTCATGTTGTCCAGCGATTGTCCCTTAGGTGTTTTATGTCCTTGTATAATTGAGAAAATCAAAGAAATGGATTCGATCTGTCGTCCTCGTGTTATTCTGACAGGTGAAAAGAAAGAATCGCTTGGAAATTGGTACCATCCCTTGTGTCTTAAGTGCAGAAAATGTGGTCGGCAACTGGCTGTCGGCAACCACGCGGAAGTAAGCTTTTTAATTTTTGCACTTTTAATTCGAATTAACGTCTAAAGTTCATGGAACGTGCACATGTCGTGAGCGATGGTGTTTGAATAAATATACACGCTCTAAGGTAGTTTGAGAATAAGTAGCGTGACTCGAATCTGACATCATAAAAAGTGGAACGCTCGAATTTTTCAATTCGTCAAATTACAATCTTCTGTTGACTGATCTTTACAAACGGCTGAATAAGTGATTCATTTTATTTTAGGTTTGTGTTATTCCGTGGCTCTTAGTAAGTAAGTAAGTAAGTAAGTAAAGCCTTTATTTAAAGAGGGTAGCACCTAATAGCCAAAGGCTAATAAACTTGTGGCCCTCATAAAATACACAACTATTCACAATCTAATAAATATTGTAAGCTAAAATATATAAACATTTAAAATAAAACTAGATTCCATTTATATATATATATATATATATATATATAAATTATTAAATGATAAAATGATGCAAACATTGTTGTTCATTAAAAATCTTGGCAAACATGTTCTTGAACGCAATTTAAAACTAAACAAAAACAAACAAACAGAAAGACAAAAAAAAAAAAGCTGATAACGATACCTAGTAACTTGTTCACACTGGGTGGTTCGTAAGGCCTTATTCCCTACGAAATTTGACAGCACTAAAAGGAAGTTTCTATAGTGTTGTTAAGTGTCGTTCCCAAACAGCTGTTACAGTGCAGAAAATTTTAACATCCCTTGCTTTTGACACTGATGTAGCTCGGACCCGAAATAAGATTTTCACAGAAGCCTATACTGACAACAGGAGCCTGATGACAGTAGCCTCCCCCGGGCGAGGACTCCTGTGTAAAGTGGGGTTAGGGATACTCATCGAAAACTTGGACTAATCAGACCTGTAAAGGAGACCATTGTAAAACAAACAGCCAAAGGAGAGCTTTTAAGCTGCGCTGAAAGAAGTTTTCCTCAAACGTTTAACCCCTTCTTCTTTTCGTCTTCTGCTTTCTTTAAAGTTACGATAAGCATTCCCCCGGGCAGTAGACAGGGCTAGTTATCGGTCCACCGACCCGTTTCGAATTGTTTTTGGGCAGAAATTTTTAATTTCTTTCTCTTCTGCAAATTTTCTTAAAGAATTCGGAATTGTCATTGGGAATTATAAGATCTATGGGTGTAGTAGTGAACTTGACCATTTAAATGGCGCTCACCTGGTGAAAATTTCATACTTTAGAGGCTCTTACTTAAAAAAAAAGTTACATGGTAGTCAGGACTGGCCGGCCAGACAGGTCATCTTGAAAATGAAGTACTTTTTTCCCAGAGTTTTTGCCTAACACTCAACATTGTTATGCATACTATTTAAGCACCTTGCAAACCGACGCAACGTTGCTGGGATGTTACATGTTGTGCCTGTTTGCAAACCCTGTTGCACGTAGTCTGCCACACTGCCGTTTTTAAAGTCGTCACGCAACGCTCCTCCCCACTGTGGGGAGGAGCGTACACTAAAAACGGCGGTGTAGCAGACTATGTTGCACGTTGTTGCGCAAAGTTAAGGTCAAACTTTTGAGCCAACATACAACTCCCAACACATTTCTTATTCCGTGATGGCCGAACCGTAGCGCAACAATGTTGGATCCGTTGCACAGCTCGTCCAACATTGTTAGGGCCATACACGCGCGTTTTACACACCTCTGCCAACACGGACGCAACAACGTCCAACATTGTTGGCCCAACAATGTTGGACGTTGTTGCGTTCGTTTGCACGTAGCTTCAAAAATAAAATAATCTGGCTGGACAGATCTGATCTGGTGTGGCCGGCCAGTTCTTACTAATGGAAATGCCCTTACTCGACCTTACACTTTGGCGGCTGAACAAAGTTTATTACATTGCCAGATACGATCGAGTGGTTCTAGAATTACTGCGAACAGCTGGGAGTACAGCAAATTCTACTCAATTTAACTATTCTATAAGATAACTCTCTAGAGAATTACCGTAAAATTCCGAAAATAAGCCCCTCCATGTATAAGCCCCTCCAAATATAAGCCCTCCAAACTAGTAACGCAAAAAACCCTCCGTTAATCGCCCCTCCAACTATAAGCCCCTTGGGGGCTTGTACTTGGAAATTTCCCTCAAATACAAAGTAAAATAAAGCAAAAATGGTAAATTTCCTTCCAACTATACGGCTACCCCAATCGATTTTGAAACGCAAATTTCCCTCCGTAGATAAGCCCCTCTGAATATAAGCCCCTCCAAAAGGGCCTTTGAAAAATATAAGCCCCGGGTCTTATGTTCGGAATTTTACGGTATGTCAAGCAATTTATACCAATAGCAGATAGGTATAAAATTCAACAACTGTAACCATCTTATAAAAGGACCAAGGTAACTGTTACTGGTTAGTTTATTAGATGTTTGCTATATTTGCTCTGTTTTAGCGAAAAGGCGAGCCCTACTGTCATAACCCTTGCTATGCATCTGAGTTCGGTCCGAGAGGATTTGGTCATGGAGGCACAGAATCACACAAGTATTAGAGCGTTATTGTAGGTATGTATCAAAATCCTATAACGTCGCTGAATTACCCGACGGTCAACTCTTTCCAATATAATACAACAACAAGCAACAAAACATTTATTTGTTATTGCAAATTTTTGAGGTAAAAGATTTATAATAACCGTCACGAATATAAAACAATTCATGCCCAGTTTAAATTTATATCATTAGTGTAGTTTGATGTAGTGGGTGAACTTTGTTGTAGTTATTATAGTGTAGCTTGGTGTAGATTTGTGCAGTTTGGTGCGTGTTGGTGTAGTTTGATGCAGGCTAATGTAGTTTGGACCAATTCGGTGCAGTTTGGTTCAGGCTGGTGTAGTTTGAGGTAGGTTGATGCAGCTTAGTGCAGGTTGGGGCAGTTGGTGAAGGTTGGTGCAGATTGGTACAGTTTGGAGCAGCTTGTTGCAGTTTGGCGTCCGTTGGTGCAGTTTGGTATAATTTGGTGCAGGTTGGTGTAGTTTGGTGTAGCTTAGTACAAGTTGTTGCAGTCTGGTGTTTGGTGCAGTTTGATGCATATGCAGGTTTGTTCAAGTTGGTGTAGTTTGGTGTAATTTGTGGCATGTTGGTGTAGTTTGATACAGTTCGATATGGTGCGGTGAATGTTGGTGCAGTTCTGTACAGGTTGGTGCACGTTGAACGGTATCATGAATTTATTATCAAATTTTTACAAAAAGCAATGGAAATTCTGTTAGCAAAGCTATTTGACGCGGGTAGAGCAAGTAAGTAAATGTAGCTAAGATTATAGCTCACAAAGGCAAGGCGCAGCCTTTTGTTAGTTTATGAAAACTACACATTAAATAGCAGTTCAAGGGTTGACGGCTTGTCTGACTATTCCTGCAGGTCTTTCAAAGTCACAAGATGCAAGAACACTAACTCCATCTGGCGAGAGACTATTAGAAAAATGTTCATGTTTTTAAATAAAAGATCTATATGTGCTGTTTTGAGTTAATCACTGTCATATGTTTATTCAGGTTGTATGTAGACATCGAAGAATTTTTAAAATAATTAAACCAATCAGACTGCGACTGGTATCTTTTTGCTTTCTCTGATGGTTTCTATTTTCTTACTACATGAAATTAACAAATAAAAAAGGAAAAAGAAAAGCATAAATTAGAGGGAGAAGTTTTCAATGAGTTACTTAGCCTGCCAGGTCCTTGCAGTGCATGTGTTTGCGGTGTGGGGGTGGGGTGGGCGCAGTACTAGCATTCATCCGGGTTATGGTGTTATATGGTAGGGAGGAAAGCGTCGTTATTTATGTGTATCTTAGCTCATGCTCCAAAAGTAATGACCCTCTTACCCTGCCTCGTTAAGTAACTATAAAATATCATGGTTGTTAGCAAATCTTGAACGTATCTACAATCTTGGACAAAATAAATGGAAAACCTAGACCCCCCCTCCCCCCAAATCAAGGATGGAAAAATGGCGCGTTTTTGCCCTTCGCGCGGCTTCATCCTTGATTTGGGGGGAATGGGGGTTTGCTGTTTCATTTTATTTTGTCCAAGATTGTAGTCTTCTTTGTCTGTCACGCAACGTTTGCGTTACAAGACAAAACGGCTGCGAGGGAGACTAGAACGTATCAACATTTCAAAACTCACAATAAAAGCTGTCGTTACTTTCGAAACTTTACGGTACCGATAATTTGTTTCCACAATCGTGGATTTCAAATTTAAACTTATTAGAGAAATACATTTCACATACGTCGCATTTACAGATAAAAATAGAGTTCCGATCCTCTTTTTTCGTTTCTTCGAGGTTTGTCTTCAGTCGCGGAGGTATATCCCTTGAACCCAGAAAGTCTATTTGGCAGTCAAGGATGCATCTGTGTAAGAAAGCATTAAGTTTTTCATTAGTGCTTCGTGGTAATGGAGACCTTTAGATTCGAGTAGGCATAGCCTGCGTAGCAAGCGTTTCCAATCGAATTATTGCGCGAAAGGTAGAGCGGAAGCAAAAAAAAGGTTGAAGGGGGAGGGGGAGGGGAGAAGAGGTTCCTTCTTTCCCCTCCCCCTCCCCCGTCATTCATTTTTTTTTTTTTGCTCTTGCCCCAGCTTTCTAGACGAACCTCGCGAGGAAACGCTTGCTACGCAGGCTAGAGTAGGCACTCCGGAAAGCTTCATTGTAATTTTTCTTTCCATGAGAAACAGCGCTTGCAAGCGCGGTTTTTTATATTGAATGGTGTAATTTCTAGCATTTGATGACTTGTTACTGTCACGAGTGCAACACTCGCGCTGAAACCCGTCAATTTCATTTTCCCACCAAAATGACGCTGGTTCACGCGCGCGCACTACTTAGTACTAAGAAAATCTCCCCCCCCCCACGATATTAACACCTTCTTGTTAAGAGGAGGGGTGTGGGTCATGCTGATTAGCACCACAATTTCAATGGCGGTTCCACATCTTGAAGGAAGTAGGGGATCCGCCCATCCAGACCCTAAAATAACAGGGAGGCCCGACACTTGAAAATAATTTTCCTTGGCTCTGCAGGCTGCAGTTTGGCCTAAAAATGAGGCGGCGACCCAGAACCCTCGGGCCCCTACTCTACATACGCTTCTGCACTTTTTTAAATGCTCAGATGCTCAGACCCAACAGTTTGATAGACTGCAAAACAGTCCGTATTTTTGCGTATTCAAGTACGCGCGAGCAGTCAAACAAAAGGTCTGGAACGAAGCTGAAAACAGAGACCGAGACTGGGGCGAGATGCTAAAAATATGTTTTTTTTCCCCGCCTCACACGTAACCGGGCACGTCACCCTACGGGCGTGTGAGGCTTGCGCGCTTCGCGCGCTTAAGACTCTTACGCCACGCTTTACCGAGTTCTTGACTGATTTTGAGAAAAAAAAACCCGACTGTTTTGCATCATAATAGTTTGATGAACCTGGACGACCTCGTCCACCATTAATTCTAATTTCCCTTTGTTTAACAAACCGTGTACCAGCATCATAAACTGGGTAGAATCAAGCTGGGAATTAATACCTGAAATAGAGCTGCGTGAGATCGCGATAAGGAAACAAGGAAGCAAGGAAGGAAGGTAGGAAGAGAATGTCTCCCTCTAACTCCCTCTCTTGTGAGTACTCTATGTACTCGATAGGTGTGGGAGTAAGTTGGGAAGGAAACGTCTTCCTCTAAATCCCTCTTTCAAGGGAAAGTTTCCAATTTAATTAACATCATCTCCCACACACCCCCTGTGTACTTGTATGCCTTAAATGATCCCCCCTTTCCCTTCCCCCTTCAAAGACCTACCACGCAGGCTAAGCAGAGCTATACTTACTTGACACAGAGCTCTACCAGGGTTGATACCTCCACAGTGACCAGGTTATCATTTGGAGAGATCCATGGCTTGAAGTCTGAAAACATGTTTCTTCTGCTTTTTCTCTTTCTAAGGTAAGCTAAAATGGATTCTCTTCCTCTCTCTGCGATTGCTGGAGGAGGCGAAACCAAGGGATTATCTTGCACCTCTAAAGTCTTAAGATTGGGTAAATTAAGCAGCTCTGTTGGTAAATAGGTGATAAAGTTGTTTCTGAAGAAAAAGAAAAAAAGAGTGAGGATGGAGGATTAGTATTAGTCCTCTTGGAATATTTTCTTTACCATGAACTTATACGTGCTTTTAAAAGTACTGTAGAGCACCAGGAAAATAGAGACTTCATATGCTGCACCCATAGTGATGCATGCCACGCCCAGGGGGTACTCCCTCTAATGGCCTATATGGGGAGGCTCCAACGGAAAGGGGTACCATTTTATGCTTAAAGTATATGAAAGGGTAGGGATTTTACCGTTGAAGGATACAACAGGGTAGGAAAATCTATCATTTGGGTCCGTCAAGGGGCCCAAAAGGGATAACAGATGAATTTTATGGCTTTCAAAACTAAACATCTTACACTTAAAAAAAGAAGCACTCTCTTGAACAAAACACAGTCACTTAATTTAATATCGCTCTTGATCCTTTCATTTCTTTGAGGAACAATATATTTCTGTGGCAAAGTTTTAGTCTTCTTACCGAAATGATAGAAGTTGCAAGGTTGGAACATAGCACACAATTCTTGGAAGAACACTCTAATAAAATAAAAATTGATAAATAAAATAATAAAGGGAAATAATAATAGCTAACAGCTCATAGAGAATAAGCAAATTAAAGAGTAACATAAACACATAGAATATAATTGAAAATATTTTTTTACATAGAAATAAATGGACAATATTATTATTTAGCCAACAAAATATGAACATGCTAATGTACAAGAAAACAACAAGAATTAATGATTAATTTTTAACAGGTGGATGGACAGTTCTTTGAGAACACAAATTAACCGTGTGCTTGAATTTCCGGAAACTTTTAAAAGGTGGTTAACAAGTACCATAACCAATAACAGTATGTGCTTGTAACTGTCCACACAAAACTGTATACAGTACGTATTTCATTTACATTTGAATTAAGCCGTGGCCTTTTCCACATTTTAGCAAAAAGAATTTCCCAAAAGTGACTTAGTATCGTGAAATAAGTAATAAATGAGCCTATTATACACTTACAGCAATGTGGTACAGATAATATCTTTTAATTGGCCAATATCAAGCCACATGTGATCAGCTGCTGTGAATTAATAACATTTTATAGCAGGGCTGTCAATTACGTACTCTCCCGGATAATCTGGGAGACACCAGATTTTGAACCGTTTCTCCCGGTCTCCAGATTAGAGTCTGAAATCTCCCAGATAATCGCCGAAGTTTGCCATTTCTTGTAGATTCGACTTTCTGACAATGAAATGTCACATATTTTGCCTTATTTGTGCTATTTTACTGTTAACATCAAACTTTTCCTCACAAACTCCGGTATGCCGTTGTAATATAAGCAATGATGTGATTGGTGGGAAGTAAATCAATTAGGTCAAATTTTACAATTCCAACAACATCTTTTTTGCGTTTTTTTTTGTCACAAATGAGGTCATGTGCCGTGCATTGTGACATCATCTATCATCCCTTCCCCATCAATTCTCAATATCTGAAGACGTGGGGGGTTGACAGCCCTGGTATAGGATGAATAAAACAATCTCAAAATTGTATAAAACCAGCACCTACCAATGCATTGAAGGAAACATCGAGCTCTTTGAGTTGCCGCAGGTAAATAATAGACCATGGAATGTCTTGCAGTTGATTACCACACAGACTGAGCCTTTGCAAATTTGCGAAGTAAAACAGTTGGATAGGAATGCTGTGTATGCTTGGCTTTCCTTGCAGAGAAAAAACAGTTTGGTTGAAAATAATTATTGCTTCTTGCAATTGTAAGCCTGTGAATTACTATAGCTATCACTTTGATGAGTATTTATGTGGCTTTTCATACACTCTTGTTATAAAGACCTTGTTTTTTTGTCAGTTATTAGTTGATTTAAAAGTTTCATTTTGCATGGTATCTTGGGGTCATTACTTTTAGTGAAATTAAATAACTAGCAGAGCACAAAATTGTAAAGACGTCAAGTTGTTGTGATTGTTTTTATTTGCATGATATTTTGTGGCTCTGGGACCCTAAAATACATGGACAGGACAAATCTATAGGTGGATGGGGATTGGGAACTCTATAATAGTACATTGATATGAAGGCAATTTACGTAAATAAATGCACTGACAAAGCTTTATAAAATATGCATACCTTCAAGAATAAATTCCTCAACTTGGTGAGGGTTGCTATGGGTTTGCAATATCATATTTGCTTCCTCTGCAGATGAAACATCAGCATCAGAAAGACAAATCTAGAAAAGATTAACAAGAATGCTATTGAGAAATAATGGATTAAACATACAGCATACAGTGAAACTCTGTCACTTCAACAGTACTGATCACCCATCAGCCTGTAAGCAAGCTCTCCATTAACTTTTGAGTGGCAATCGATCAGCAAGAGAATGACTGCATGAGAGATGCAGAGCCATGAAAGGTAGAGAAAGGGAGCCCTTTGGTCTGGTGTCTTTTTTTGAGTGCTGCTCCCACATGACTTACTCACGATATTCCCCAAATGGAGAGTTTGCAATGCAGGCCAGGCTTCCGCAAGGGCAACGGTAATTCTGGTTGTATTATCTGGATCCAGTGGCTTCTATATAATAACAAATAAACAGATAAAACTTCAGAATGGAAAAGTTCAGAACAAGCAAGTAAGGTACAGCAGCAGATTACCCTAATTTGTATGTTATTCACCTTCTTCTTCCAACTAACAAAAACATCAACTGTTTATTATTATAAACTTAAAGAGGTGGCAATTATTAATATAGGTTTTACCACATGATGTCCTTGAATGGCATGACTGTACCTGCTTTATATTGTTCTGACGTAAAGTGCCCGGGGGGGAGGGATTTAGGAAGTTTTGGGTTGGCATGTGCCGCAATTACCCTGGAACCCTTAGCTTAAACCAGAGCTATAGTTCAAGTGGATTTTTCTACCCTATACTAGAATAAATTCCCCAATTCCTCTCTATCCTAGAGTAGCTGTTTTGCAGAAACTACAGTCCAACTAAAACAAAACTGATTTTTTTTTTACATTTTTGAGTAGCATTTCCTGGTTTCCCTGGTCTAGACTGAAATCTTCATCTAATTGATCAGTTTCCTGGAAAATGACACCCTATTCTAGACCCAAACTCTCTGATATATATACCATATCCCAGAGTAAACTGCTTGAAAATCATACCCTTCACAGTGGCACATACATATATAGCTCATATATGGCAGTACCTCCACCCGCCTCCCCCTGGGTAAAGTGGTGCATGGAGATAAGACGCAAGTGGCTTTGGTCAAACTACAGATAAACTTCGTTCTTCTACAAATGAAAAAAGCATGCTTGTAAAGTTGACTAATGGCATGCTCTTGTTGTTAGCAGTGTATGCTCCCATAGGATGGAGCAGTATCCCAGGTACAGCACCACAGTAGTGGTAATCAGTTGCAGATTAAGCTGGAAGCTACACTCAACAAAGTACAGGGATGACCTATGCATCATAACTCATCAAACGTGCATTCTCTGATCAATATAATTTTATTGGCAAGCCTTTTAGTTATCATAATATTTTTACTGTTATCGACCTGGATCCCATCTAACACAATCCTTTTGTTGTAAGGTTAAATTTGTCACTTGTTTGGGTCGACTTGTTTGGGTGGACGAGGAAGTGTATTTGCTTAATGGTAAAATTTAGTGTTCATCTACATTTATGGTAGGATTTTGCAGGCAGAGATTCTACTGAATCTCCACAGTTGCTTACGTCTGTCGTCTAACGACAGTTCCATCTTCATCGATAGTATCTGCTGTCATTTATAAAATGAAAATTAGGATTTTCGCAGCTTTTAACCTCAAGACTCAATTAAACCTTACAGGCTTACCTTCGGGCGCACATTGTCAGAATTTCCGCACAAGAACGAAAATAACCTTCTAAAATGTTGCAAAAGAAAATCCATAGCCAGTAAGTAAGGAAAATTAACTTTTCATTCTTTGTTATGAGACAGACTACACGTTTCTACCCACGTTTCCAGTTTTGCGTGTGTCATCAGTTTCTTGTTGTCATCGTCCAATCCTTCATGTAAGCACAACAAAACGTCGCTGTTACCAGTTTCCCTCGTACTCGTACAGTTTCTGCTTGGTCTGTTTCGAAAGTTTCGAAGTTGATGCAAGTAGATAGAGAACGAATTTTTCGCGTCGGGTTTTCTTCATTTAGCTCTGTCACTGTCTTCAAAAAGACACAAAAGCAAACTTGGATCAATAAGGTATTGCATATTGTCCTTTATGTCCTCTTAGGCCCGGTTCAGACGCCGTACTTTTCATGAGCCGAACCTAATACATGAATCTGAATCAATTAGGAACGCCTGTTTCAATTCGGAACGGCTTAGCCGTTCTTTTCGCCTAGCCCGGCCGGGAATTTCGCCTTTGGATCGACTTTGGAACGCCTTTGATTCAGACGCCGAACTTTTCATGTACCGAACCAAATGCAGAAATTCTTATAACGTATTTTGTAAGCAGTTTGACCGAAATGCGCATTTTTCGCCTTCTGAATTTAGTTCGGCTGGAATTGAGATCGGCGTCTGAATCACTTTAGCCGGTCTAAATAATTTGGGTAGGTCTTAATTCGAATTAGGTTCGGCTCATGAAAAGTTCGGCGTCTGAACCGGGCCTTAACGTTCATTTTGCTGTCTGCTGTGCATCGCTTTTTTTTTTTTTCGCAAACTTCCGTAAACAGTTAATTTTAACCAGCTTAAAGGGATAAAAGTGTCACAAAGAAATTGACATTTATTTTATGTGTCCATTAGTATCTCAACTACTTTTAAGAGATCTCTGTTAATAACAATCACTGCAACTGGTGTTTATTGATTTAAAATGGGGGCTCGGTTACTTAAAGCAACATATATGTCTGCTTTTGTAGCCTTTGAAAGTGTCTCGAGAGCTCACATTTTACCATACAGTCAACTCCCTTTTGATAAGGACAACGAACAACAGGTTTGGTCTCACAACCATTGCTCATTCAAAATCTGTCGGACATTTTAAGATGACAAATTTTATTCATATATAGTAGGGGACATAGTCCTAGTTTTGGCAGTCCATTCTTCCAGCATGTGTCTGGTCAGCCTGGCTGGATTAGCTTGAAGGGTCTCTGAGGAAATGAGACCACAACTTTTACACTGCCAGGATACAGGCTATTTGCGAGGTGTTGGAGCCCTCACTCAGGAACCTCTTGTAAGTGAGCACTCCCCTTATGAAAGTGTAGCTTTATTGGAGTTCACTTATGGGCAGTTTTAACATACTTAATTAAGTCATGTCACTTAGTTCAGTAAATTGTGTCCTCTAGAGCCTTAATTTTTGACCAGCTGCCAGAGTCCTTTACCCAATAAATAAAAATTTTATTTATTATTATTTTAATGGTATTGTAACTGGCAAGTCTCCCAGTTAGCTCTTTCTAAATTTTCTGGATCTGCCCCTGAAATATTGTGCTCACCTTGGGTTATTGTGCCCATGCCTTCTACAACCTGGCCATACAGAAAGAGCAAAATGCTTCACTACATATAAGTAAAATGCTTAGCAAGGAAGGGAGTAACTTGGGCTACATTCTAGGTCCCTTGTTTTGTCTAATATTTTGACGGTTTGTGTTTTTTATTGGTTCAGATGCCATACATTAAACTACAAAGCTCAGATGGTGAAATTTTTGAAGTTGATGTAGAAGCAGCAAAAACCTCTGTCATTTTAGGTCCTATGGTTGAAGGTGAGTTCAAAGGAGAAGCCCTTTTTGTGATTACACATAACATCGTGAAATGATGAATATATGAATTTCATATACTTGAACTGCAGGGTGAAGAAATAAATGCAGAGATGATCATCACATCTCTGCATTTAGATAACATTGTATTCAGCAATAGTTATTACACAGTTTCATATCTACAGAAATATTGGAGAAAATGTTGTCTGTGTTATTATAAATAGGTATAAGGCATCAGGACATTTTTTTAGTTTTTTTGAAAATAGAAATGGCTTTCGTTACTTTAAGGGGGCCTTCCCTCTATACAACAACTCAAGTAAGTGCATGAGCAAATGACGTCCCAGTTTGACGTGTGTAAAAATTGCTGGCTATGTACAGTGAATTATGATGGACAGTTGCGAGTTTATTTTAGAGTTGGTTTCATTTTCCTTTTAGAAATTGTAAAAACTTGACTGAACAACAGTCAAGATCATCTCAAGGTGCTCCTTTTTTGACAGTGTCAATCTTAGAGAGTCCATCGAAAAATGTTGTACAAGACTATGCTTAAGGGAAAAAATGATGCCACACAAAGCTAATATTTTGAGATTAAAATGAAGGCAGTTTACTCAACCTTTAGGTCTTCATTCTAATGGTTTAACCCATAATACCATGCTTTAATTTATAGATCTTGGCATGGGTAAAGATGATGATGAACCAGTCCGACTTCCCAATGTCAATGCAGCCATTCTTGCCAAGGTAAATACAGTAGTGTATCATAGATTCAGCCTTTGTCTGTTTTCTTTTCTCTTTACAGGCCATCTGATAAATTACGCAATGGTGCGATTTTGCACAATTGACCTCAAATCGCATCCGATCGCAGAATTTGAGGAAAATGGCATAATTCATGAAAAAAAATGCTAAATTCAAGTAAAGTTAACAATGAATTCTAAATTTAATTATTATAAACATTTTCCCGATCTTAATATTATTTAAGCTGATTTACTACAAAAGAAGGCCTTGCAAGACATCTGAAACCTTCGATTGTGGTATCTGGGCAGCCATTTTGATTTCAGAGACAAGCAGTGTGGTCAGCGGTGTAACGGCATCCTGTAATATTAAACAAGTGTCCTTTTTCTTTTCCAGGTCAAAATAATTGGACAAATTTAACTATTTTGTATTAAAATAGATGTTTCATTATTCCTTTACATTCAAATTGCCTGTTAAACAACATTAGAGTGGTTTTTTTTCCTTTGAAACCTGGTAAAACAATGTAAATTAGCCCTGAAAAAATCGCATAATAGTCCTATCTTATCGCACAATCTACCCTGAAAATATAGCACAATTTCTGATTTTTTATCGCACCCTATCAGATGGCCTGTTTTTAATTTTTTGTTTAATACACACATCAATATTGTTACTTAAGCACCTTTTCTCTCTTTGTATAATTATTTTTCACTATGCTTATTGTCTATGCCAGCTAGCTTAACGTGACAGTGACCAACCCGAAGCATTAGGTACTTTGGTCACTGCGCACATCTTAATCCTTTAATTTCTTGTTATCTTTATTTCTGACATTGTTCTGTAAGGTACTTATACAAATTAAAATTTCAATGTAAACAATATGTAAATGGTGCGAAAACAATAAAATCTGTAAATCTGTAATCTTTTTATATGAAGCCTGTGTCATTTGCTTGAATGGTTACACAGGATTTCATCCACAGACTCAAATTCAGAACTATGCTAAATAAATGATACCGTTTGAAAGTACTGCTTAAGAGGTTTCATTTGAATGGCCATACCATATAACTTCATCCACAGACTCAAAGGTAGAACTTTATACCAGGGCTCAAAGTAATTTCCGAAGAGTACGTCTCCGGAGATGATAACCAGCCAAATCTATTTTAGCTCGGTCACCTATCGTTTCTGGACGGTCGAATTTATAAGATAAATAAGTCTTAAAACAGGGGCCCATGAACCAAAACTGGCATTATATATTTTCAAAAAAGTCGTTGCGTGGAGCTTATGGCACTTCAAAGCACTCATTGTCAACACTAAAAATAAATTACAGCAGCAAAATGAAAATAAGCTTAAGTGTATTTTGTAGGTACTCTGTCTATCAGACTAACCCGTAACATGTTAAATGTAAATCATACCCATTAGATTTGTCTAGCGCCTCCAAATATAACAGCTGGTGTTTGTATCATGGTGTGAGATACTCCGCCAGTAATCCATGTTTCTCCCCATTACAAGGGTTCTCATGACATGATGTGTGGGCACATGTGGCTTTAATTTAACTTGCCCATCTTTATAGAAGTTGTTTTTTTCTGTAACACGTGCATTCCATGACAATCACAACCAGTTTTTGTTTGAATGTTTTTCATTTCGTGGTATCTCTATAGGCCAATAAAACATGTAGCATGCAAACGTTAAAATGTTCGTACATTTCATGGATGTTTATCATTGTATAACCTTGTATACTTTATATTACGCATACTACAGAAAAACACATAGATAAACTCGTGAAGAGTGGAATAATTATTGGTTTTATAAAGTATAGTTCCTTTAATGCATTATACTTTGATTATATTTTATTCTGGGCTGAGGAATTACTTTATATGCAGGGAGAAATGCAAAACTTGAAAATTAACTAATAAAAGTGAAAATATTTTAATTCTATGACTGGAAGCGTATGAATCCCGATGTTGCTTCAATGCACGAATTGTAAACAATGGTTCTAGTTGCATTCCACCCAGGATTTCAGATCAAAGTTCTGCAGTACACACTGATAACAACTGAACAGCATGGAAATTTTAATTTACGTCACTTTCAATATCCATTCGTTGAATGTGACCGGTCAACATGATCGGCAAGATGAATGGTTGACCCATCAACTCCCCAATCAGTCTGGGCATTGTCTGTTATTGACTGGTCATTACTTCAAGTCCTGAATTTTACCAAATAAATAGCACCACGGTAAAGTACTTAGGCTGTGATTTTGCCTAAAGTTTTAGGCAAATTGGTTCCATAAGAGTGTTACCATCAAAGGAAAACAGCCTTAATTCTTCTGGTTGACTTATGTGGCTCAAAAATGCTTTTGCTTATTAGCTCCCTAATTTTCATCTTGCCCTGTACTGTTCAAGTAAGGATTAGTCACAGTGGTAGCCCTTGTTATTTTATAGGTGATCAAGTGGGCTGAGAAACACAAGGATGACCCACCACCACCAGATGATGATGAAAACAAAGAGAAAAGAACAGATGACATCGATCCTTGGGATCAAGAATTCCTCAAAGTCGACCAGGGAACACTTTTTGAGTTAATTCTTGTGAGTATTAATAGACCTAGGCCCTGTCAGTGCTAGTCTGAGCTTAACTTTTTGGGAACCTACAGTTTTGATATGGTCACCAGAATTAAAATATTGAAAGCCTAAAAAAGTGTCATGCAACATCTCAAAGCTTAATGCCTGGACAGATAGTGTGAAAGAGGTGAATTATAAAAAGTGGAGCATGTATGACATCTCATTCAAATGAGGTAAGTACAAAAGTCGTACCAGATCAACCCGGACCGCCGGTCTGGGTTGGATCAACTCAGATGGACTCGGACCAACTCGGATCAAATAAAAAAAGTAAAAATAAAATAAAATTGGACTCGGATCAACTTGGATCATAAAAAAAACAACTCAGATCTTAAAAAGAAAAATAAAATCAGTCAGCTTCACTTACCTTTCACCAGCCATTTTGTCTTTTCCATAAACTCGTGGTTGTATTAAACGTCACGTAATAAATCAATATGACGATAATATCCGTCAAACTATGGGCATAGATGAAGCTCATTAATTTTGAATTATTCTAAGAAAATATTGTTTTAGTCACTTAAAATGTATATATCAGTGGTGGATCCAGACCAAGGACCCACTGCCGGTCCCCCACCTAAAATCGCGATTTTAGGTGGGGGACCGGCGGTGGGTCCTTGGTCTCAAATAAATTTTCTTGGCCACTCGAGTCTCAGCTTAGTCTAAAAAAGGGGGAACTGTTAGGAAACTAGCTAAAACTATAATGCACTCTCAGGACCCACCAGAATGGATTAAGTTGACTTCCCACAATGCCCCATCCCTCTTTTAAGACCCGTGGTTTCCATTACTCCCCCTTCCCATCCCCGGTAAGAGGAAGATGCCCCACCACCCACGTGGATGCCGAAATACATGGTCTCTTGTCCAGGCCCACCCCTGTGGCCCAACCTTTCCTTCACACCTCTCCTCTGCTGCTCAGACATAGTACTATCCTCGGAGACCCAGGCACAAGGTCACTTCCTTGCCCCCACCCCCCAAAAACTGGGTCCCAAGGCAGTAATTAAAAGTAGTTTTGACCAGTTACCTAACTCTGAGTTGAACTTGAATTTATTTATCATCAAATTAAAAAACCATGCTCAAGTCACTTTGAGAACTAACTTTATAACTTTAAAACGAATCAAATTAAACAAATTAACAGTGAGAATTATCCTGTTTATTGGTAAACAAACTTAAATGCAGCTGTAAGATAATATTTACAATACATTTTCTCTTGACAATAGCTAAAAAAAATTACAACTTTCCATAAAATCAAGAAATTATTATGATCAAAAACTGTTAATTTTTAACAAATCAATATCAGTAGTAATACATTCTGACTAATAAATAGTAAATAACTAATGCTGTGTTCACATCTGCATGAAACATGTTTAGAGTAAACAAGTTTACTTGAAACACGTTTCTGATAAACATATTTGTTCACATCATTAATTTGTTCGTTTCAAACACGTTTCATCCTTTTTTGCATGATGTATGCATTTTCACGGCACCAGTGTGCTTGAAACTATTTGCCCGAAGTTTTTGGGAAAAATTGTCCCAAAGATTTTGCTTTCGGTCCATGGCAGATATCTGATGATGAATTTCTTCATCAGTGCTATATTTGTACCAAAAATTTTGTTTCCTTGTGGTACCAGTTTAGGTTATTTCGACTTCCCTCCTCACCACTTTAGTCTGATCATGATCGAAACTACCTCGTGAGGCAGTTTCAATCATGATCAGACTAAACAAGTTTTGATCATGTTCCACGCAATGCACTACCTACGTAGTGTGAACAAGTTTCACAGTGAAACATGTTTCATTCGTGTTCAGACTAAACATGTTTCGTGCACATGTGAACACTGCATAATTCATTAAATCATGATTATATTTAACTTGACTTTGAATAAATTTGCAATCTCAAGATCTATAAAAGGTACAAAACATTATCAGAGCCATTTCTACTGAACTTTATATTCAGCCCTCATGCTATCTGAGTAAATTTCAATGTGAATTTTATCATTCCCTCATTAGCCCCTTATATGGATCTGACAAGTAAATAACAGTAGAAATCTATTATAATAAATAGTTAATAACTAATTCATTAAATCATGATACGTATAACTTGACTTCTGATAAATTTGCAACTTTAGCATCCATAAAGAAGGTATAAAACATGAACAGAACCACTTCTTCTGACATCTTGACAGTGTTGTTGTGTAGGGAACGGAATACTCTAAGAGAAAATTGTACATTAAAATCCTCATGGATGCTATTCAGTCCTTGGCAGGGCTGTCAACTCCCCACGTCATCAAATATTGAGAATTGATAGGGAACAAAAAATGATAGATGACGTCACATCACACGGCAAATGACGTCATTTGTGCCAAAAATGCTTGTTGATTCCGATCGATGTATATAGCACATAAACAGTTCATATTTAGCCACATTATTGCTTAAATTACAGTGGCATACCAGAATTTATGGGGAAATGTTCCCAAAGTAGCTCAAACAACGCAAAATATATAAAATTTTATGGTCGGAAAGTTGAGTCCACAAGAAATAGCAATTTTGGCGATTATCCGGGAGATTTTCGACTCTAAGATTACCTTGAGAACCTCTCAAGGATCTTGAACTATTCATCCAAAGATCTAAGAGTTGCACACTTGAACATTTGTAGCCTTCGATATAAGATAGACGAATTAAGACTCCTGCAGAGGATATGTGGATTTGACATTTTGGGAATTTCTGAGACCCATCTGGACTCTTCTGTTCCTGATAACTTCTTGCAAATAGACGGTCTCCAACTTATCCGACGTGACAGAACTAAATGCAAAGGAGGAGGTGTTGCCCTGTACTATGCTGAACATCTAATGGCTGTACACCGTAAAGATTTATTAGTCAGAGATATTGAGGCCGTATGGATACAGGTGAAATTCCCAGCCCACACTACTTTATTCTCAGTTGTTTACCGATCTGAACTCGAAACTCCGAACTTCTTTGAAAACTTTCACGGCGTTCTTGAGAAAGCCTGGTTGAAAACAGACAGTATTTTCGTCCTTGGTGACTTAAACTGCTGCATGTTGGAAGCCCAAAACATTCCTGGCTCCACCTTAATTACATCTAAGACAAAGAATTTGCTGGGGCTTTTTGAAGATTTTAATATGCAAAATGTTATTGCTGAACCAACCCGCATAACTTATACCACAAAGTCACTGATTGATCTTATTGTTACCACCAAGGTGGATGTTGTGCGATGCACAGGAGTAATGCCACTAGGTATATCCGACCATTGCCTAGTGTATGCAACGCTTAAATTGGGCAGCAAAAGACCACCGCCGAAGATTATTCGCACCTGAAACTTTAAAAATTTTAATGCAGCGAATTTCAAGGCTGATATTGAAAAGATTCCTTTTCATATCTTTGAAATTTTTCATCACAAAGACGATGCGCTCTGGGGATGGGAACAATTGTTTAAAGATAAATGCAATGCTCACGCCCCGTTTAAGGATGTGAAAGTGAGAAGTATGTCTGCTCCGTGGAGTAACAACACAATTAGGCACAAAATGAATCGCAGATTTAAATTATTCAAAGAGGCAAACCGGACAAAGAATCCTAGCAAATGGGCTACATATAAGAAACTTAGAAATGAAATCACAGCTGATATACGCAGAGCCAAGGCTAAGCATTTTAAAGATCTATTAGCTGATGTCAAAACCGCTGCAGAGTATTGGAACCTGCTTTCAAAGGCGAATAACCCTAAATTAAGGAAAGCGATAGGCCCATTGAAAAGAGAGGATGGATCGCTCGCAGTTGATGACAAAGAAAAATCAAACCTAGTCAATAATTTCTTCTCTAACATCGGAGAGAAACTGGCAGTTTTCAGCTCCAATATCTATCTCACCTGGCCACGTCAACTAAGATTGTTCCCTGTGTCAATAACATTGCACTATCGCCTTTGGCCATTGAGAGAAAATTAGCTAATCTCAAAACAAATAAAGTGAGTGGACCCGACGACATATCACCGAAAATAGTCAAGGAAGCTGGAGATGCATTGCTATCCCCGTTGATGTTCCTTTACAATATGAGTTTGAAAGATGGTTACGTCTTTAGCCAGTGGAAGACTGCGAGAGTCAATCCTGTTTTTAAAAAGGATGACGAGACTGAAATCGGAAACTATCGCCCCATATCTCTTCTCAGTGTTCCGAGCAAAATACTTGAAACCATTGTTGCTGATTCGATCATTCACCATGCGTTTATTGAAAATAGATTAATTACAGACAAACAATTGGCTTACAGGAGAGGATATTCTACAGAGCTGTTGCTAGTACATATGACAGAAATTTGGAGGAGTGCCATTGATTCAAAGAAAGTTGTTGGTATAGTGCTGATAGATTTCCAGAAAGCGTTCGACTGTGTCTCCCATAATGTGCTATTACGTAAATTAGAAAATGATTTTGGAATTAATGGGTGCTACTCGACTGGCTGCGCAGTTACCTTGACAATAGGAAACAATATACTGTCCTAAATGGTATAGCATCAGATCTTAACACTGTTAAATCTGGAATACCGCAGGGTTCCGTTCTAGGACCGACCTTATTTTCTCTTTACACAAGTGATTTACCTGAAGCTATAACCACTGTGACAACCTACATGTATGCTGATGATACTACCCCATATTGCATTGGCGTTTCTATCGACGCAGTAATTTCTGAACTTAACAAAGCTGTGGAAGAGCTTCTATACTGGTGCAAAACAAACCCCCTTGTGCCTCATCCAAAGAAATGCGAAGCAATGATCCTCCATCGTGGAAGATTCACTGGCCCATTGAAAGAGTTAACATTGGCCCAGCACACCATCAAATGGGTTACACACTCTCGTCTATTAGGCGTATTGATTGATGATCAACTAAACTGGTCTAAACATGTTAGTGTTGTTAAAAAAGGCTTTGTTGATAAGTTAAACTTGTTAAAACGTAGCAAATTTCTTCCAAAGAATATGTTATTAGACTTGTATTTTAGAGTTATTATGCCGTCGATCGTATATGGTATATCAGTATGGGGAGGTCTCATAAATAAGGAAGGTTTTAAGGCATTAGAAGCACTGCATTGTAGAGCTGCGAGAATTATCTTTAAGCTACCTTGGGAGATGTCTAATGCAGATGTTATGAAAAAGGCTAATTGGTCTTCTTTAGCCTTTATGTATAAAATTAGCTTAGCTAAGCTTATATGTAAAATCCACAATAACCTGACTCCAAACGCTATGTCAGCTATTATTAAGAACAATGATAACATCAAGCGATATCAACTTAGGAAGAAACTGAAAATTGATGTCCCTCGTTTTAACACCAACTACATGAGGAACTCTGTAGCTCGTAGAGGAGCAATAGTTTGGAACACGTTGGTTCCTCAACTTAATGACGATATTGACAATGTTAAGAAATATGCGATTATGGCAAGACGGTCAAAGACTCTGCTACACCTAGATTTCGACTGTATCTCCCCTCAAACATTAACCAGAAGGGAGGAAGATTTTAAGTATAATTAGTGTTAATAATTAGTCGATACTAGAGTACCACCTTGTACTTTAGAATTTTAAGCTTTTATCGTTTCAGACTTGTAAGTAGTTAGTAGCTATATGATTTTAGCTGTTGTATATCCTATTTATTTTCTAATTCATTAGTTGTCTTATTTAATTATTTAGACACGACCCCACAAGCGAAGCGTCGCTTTAAATACTTATCGTGTATAAATAAAGATTATTGATTGATTGATTGATTCTAATTTGGAGACCGGGAGATATACGGTCTAAAATCTGGAGTCTCCCAGATTATCCGGGAGAGGTGGCGGCACTGGTCCTTGGGCTCACTGAGTAAATTTCAACGTGAATTCTACCATTCCCTCATTAGCCTCTGATACAAATCTGACAACTAAGTAATTATTACAGTGCATTAATTTTCATACAGAAAAGAATGTTTAGAACAAGAAACTCCACGTGATAACCAAAACTTGACCAATTTTTAGCAACCAAAATTTGATTAATACTTTGCCAGACTAATTAAGTTTACAGTGAAACCGGAATGAAGCAAATTCATTGAGAAAGATGGTCGAGATGTTACCTTCCTGGAGGTCATCCATCGGCAGTGTCCTTGAAACAGAACGCGTCGTGTAATGCAACCACGAGTTCGTAACATCATCCGAGAGGAACTGGCACTAATCAAACAAAATGGCAGCTGAAAGCCACGGAGAAAAAAAGGATGATCTGGCCATTTTTACCCTCCAAAAATGGGTTAAACTTTCAGTTTTGCTGATTTAATTTAATTTCTTTATTGATCCGAGTTGATCCAAGTCCAATTTTATTTTGTTTTTATTTTTTTATTCGATCTGAGTTGGTCCGAGTTGATCCGGTCCGATTTTTGTACCTGCCTCATTCAAATGTTTTACGATCCTGCTGTAATAGAAAAAAAAAATTATCAACTGAGCTACCCTTTAAGGTACAGTGTATGCATTAAAATAATATGGTTTGGGTTAATGAACTGTCCTTTTATTGCAGGCTGCAAACTACCTCGATATCAAAGGACTTCAAGATGTGGCATGTAAAACAGTTGCCAACATGATCAAAGGTATTCCTCTATTCCGTGGGATGCCTGTGGCATTCCCACGGTAAAAATCCGGTTCGGTTGTATCCAAAATTGCAAAGCCAGCCAAAAGGATTGCCTAAAATCTTTATCGATTATCTCTTCTTCCAAGCCGACCAATTAGGCTGTACAAAATCTGTATCGATTTTTAATCGATTTGCTTCCTCTGAAGAACGCTCCTTGCCAAATTTGTCGTCCTTGAGTTTTGCCACTCGTGGTTTAGGATGGCTTGTTAACCAGCGAAATCCTTCGGGATACTGGCAAGTCACGAAAGGCGACCTAAGTCAAATTCATGATTCTTTTTTGTTTAGGTCTAGCTTTTTCATAAGGTTTTAGTAGCATCTGGTTGCGGGCTGTGATTTCCGATAGATTTTTGAGGGTCTGAATGGGGGGGGGGGGGGTCCACTTGTCGGTTGTCGGTTGTCGGTTAAAATTCAGTTACTTTGTCGGTAGTCGGTTAAAATTTTCGATCTTTGTCGGTAGTCGGTGAAACTTTTTGATTTTTGTCGGTTGTTGAAAAATCTCAGTTAATAACTAAAAACGCTTGTTAATCATTAATATTTTTTATGTATTTCACCCAGTTTCAAGACTTTGATCCCTAAGGAAAGAGTAAAACTTGTAAGAATGCATCATTTGATTGCGCTTAAACTTCATTAACTCTTGTTTGTTTATGCAACATGATAATTTATTTCACCATTGTTTGCCAAAATATTATGAATATCATGAGTACTGATAAAATCACCAAACCTTTTATTGTAAATGCGAACTTGGTTTCCTTGTCGACTACAGGGCACAATAAAAAGTAATTAATTACCGGTAATTAATAGACTCCAGCCTTTTGGATACTTAAATTATTCTTAGGGAAAAACTGCAAGGGGTGACTGAGGCTGCACATCTTATACCGTTAACGTTTTGACTCTAACAAGCATGTCCTTTGCCATATTTTCCTTTCTCAAAGAAATAACACTTTAACCCTCGGACGTACAAGGGGTGGAGGGGGGTGGATGCCAACCCCCTTAAGTTTTTCTGGGATTTTTCCAAGAGGATAAAACATCAGCACCTGACGTTTTCAGTAGATGGCCGTTTATCCCTCGCACGCATTTTGAGACAAGTTCAGTGTTGATCAGTTTCTATGGTAACGAGATATGACGTAATACGCAGCAGGTGGTCAAGCCGTTTCGAGAGAAAATGTATGTTTTTTCCAACTTTTTTCAACAATAAAAGTAAATCTTGTGGCTAAAATCATGCAACGTGCTTATTTAAGTGTTATTATTCATGTCAAGCAATTACCATTTCTCGCTGTTTTAACTGTCACGGTTTTCGACGCCATCTTGACGAGTAGGCAAACGCGTGAAAAATTACAGTGTTAGTATGAGAATCTAATGTCGAATAATTTCCGTAAAACGGCTTTTCTGAACAAAATATCAATTGTAAACTAAAGCTACAAAGCAAAGGATTGTCCTAAAAAAATTTGGGGCCGTACCTGTACTTAAATTTCTCCAGAGGCTTTCTTTAGATTTTCCATATATTTGTCTGTAATTTTCCCGGGACTTTCTTACAGACAAATGTATAGAAAATTTTAAAAAGTGGTTCTAGGTCTCCTAGTGCATGTAACGCCCTCAAATTTTTTCAGGAGAATCCTTAGGAGTGAAGCTTTAGTTTACAAATCATATTTTTTTCAGAACAGCCGTTCTAAGGAAATTATTCGACATTGGATTCTCATACAGTCACTGTAATTTCTCACGCGCTTGCCTACTCGTCAAGATGGCGTCGAAAACCGTGACAAGGTCTATTGCACTTTGAGTTCAGTCTGTGCTCCCATTAGTATGAAATGTCAGCCGTCTCCACCCCTAAGTCAAAATTAAAAGTGTACTGTAGTAAAAACCCGCATATAAGAACTTACTTTTCTTGAAGTCTGGCAAAATAGGTTCTTGTATTTTGGAGTACTTATTAGCAATTTAGGCTAAGTAGGTTCTTAATTGGGTTCTTAATTTTTATGAAGGAGATAATAGATTGTTGATTAGCAGAAAAATAAAGAAAGTTGGGTTTGTTCCTTAAAAGACAGCGTTTATCAGTATTCACAATAATATTTATTGTATTATTATAATACCCTGACAAAATTGATTACCACATTTATACGCAGTTTGGTACAGTATGTTCTCATTACAGTTCAATTTACAATCTCAAAGTTACACTTGTTGGTTGATTGTTATCACTATAACCCACAAATAAGAACCTGCTTGATCTTGTTTGGCTAAACATGCAAGTTCTTGTATTTTTGGGTAGTAAAGTGGCAAATTTCGGCCAGGAGGTTCTTAATCCACAGGTTCTTATATGTGGGTGTTTCAGGGCTGTCAACCCCCCACGTCATCAAATATTGAGAATTGATAGGGAAGGAATGATAGATCGATGATGTCATATTGCACGGCAATTGACGTCATTTGTGCCAAAATGCTTGTTGATTCCGATCGACGTATATAGCATTATTGCTTAAACATTATTGCTTAAATTACAGTGGCATACCAGAATTTATGAGGAAACATTCCATGTTGACAGTAGCTCAAACAACGTAAAATATTTGAAATTTTGTGGTCGGAAAGTCGAGTCTACAAGAAATTGCAACTTTGGCAATTATGGGGAGATATCAGACTCTAATCTGGAGACTGGGAGATATACGGTCCAAAATCTGGAATCTCCCGGATTATTCGAGTTGACAGCACTGGTGTTTACTGTATTTTACTAACAGTAGCCATTGGCTAGGAAGTGCGGGCAAAACTGCTTTCAAATGCAGGTGAATGCCTTTTAGTTGTAGTGTCAACAAAAGGAATCACTGTAGATCATGAAAATTGGATTGAACAACACAGAAAACAAGACGCATATTTAATTTAACGATTTTATTCACAGTTGCTCCCCGAATGGTAAGGAGCGAGGAGAGACATTTGTATTCGCCAGCAAAGATACATTGAACCAGTAATGTGTGACAGGGTGTTACAAAAACTAAGACCCCCTAAAATCAAATCTGTCAAAATGTGAAGTCAAATTGTAACCAAAATAAATTAAACATCACACAAAAATATGTTTTTTTCCTTTTCTTGCCAAGCCATAGCCAGAAAATGCTTTCTTAAAAAGGGTGGGAAAAAAGAGTATAAGCTAATTGCATTTTTCAAGAGTTTATTTTTATTGTGGCCACTACTGAGATCACCAGAAACCAGGTGAAAAGTTACAATGTAAGGGCCTGAATTGAGGGGTAGGGTGGGGGAAGGAGAAATAGTCTGTGAGGGATATATACTTGCTAAAATCACTCATTAAATAAAAAATGAATGAATTTATTTTCTGTACTAGCAAGGAATCATCTCGAAAATTTTGCGTTTTAATTTCAGAAAAAAAAATAAACAGTCAATCAGAACAAAACACCTCTTGGGTGATATTCAGGTAACACAATCACGGTCGCAGAATGGGCCATTTGCACTAAGAGTTCATGTGACATCGTTTTTATGAAAATGAAAGTTATATGATTTTTCTGTCGAAAAATGATTAGTGGGTCATATCTTAAACAATATAATAGTGATTTGATTTTTCTCACCCGCACCATTTTCTTAAATTGAGTAAGTTCATAGCTGGTCATGTGAACAAAATGTGATTTTTAAAATTATGAATTAACTCTTTCAATTTTGCACTTAAACTTCAAAGAAAATGTTAAAAAGATGATGTGGTAACGTTTACAGCACTTAGCGTAACTATCAAACATTTAACAAGATATAAGCAAAAAGTAGTTTTGGCCGCCATGTTGGAGGGCAAGAGTATGCCCTCCAACATGGCAGCCAATACAAATCATACTACTTTGTTGAAAAATCAAAGTGCCATAAAATATCTCCCTTAAATGCGTTTCCTCTCAAATTTTGGATGTGAGATAATTTTTATAATTTTTTTCAGTGTAGTCAGGTAGTCTATGGGTTTTCATCCTCGGATTGTCAGCACCCTGATGATAGTTGTTGGTTGTTTTATGGATTATAGTCTTTGAACGGTGGTTCGACTTGATATATATTTTAGGATTTAGTTTTTAAGGGGGTCTTAGTTTTCTTAATGTAACGAAAACTAAGAGGGGTCTTTGTTTTCAAAATTACGAAAACTAAGACCCCTGAATTAACCGTTAAACTCGACCTAAAACTCGGTGGAAAGAATCAAGCTGAAGATAATTTGACAGATTAGACCTATTTTGGTTACAATTTTACTGCATATTCAGACGAATTCGATTTTAGGGGGTTTAGTTTTCGTAATGTCAAAAACTAAGACGGGTCTTAGGTCTTAGGTCTTAGTTTTCGAGTGTCTTAGTTTTTGTCACACCCATGCGTGACACAAGTAATGCTTGTGTACAGTCATGCACGAAGTCTTATAATTCAATTGAATATTGAATCCGTGTTCAATGACCAAAGGCCATTGATATGAAATACAAATAATGAAACAGCTTAAATTACCACTGAAGTTTATAAAGCTTATTGAAGCTTTTGGATGACAAGCGTCCTAACATGCTTGGAAATGTATAAAAATATAAAAAACAAGCACTGTGGTGAAACCTGAATACCTAAGCTTAATTTATATCGATTTCTAGACTTTGCTAGCATGCACTCATATTTTACCAAAAACTTGTCCTGCACTAAGCTGAGATCAGGCTCAACTTTCATTTTTAATTTCCTTAGTAAATAGATTCCGGGCTGGCAAGGCAAATTGAAAAGTCTCCCATTTAGTACAGTACTTGTGTACCTGAATTACGTGTGCTTGCGATAATGATTGTTGCATCACTTGCATGTGCATTCACGTGATTACCGTGATATCAGACAGACCTTAAACTCAACACCAGGGCCCTCGCGGCCACATACCATGCATATTAAACAATTATTGGATGAGGTTGAGCATGATATCATGAATTATCAAAACCGAGGTCTGTGTTCGGCCTCGGCAGATAATACAGACACGAGGTTTTGGTAATTCATGATATCATGCGAAAACCGAATTCAATAATTGTTTTGTTATACATTTGTTAAACAATAGGCAAAAGAAGACATTCAGCCATTCTGTTTCTGAGGAGAACACTCCAAGGGGCTATAATATTTCGAACGCACGAAAGCTCCAGTTTTGTAAGCAGCCATTTGAAATTATTCAAGGACAGATTGCTTTTAAAAATATGGTTCAATGCGTTAACAAGCAAACTGTTGTACTCTTTGCACCTTAGAACGGAGTATAAAAAATTGGCCCATTTCTAGAACGGGGTATCAGTTTTAGGGCGAATTCTAGAACGGGGTATCAGTTTTAGGGGAAATTTTTTTTTAGAACGGGGTGCCAATTTGGAGTCCCGGGTGGCACATACCCACCCAAAAAATACCCAAGTGCCGCCCCCCCCCACCCCCCCATCCAGGGTGGCGGGCTCCTTTTGTCACCCACAATTACCAAAATATACTACCTTGTACCTCAAAGATATAAGCTAGGATATTTAAAATGTATATCTTGAATCCTGAATGCCTTTCTGGCTAGACATGTAATTGATTTAAACATCATAACTAAAGTGTCAGTATTAAGAAGTCTGAAATTTAATTTGATACTTGCAAATGCTGTGCCTTTAAAAAGGTGCTAAATGGCACATTTTGAAGGGATCATTGTTACTATCATTTTAACAATTATTCCTCGAGCCCAAATGGGCTCTGAGTCAATAGCCCATGAGGTCAAAGGCCGAATGGGCTATTGACTCAGAGGCCATGAGGACGAGAGGAATAATTGTTTTAGTAAAATCCAACTAGTTGGTCAAAAATATTGAGACAAAACAACTTTAGCTACCAAACGCAATTCAGCTGCCATTGTTTTGGTTTTCAAAGCCGGCACTTTTCGCTACTAGGGGGCTATGACATATAGCCTAGTAGTAGCTGAACCAATCAGAACCCAGCATTGATAATAGACCGCTAGTTGGATTTTACTAATTAGTTGTAGTTGCCAGGTTACAGATACACAATATCAGGGTTGTCATGGTCAAGTGTGTAAGGGACAACCAAATATTTATCTACTATAGGCAGCAAAATCAGTTTAGACACTTTCCCTAATGGGCCTTTCTGACTTTTCATCAACTTCAAAATGGGAAAAAATTACAGTGAAACCTGTATTAAGCGGACACCCTTGGGGAATGCTGTAGTGTCCGCTTAATACAGGGTGTCCGCCTAATACAGGTTTCGATAAGTAACGTCATATGAGGTGTCAAATACCATTCAAATGAACAGTGGAAACGTTTAGAATACTCCCAGAGACTATGACTACGTTTGCATTAATTTCTTTATTAAAGAGGACCAATTGATCATAGTAACATAAACATAGATTGCAACTCGAATTTAAAGAACTCAGATGAGTCAAGCAAGCTCTACACAAACAAAATGAAATAGAAAACAATACTGAACTGTGAAATTAATCAAATAAGTTCCTCAAGTCAATATTTTTAATGTAAATTGAAAAAAATTTTTGGGGTGGCAATCTCTCACACTTCCGGTGTCTGGCATGTTGGGTGGTGGAATTTAATTACAAGTGTCTGTTTAATACAGGTTTGCAACAATGGAAATGACCATTTCAGGTACTTTTTAGGTGTCTGTGTCCGCTTAATAGAGGTGTCCACTTAATAAAGGTTCCATTTAAAGTAAATAAGGGAAATAAATTTGGGGACTTCGGCTACTGTCCACTTAATAGAGGGTGTCCGCTTAATACAGGTTTCACTGTAATAAGCTTTTCCTCCCCCACCCCCTCCATGCAATGTTGTGCCGTTGTTTGGGTTACCTGTAGAAAACAACAAACGCTTACCTTTGAATGGAGGAGAGGAGGGAGGGGTGTTGATTGTTTTGTTCTCTAAAGTTACCCAGTTGAGTATAATTTCTGAACAATTTTGTCCCGGATTGTAGATCAGGAAAAAGTGACAAGGAAAAATTTCATCCCCCCCCCCCCTCCTCCCCCCCAAAAAATAAATAAAGAGATTCTGCAGTTGGTTGATTTTCATACCCCAGTCCCTGAAAGAATCTTGAAAAATTGAAAAATAAAATTGGGGATTTTTTCCTCTTCAGTGAGTGGCAACCCTGAATGTATGCAAATAACTAAAATCTTTGAATTGAATCCACTTTAACCAATAAATAGGTAAAACTCCTGAAGAAATAAGGAAGGTGTTAAATTTCACGGACTTGACTCCAGAAGAAGAAGAACAGGTAGGTTAACTGTTATCCATGGTTCAATTAGCAGGGTTCCCCAGGAAAGCTGAAGGAGAGAAAATTTACATACATGGCAGTAGAACAGATTGGAAGACACAGAGTGCCTCTTCAAGAGGTGCAGCCATTGGGGAATTTCAAGTTTGGGAACCCTAAAAAAGTAGATGCTTTGAGACCTTTACTCAGTGAAGACCTTTGCTTGTTCTAGTCTTCAAAGAGATCACCTCCTCAGGTAGCCTGAAATTCATCTGATTGTTTCGAGTCGTTTTCTCCTCTCAAAAGCAGTTCTGTATCGTGCAGACATTTCCAAACAATATTTCTCGGTTTGCCACTTGAAAATTGTGTTTTACTTTTTGCATGAATTAAAGCAAAGGTCAAGGAGTAGTGACATCACTGGACGGCATTAACGGCCGGTCGATTCAGACGTTACTGGGGTACTCCAGATAAAACTGGAGACCAGGACGAGCAAGTACCACGCAGGACGATGCGTTGCATCCGACCAGTTAAAAAATTACGAAACCACTGTAGAGCACTGCTGTCGATACCGTGACGCTCAAGCTTGAAAAGAAGACGCTTATTCGGTACGCTGTGAAACGCCTTGGAAAAATCCAAAAAGGCGATGTCAGTTGGCTCTCTGTTGTTGCGTGATTTCGCCCAATCATCGTGCCTCATTTTTTTTTCTCTAGGCTTCATTTTGGTGGGAAGAGTTTTTAGGAAAGCTTTTAGGATCTTAGGATTAGGTGAAAGGATAGGAAAGGAAAAAGGAAAGGTAGGTGAGCAGTGGAACAAGATTTTCATAGAGATTTTCAGGTCAATGTCACGTGGTTTTTTTGCTTCTTTCTCCGGTGTCCTTGACTGAATTGTGCTCATTCTGGTATGGTTTGAAAGATCTCTTCACTCTGTACAAGTTAGGAACAAAGTTGTCCTTGACCGTTAAAACTGATGACGTCACAAAGGGGACGTGGATCCGCACGGGCGGTTCAGGGGCGAATGGGTTAAGGATATTTATGTTTCGCCAAAAACCCATCACCCGACACTTAACGATTTTCTCAGCGATCTTGCACACTATTGATGTTAATGAGATTTGGCGATAATTATTCCTGTCGGTCTTACTGCCTTTTTTGAACAAAGGTGTTATGTTAGCGAGTTTCCAAAGATGTGGCAGTTTGCCTGTTGAAAATGATTTCGCCCAATCGTCGTAACAAGAAAGAAGCTCCGAAAGCGTTGATCGGCCCTCCATGTAAGCGAACGACTCTAAGTAATCGTATGAAATTCAGGCTACTCCTCAGGGTAAATGAACAATAAATCTTCCCATTTTTGGTGTTCACTAACAGGAGGTTTTACTGTAGTTTGTTTTTTCTTTGTTTCCTAGCAGCGCTACCACTAAGGCCCAGGGGCCAGGGATTTTCCCCAGCTACTATGTGAATGACCCCTGGTTAATTTCATGGAAAAAAGAGAAAAGAAAATAGAACCAAAAGAGCTTCCTAGTTGTTTGATTCCCCTGCTGCTAATTGCACATACCAGGAACTTGAAATCTTAGTGACTGCCCTGTAACCCCAGCCTTAATACTGGTAATAAATTTCATAGCCAAGTTAGAACAAAGGACATTCTAGTTTAACTTGGATGCAGATGACATCTACTTTAGGTAGGGGTGTATCTAATGGACTGAGGTTTCAGTCACAGGGACCGCGGAGCAAGGTGAAAAGTGGGAGGGCTGACAATTGAAAATATTTTTTTCATATTGAAAATCGAAAAAAGTAATAAAATCATAGTATTTGATTTGTTTCTGTCGCGTGACTTTGCATATACTTTATCCAGTATTTTTTGCTCTTTATAGGTCGGCATTAGTGAAGATACCGAAATTCTTCATACGATTTTCATTCCGTCCAGCAAATGTGTTTGCGATCTGAATCACGTCCAAGCTTTCCGTTAATTTCTTATGACAATTAAGTACTGTCAAGTTGCTGAATCGCTGCTGTTTCATGTTTTTGCCATCGAATATTTCATTGATTCGAAAGGAGAAAGACAAAATATAAAACTTTTATCAACTCAAAACAACTACTCACCTTTGTTTGGCTTGAAAAAGCTAGTAATTTTCCTCATTTCGTCTGATAAAACTGATAAGAAACACTGCCGGAGCTGGAAGTACAAAACACGCTGCCGAACGAAGCGAAGGGGTGGCCAAGGCATGGCATTTGATCAAGGGGCAAGTCAGCCCCAGGGCACAATTACCGCGAAAAGCACAGGAGCCCCACAAAATGCCTGGCGTTTGAAATTAAAGAAAATACAGAGAATATAGCGGAATATAGACGGAAAAAAACTTGTTTCAAGTCTTTTTTTTATTTTAATTATTTTTCTTTTTAGCACAAAAAGTGAGGGTGGGGGCGCAAAAAAGTGGTGGGGCCGCGGCCCCACCAGCCCCTCCCCCTCCGCGGTCCCTGAGTCATGAAGAGAGGGTTGGTGGTGTTTGAAGAAATCTTTTTCTGATGCCATTTATCATTTCTATATTTTCCTTGATAGGTTCGAAAGGAAAATGAGTGGTGCGAAGAGAAATAACCAGTGGAACATGATGCTTTGTAATCAACGTAAATGTTTAAAATGTCCAAGGCAACTGTGTCTTACTTAATATTCATGTTATTTTCACTTTTGTCTCTGTTGCAAGTGTATTTTAACAACTTGGTGGGTTGTTCTATTACGCATAGGTACACACTTCAGTGGCGGATCAAGGGGAGGGGCCCGGGCCCCCCTTATTTGTAGACCAAACTGAGGCCCAAAGGTCCGAAAATTTTTTTTTCAGACTGCACCTTTTCTCAGGGTCTGGAAATACTAGAAATGCTCGAAATACGAGAAGTTGCCAAAAAGTTGTCGAGCAACTTGTGGAAAGCCCTATCTCAGGGGCACCCAACGAGAATATAGTTCAAAACCACTTTAACATAGCATTGTTAAACGTATTTTAGTATTTAAACAGTAGATATAGGCATGTTTTTATCCCCTAAAAATTTTTCATCTGTTCGGATTTCCTAGCGGAAAGTCTAGTGATCCGAAAATTATAGGGATCAAAACTTACCTTTTCGAAAATTCCAGCCAGAAAAAAGGCTCCCGAAAATTCTAGGCGACCTTTTTAGGGTAAAAATCCGTTAAAACTAGGCAATTATACCATTTTTCAGATGTTCGAAAATCCTAGGAGAGGCAGGCAAGCAAGAAATTTTACAACAAATGTTCCAAAAATTCTAGATCTTAAATCGTCTTCCGAACAGATATTTTTCGAAAATTGTCGTTGGGTACCCCTGCTATCTGCCACTGCACTTTAGCCTTATTTTATATAAATTATGGTTTTTGCCTCGTTATTTAAGAGTACATCGTTGTGAGTACTGGTTTTGTCAATTCATAGTTTGCAGTATTTATGCTGTGTTTCCTTGAGTCATTAGCTTTTTCACCCAGAGAGCTTAAGTGGAACTTGTATAACATTGCATTTAGGTTGACGCATAATAATTTATAATAAAAAAGCTTAAGTGTGTTGCATGTTGAGTGTCACTTGACTAATCTCCATACATTTCCTTAAAAAATAGTTGAAAGAATTTGTTAAAAGATCAAAAATTTTCCCTTAATTCCCATATCATTTTCTCTTGTTTATGTATCGTTATTTGCATCAGAAAATTAATATTAGCTTTGCCACATGCATTACGTATTCTACAGACTACTAGCCTGTTCGGGTCCGCTGAATTGAGAAAGCGTGAACACAAAAATAAAACGGGAGAAAACTGAGGAGAGGACGAGCGGCTCCTTGCTTTTTCCTTTTTCCCGCCCCACCAACTTTTCGCATGCCTTTAACTTTCGTGTCTTCCCCAGGCTAACCGACTACTATCAACGACTCACTTTAGAAAGTTGGTTTTCTTACTTAAAACAAATGCCACTGAATCGTAGTCAACAGTTACCGGCACCGTACAAACGACTTATTGACAGACTCAAGCAAAACTAGCTATGAGAGAGCGACTGGACATCCATGAAATTTGACTAACAATAAACGACTATTGAACTGTGACAATACGATATACTAATACTATAATGATATTACGAGTCTTCATAGCCAATAACATCACAGCTTAACTGACACACGACCAATAACATCGCGACTTAATTGACCAATCAGATCAATAACCAGAGTTTAATGCCATCAATTAACTGATGTGATACAACTCACCTTGAATCTGAAGATGACTACTGCACAGGTTGTCGAAACATCAGTCACAGTCAACAGTAGTCCTATTCAGAACTGCGTTCACCCGGACAATCATACTCAACCTACTTATGAAATGACTCCGGGGTTCAAACCTTTCACAGTACAAAATTAATTTGGGTTACTTTTGGGAAAAGCTTAATATTACCCAGTTTTGTTGTTGTTGTGTTCTGAATTGCTCATTGTAGTGGTCTCTGCTTCTCAGCCATTGATACTACAAGCATTTCAGGGCTGTCATTAAGAGGTCCAACCCCTTACCCTTTTATATACTATTTTCCATGAAAAAGGTACCCCTTCCATATACCTTCTATTGACAAATGGTGCCCCTTTCAAACACCTTGTGTCGAAAGCAGAAAGATTTAATAAGATCAAGGAACATTTAAGATTGCAAACTTTCTAAGTTTAGGAAATGATGTAATGGTCTAGAACTGGGAACGTGGGGGATCATGGGATTGTGGGGCACGTGTGAGATTGCTAGAGACAAGTCTGTAGAAAGTTGTTCGACCTTGTTCCTGTTGATGCAATTAAAACGAGCTAATTGGAGTCAGATAGTTATGTGATGTCTTTTGGTGGTATGTCAGCGTTTACGGAAGCGAACATGGTGACCCGCGACGTGATTTGACCGTTTGTTACGAGTGTTGTTTTCCTCGATTTGCCGCTGTTGCCGATTGAAAATGAAGACGAAACAAATAGACCAGCTGAGGAGAGCTCGTACTGGATTAAGAGGGTGGATGACAAGAGATTTCGACGCTGTTAGAAACATTATTGAATCCCACTCACCTGAAGTTGAGAGAGTGGAAGAAAAGCTCGATTCAATTGTTGCAAGATTGCAGAAAGCCGAAGATTTGCAGATGGAGATCGAAGGGCTCTTGAACGACGACGATGAAGTACAGGCTGAAGTGGACGCTCAAGGTTCCTGGTTCGATATGGTCGGAGAACGTATTCATAAACTGAAATCGTGGTTAAAAAATCGGCAAAAGCAAAATTTGAGTGAGGAGGCAGAGAAAGTTGATCCCACCACTTCAACTCCGAAGAGTACGTCATGTACGCCCAAAATGAAATTACCGAAGACCGATCTGAGAAAATTCTCGGGCGACGTTTTGGATTGGCCTGAATTCTGGGACATTTTCAGGGTAGCTGTGCATGAAAACATTGATATACCTCCCGTGCAGAAGTTTGTTTACCTAAAATCATTGCTGACCGGTGAAGCAGCTGGATATGTTGCTAATTTTAAAACAGAAGAAGCCAACTACGATGTTGCTGTAGAGCGCCTTCAGTCACGCTATGGTAAGGATGAAGTACAAAGGAACCGCCTCATGACAAAGTTAGCAGACATGAAACCAATTGATCAGTCTAACAAGGCGATGAGAGATGCTGTGGATGAACTTTGTGCAACTGTTCGAGCGCTTCAAGTACAAGGAGTTACCGCGGATCAATATGGAGCCTTATTGATGCCTTTGATTGAATCAAAGCTACCCAAGGACTGGAGATTGGAGTGGGCCCGACAGAAAGCTGCTTTGGAAAAGGACACTGTAACTTTCTCAAAGTTATTAGAATTCTTGGATCAGGAACTGGAAATCCGGGAGAGTGCCGACCAGTCAGATGAGAAGAGTCAAACATCTAGGAATAAATCTACGGAAAAGGGAAAGTCGCCGTTGCCAACTGCGTCAGGTTTAATGGCCAAGTCTGTGACCTGCACCTTCTGCAAGGGTACACACAGCCCTAAAGAGTGTTCCATACCGATGTCAGTTGAGGATCGCTTCAACAAGGTGAGAG